AATTAAAGAAAGAGAAAAAATAAATATTTTAAAAATTTTTAAAAATAAGAAAAGCTTAATTAAAGCATTAAATATATATAAAAAGAGAAGAGTTAATTTCTTAAAAGAATGTTTAAAATAAGCGTGAAAGCTAGCTTTTTATAGCTAGCCGGAATTTAACGCAGTACCATTTCTTACATAATTCCCTGCACCCGCTAACAATATGCTTAGCTTTTAAGCATACTTTATAATTACTTATATATTCTTAAATAGGTTTATTTATTAATATATTTATTTTATATTTTTAAAGAAATATTTCCAAAGCTTAAATATTTATATAACTTAGTTTATAATGCTATTTATATATTTATTCTTTATTTTTATTATTTATATTTAAATTTTATTAAGTTATATATAGTTTTTAAAAGGTATATTTAAGCTTATTTATTTATTTTATTATATTAATTCTTATAAAGTATAAGCTATTTTTTAATATCCTTAAGTTATTAGCTTATTTATTTCTTAAGAATATAGTTTAATAATATTTCCTTCCAATTTTAATTTAATCTTATTACTTATATACTTATAATTAAGTATATTTAAACTTAAAAAAGGCATATAATATATATTAAAGAATTTCTTTATAATATTTATTTCTAGAAACTTAATTATTAAGTCCCCTATTTTATTTATAAATATAATACCTGCATCACCCCATTTTACGGTTTTATTAATTATATATATAATATTAAAAAGGCGTATATCTTTAAAACTTATTATATTTACAATAATATTTACAGCTATTTCTACGAAATCTATATATTATTAATTTCCTATAAATTTATTATTATTAGCTACTATTATTATTATTATATATATATAAGGTATATATAAGGTTATTTACCTTAATTTCCATTAAGTTATTAAAAGAAAGTTATAAGAAATTTAATAAATTCTTATTATATTTAATATTTTTTATTAAATTATTTATAGCTATATAAGCCATAAGTTTTTCCTAAGCGCCTTTTAAAGCCATGGGAAACTTTATGCTAGCTAATAAAGCTAAGAGTTGCTTTTATATTTTCTCCTATTTTTCTTAGCTTATATTCTTTCTTAAAAAAGTAGTTTTTTCCTTTTCTTTTCTTTATTTATTTATTTTCCAGCTAGCGGGTACCTTATTTAAATAAAGGAAATAGCAATTCTCTTAAATATAGCCCTTTATTTTATAATTAAGGCATATAATAATTTTTTTCTTATCTTTCTTACCCTTTATATATAAAGCTTTTTTAAATAATTTAAAGGGTTTTCCTTTACTTTTATTTAATAAGCTAAAGAAAAGAAATTTAACTATATAAGCATTTAAATCTTTTTTAAAACTTTAAGTTATATTTTAAATAAAGCTAATATATTTATCGTTTAAGCTATAAAAAATTTAGCTAATTATAACTTATTTAAAAAGAATTATATTATTAGCCTTTAAATTCTTTAAAAAAAGCTTTAGCTTATTAATATATTCTTTTATAATTTTAAAATTATTAAGATTAATATTAAAGAACTCTTTACAAAGTAAATATTGGTTTATAAACTTAAAAGGTTTATGATGCAGTATGCCCTTGAAGCCTAGCGTGGTAAGCTTATTATGCCCTTAATAAGCCTGCAAAAAAGCCCCCTGGGCAACCAGTGGGTCCCTCTCCCTTTTAGCGCAGCGGAAGATTTCGCGACTACATTAGTTTATAATAAGATTTAAGTATATCCTATACTTCTTAAGCACTATTTATATCTTTTATAAATATAATAAACCCCTACCTATACATAAGTTTAATATTAATAAGGGCTCTCTTATTTTAAGCTAAAAATAAGCCCTGGAAAAGATTCTTAAGATTATTCTTAATAGCGTTTTCTTTTTTAAGCTAGGCTTGGATTTTAACGCTTTAATATATATAGTTTTTCATTTTATTAAGAAGTGGAACACTATACTTATTAAGGGATGCTATTTTAAGATAAATAAATAAAATATTTATTAAAATAATTAAGATAATAAAGAGAAAAATATAGTAAATTTTAAATAAATTTAATAAGTTAAGGAATAAAGATATAAGTATTAAAGTAATATAGTTATAAAGAAAAGAAGAAGGATTTTTAAATAATATATTTTTAAGGTATTATAAACTAAAGATAGCTAAGATATAATTAAGTGTTTTTAAGGGAGTTTAAGGATTATTATGGTTTTATTAAAATTTGCGTTTTTAGTATTGATTTAATGTAGTTTTTAAAATTTAAAGAAATGCTCTTGTTATTCTTAATAAAGGCTTTTAAATAATATATAAATTATATAAGTAAGTTAAGTATTAATAGAGAAACGGTTAAGTGTTTAAGTAAAAGAGGTATGGTTTTTATATATAAGCTTTAAGTTAAAAGATAAAGTTAATTTATAACGTTAAATAAGGCGATTTAATTAGTTAAGGGCTTATTAATTAGCTTAATTAGGTAATTAATTAAAAGGTATATTTCTAAGTATAAAGCTTATCTTATTTAAAAGGTTTGAGAAGTAATGGCGATTAGGGGTGTTACGTAATGTGTGTTTTCCGTATTAGGTTAGCCGTTTTCCATATTGAGTTAGCGTTGCCATTTTAGGTAAGCTTTGGGCCTTATAACCTGTTAAATAATAGCGTTAAATGCTTAGTTTATTAGGCTAGCTAATGTCTATTCAATAGGAGGGAAGGCCCCTATTTATAGTTATTATCCTCCATACAGTGGCAAACGTATGGGGAAAAGGATATCCCGTATTAATAATAGCCTAGACATCTAGAATATTCCAACACGGCGGAGATGGTCTCGGCAAGGCTGGTAGAAGGATCTACTGAGAAACTGACAGGGGAACCGGGCAGAGACATCTCTCCCAGCAAGAGCTCCGCGGCACGAGTCTGAAATCTCAGGAAAGCTTTCACCCTGGAGTCAGCTTTTGCTCAACTTTGACTTGGCTTCGAAAATGAAGGAGCTACTAACGAGAGCTTGCCGCATGAGCCGGCAAGGACTCCTTGAGAGACCGCCATTGATATTGTAGATGACTGATCCGGGCGGCCGAGATCCCATCGCGATGATGAGGAGTATTGCTTTTTGCTAGGCTGTCCACATCCTCAACCATACGCAACAAATCGACGATTTTTGGCAGATATCGATCCGTCGGGTATTCAGCTCGTTGAGCCAGCCCTTCACAGCTTTCCGTCAAAAGAGGTATTGTCGGGAAACAGCGAAATTTGTCCAAGATGACGGAGGCACTTTCAACAATCAGATCACAGCAGCCAACAAGGAATTGACATGTGTCTCACCACGAAGCAACACTGTATAGACCTACCAGTGCCCGTACCTCATCTGCTCTCAGACCTCCGGTCAAGAGCCCCAGACCATTCTCGACTTCCAGTGTTGGCAGCTCTTCAGGCTTATGAAATCTCATGTCATACATGATGCTCATAGCAAGGAATATATTCTGAGTGTGCTTTCGTGGGCGTGGCTGATATTGCATCCTAGAACATGTCAGATAACCCCCAGGTGTAAATGGTGAAGTAAGCAGCAAACTCTTGAGCCCAGAGACCGAATTGCACTCACCAAGCAGTGTATATCAACAAACCTTGCAGGTTCTCGAGAGAAGCAATCCTGCCCTGCAGCAGTGCAGCGGCCAGCATCTGCTCAAACAAGCGAGAGATACGCCCCTGAAAAGCCTCATCATCATACGAGGATGCGAAGAGAATTGCAAGGCACACTATCGGCTTCTCTCGATGCAGGTCTGCCACTTTTGCTGACTCCGGTATGATCACGAAGGGGAAATACGGCGTTAAAGATCCTCTGAACCGATCGAGAAGCAAATCTCCGGTTTCGATGGACAGTAGGCCCAGCTGAAAGGGGTCAAGCGAGACTCCGTTGGCCGACTGGGCCCGTGATGACTCTGCGGCTTCGCCAGCTTCTGTGGAGGGAGACCTCGAAGTGCCACGATCGCTGGCGGGAGATGCCGTCGAGCCTCCGCTGCCCAATTGTTGAGAGCTCAGAATATCATCAAGCTTGGCTATCTTGGCCTCGAGTTCACTGATACGACTGTCTCGATAGCGTGTTAGCCGTAGAGCGTCATGGCCGGACCAATAACCTGCTCTGGCCCCAAATATTTCTTACTTTACACGTTGTGCCGGTGCAGCGCCTCGCCGTGCAGGAGGAAAGACGCATGTCTTCTTAAGCCGGAGACAACGGTCGCACGAGCCGGAATTCTGGGTTCTGTCGCAGCGGAGCTTTGCATGAGAGCATACCTGACATGTCTTCAGGAGTGATCTGTCGGCGCTGCTACGCTCCCCTTGTCGCCTTTGACTCCGCATGGCTTGATTTGCTTTTGTTTACAAGTGGTGTTGGTGTTATTGGCAGAGAGCAGCTCATAAACCAATTCCACAACAGCCGGGAGGGTCTGCTAATCTGAACAGTATTCTAGGAACGCAACAAAAGGTTGGTGGGAATTGTGTGGGTTTTATTGGTTTTTATGTGTTGCAACCATGTCATCCTCGAAGATGTGTTACTGACTGTGGTTGGCCCGGCAGGGTGGGTGTAAGTCGTTGTTCAGGTGCAGTAGTGAGTCCACCAGCCACCATGAGGGGTCCTTTGTTCGCGAACCATGGGCCGAGTCTTCACCTTGACACACAACTTCGAGAGCACACCAGACATGGGATACGAAGCACGGTCTACGTCTCAGGACAATATTTGACGCGTTCAAGCGAGGCGCAGCCCGGCTCAATCAACCAGACCACCACTCAGCACATGCTGCGATCCTCCGGGAGTCTTGGCACATGCAGTCCAGGCAGCGAAATAAAATGAGCTGACCGAAACGGCGCCGACGTCTGCCTCGCCAACACGTCCCTCGTTTTGGCCAGAAAGACTAAGGGGGCTCCTTCACACCTTTCAAAGGCTCAAGACCTGTTGAAACTGCCCATCATACCAACTGCATCCCATATCCAGGAAGAGGGGCGGCCAACCGTGGGCGCAAGATGGCGCCCTTAAGCTCCGAGCCTCGCCAGGTGTTGGTGGTCTTGAACCCAGCCCGGCGGAGAGCCCTGTATCAGCTCGTGACCGAGATCACGGCGTACATGCGGTCACAGCTGGAGCTCCACGACAGAGACGACGGCCAAGCGACCAAGGATGCGTCTCGGTCTCGGTCTTACGCACCGCACGCCCCGTCTGACCGCGACTACTCGCCGCGGGGCTCAACCTCTACCGCTGCCGCCTCCGCCGCCGCGAAGGCCAAGGCAGAGGCTTCCGTCTCACAGGCGCACACACCACCGAGCCCGGAGCTCATTGCGTTGCGCAAAGCAGCACTGACGCATTTTGACGAGTGGAAGAAGGAGTTCCACACCAAGCTGAGGGAGATCCTGTCTGCCAGCGATGACAACAAGGTCCTGGAAGCGCGCTCGGAACGCCAGAGGAAGGTGGCCCAGATCAAGGCGGACAGTCCCGCCGAGGGTGAGGATCTCATCGACTTCGGCGGCGGACCCTCGCAGAACAAGGCAGCCCAAGACACTGCGAAGGCGGTGGAGTCTCTCCAGGCTATCTACCACCCAATCCCCACGAGGCTGACCACGATTCCGGCGGAGGACCGGAAAGAGGTCGTCAGCGCCGTGCTCATCCTTCTCCTCTCCACGGGCAAATACACGGCCTACGCGAGGACGTTCATCACCTACCTGACCTCCGCGCTCGAGCTTCCCCTGTCCTTCCTGACCGACGAGGAGAAGGAGATCGCCAAGACCATGATCGAGGCGTCGGCCGAGGCAGAGAAGGCAAAGAAGGACGAGACCATGTCTGCCGAGGCCGAGGCCCAGAAGCGCAAGCAGCAGGGGCAGGTGGGCAGGTTCTGGAAAGTCGGCCTCGCGTCGGTGGCTGGTGCCGCGATCATCGGAGTGACTGGCGGCCTCGCAGCACCCGTCGTAGCTGGTGCCATCGGGGGCCTGATGGGGTCTGTGGGACTTGGAGGGCTGGCTAGCTTCCTGGGTATCTTCTGGATGAACGGTGCCTTGGTTGGAACTCTTTTTGGGGCATTTGGAGCGCGAATGACTGTTGGTGCCCCTTCAAGATTCCCTTTCTCGCAGTGACCTCGACAACTGACTCCGAAACAGGGCGAGATGGCAGACAAGTACGCAAGGGAAGTCGAGGACTTCCGGTTCCTGCCCCTAAAGGATGAATGGGGCAGCGAATTCCGCAAGGAAGAAAAGGACGTCCGAAGGCTGAGGGTCTCTATTGGAATCAACGGCTGGCTCATCTCTGAAGATGAAGTGACCAAACCTTGGCGCGCCCTCGGCGATGAGTCAGAGGCCTTTGCCCTCAGGTATGAGATGAACAGCCTGCTGGAACTCGGGCACGCCCTCGAGGACACGGTAGCGTCATATGCGTGGAGCGTTTTGAAGATCGAAATCCTTAAGCGCACCGTCCTGGCCACCCTATGGGCAGCACTCTGGCCGATCCAGCTTCTCAAGCTGGCAGCTGGTGTCGACAACCCTTTCAACCTGGCCAAAAATAGGTCTGAAAAGGCCGGTCGGATCTTGGCGGACGCATTGATCAACAAAATTCAAGGGGAACGGCCAGTCACACTCATTGGATACTCCTTGGGTGCGCGGGTCATCTACGTCTGCCTCAAGACTCTCGCAGAACGCAGGGCATTCGGGCTGGTGGACACTGTCGTCTTCGTCGGAGCGCCGACGCCGTCAAACCGAGACGAGTGGCAGTTGATCCGCAGTGTTGTCACCGGAAAGCTATTCAACGTCTACTCAGAGAACGACTACATCCTTGCGTTCCTTTACCGCGCCACGAGCATCCAACTCGGTATTGCAGGCCTGCAAGCAGTGGAGGATATTGAGGGCGTCGAGAACCTCGATCTGACCGAAGACGTCAAAGGACACTTGAGATACCCAGGGCTGATCGCCCAGATCCTCACCAAGTGCGGCTTCCCAAACATCAGCGGGGGCGAGAAGCCTATCGAGAAGGAGGAGGACATCAGGCTCGAGGACATGGACGGCAGCAGCAAGACGGGCACTCTTCTCGATTTCGACGAGCCTCCCGTCACACCGGTGGCGGTCAAGCCATTATCGAGGAAGACACACCGGGATATCTCGTTCCCGAGCGGGTTCCCCAAGACAGATGAGCGTCCCGTGGTCAGGAAAGTCCAGTCGACACCGGCCGCCGGGCCACTCAGCTCTAAGCTCCAGACGGCCTTCGATCCGCACGAGCCCAAGTCTCTCGTCGGGTCTCCCGAGGCCAAGGAATGGCAGCGCAGACCGCCCAATGCCCCAAACGCTACTCCTGCAGCGAATTCACAGCCTCCTCCTTCGTACAGCCCGGGCAAGTTCACGTTGCCCCCGGAAGTGGCAGATAAGCTGTACGGGGCCGCAAAACCAGATGACGAGGACGACGAAGACGACGACTTTGGTGGTGGCATAAGCATGATGGACAACGACCATGATGATGATGGTGATATGGTCACGTACATGGAGCCACTGCGACTCGAGGACAGGGATGAGAAGTGAAATTCTCAAAACCGGGAACAGCGAGAGAGGGGAGGACCACCAAACGGCTTCAGACTTATATTTTGTGTTCTTTAATATCCTATAAATCCGTCACATCCAATTTCCATTCGCTCTGTGGCTGCAATTTCAACCCGCTGCTTTCTTTGCTTCTGTTCTTTGATGGGTGGGAATGGTGGTTCCGCCTCCGCTACCTCACACTTCCTGTGCTTCAGCACACAAAGGCTACGCTACCTAGACATTACGCATCTGACGGCACCATCAATGACAAGTCTCCGGTCTACCAACAGCTGGGTATGGCCATATGCCTGGTGACATTGGACGTGATATTCAGGCTCACGTCTACCTTATTTAGTGGCACGGGATGGTTTGGCGCTGCTATCGTATCAGAGTGCTGACGAGTGGGCCCCCCTCCCCCTATCGCGCAGCTCTTTACTGTCGTCCAACAGTCCCACGACCATCCTTGCCTCTTCATGAGCTCCCTCACCAGAACAGTTCTCTTAGAGGTCTTCAAATAGGTATTCTGAGCTCCGGCCACCCTGCGCATTGTCCCACCCAGGTTTTCGTGTTGCCATCCTCCCAATGGTGACCTGCGCGTCGCATCCAGCCACGTCTTTCTGTTCAATTCTCAGACCTCCATCGCCTGTGTTGCCATTGGAGTTCCCCCTCGTGCCGCAGGAGCAGGCATCCTTCAGCGCCTCAGTTGTGGATTGGATGGCGACAAGGAGGCCGTGCAATGTTGGGATCGTACCGCAAACGATCATGAGGAAGAATTCGACAGTAACCCAGGCGAAGATGTCAAACGTTGCCCAAGTGAAGTCGGTTCGGTTCGCCAGCTGCGCCAGGTACTGGGTCTTGATGCCAGAGCATATGCACGTCAGGATGTTGAGACCGAAGACAATTGTGAGCTGTAACTTCTTGATTGGGCTATTGGCCAAAGAGAGAATGACGGTGGTAGGAAGAACTGCGAGGCTCCCATCTGCGAGGGTGTTGAAAGCTGCTTGGAGTCAGCTTTATGAGAACTGCTAGTCCTGATCGCATACAGTAGGGAGATGAGGTCCCGAGTTCCACATACATCCAGTGAAGATGCCATAGCCTGACATGACCCTCGAATCGATACACTTGCTCTGAATTCTAGGATCCCAAAGAGCTGCAGGAGGAGAACACTGCAGCATGGTGAGGAATGAGCATGACAGAGCGATGGCCGACGTTAGCCCAATGGTGACGATCCATAGATATATGCGATGCCATCTTAGATCAGTGAGGCGCAACATGGTAAGCAGTAGAGCAGAGACTGAGATCTTGCCCGCTGCGATTCCTAGGATTCCAAAGACTTGACTGAGCCAGTTAAGCAGTTGGACTTGGGCGAGATTATCTACGCCTAGCTTCTCGACATCCCACACATGCCTCTCACCACCCTTCACGCAGAGTATGGTTAAGCAGATGCTCCAGCCAAACATACCAAGCTGGATGAAGAGTGATCAGCGCCACAGATCCTCCAGTTCATGAATTACAGGGCAAAAACTGGTCACGTACCATCGAAAAGACCATGAAGATATCCGACCAATTGAACTTTCCCCCTTTGTAACGGAACACTAGACGCAAAATGACCGTGACTAAAGAAATTCCGACCAGGGGCCACATGAGGCCGATTAGGAAAGGACCACGATCCGCAATCGCATCGTTGGAACCTTCATGAGGAGGCATCAGAAATATTTCTTAGGCCAGAGCAGGCACCCGCGAGGATAATGGTGGGTGCGAAGTCCAGGAGAGTACCATTGCAGATGATGGTGGCAGAGCATTTGTTGATGTTTCCTTGCAGGGCCATTTCGCCTGTTAGCAACTTACGGGTTTCTGTTGGTAAGGTCGTTACAAATATTCCTTCCACCAGCCGAGGTTGTGTGAAGCCTGTGACACTCGCTTGGGAGCGTTTGGCATGGCGTGGAGACCCACCAACACACCTTGGATTTGCGGCGTCCAGCCGGATTATGCATGAAGCTGGAGCTCAAGAAATTGGTGTGACTACACGGATTGCAGCCGCGCGGAAGGAACTTTTGCCCGATATTCATGTGCTCATTTCGTCTTACTGAGAGTGGTTTGGTGCGACCTCGACGCAGTAGGATGGATCCACTGCGATGTTGTTGGTCGCAGTCCAACTGCAGATGCATCAGGTGGTATCGGGAAAAACGGCCGCAAGTCAAGACTTTCTCGAAATCTTCTCTCCGTGCGAGCTTCACCTGTCTCCAAGGCTCCTCAGAATTACCTCGCCGTGCTCGTTGATTTCGACTTAGCAAGGCTCGTAAGAGCCGACAACTGCACGATTGTCGAACATAGAACAGCAATGGCGGACCCCATAACTTTGGTGGAGCAATTGAGGCTGCTTGTAGAGTCTCCCGATGCCTTCCAGGCTGATGAGGCCCAGAAACAGGAACTCCTGAAACTCAGCCGTCAGGCGGCAGCTGCACTGGAGTCACCTTTTGAAACCCTGCAGAGGCTCGTTTACTCCGTTCGTACAGCTTCATTGCGTTCACCCACCGCCGTGTGGCCCAATACTGACATATCACAAAGCCATTGCCCCTTGTCGTCGCGAGGATATGTCAAGATCGCCGCATCTTCGCCACACTGGCCGCAAATGAGAGCGTCACAGGGGTCAGCTCTGCCACGCTGATCACAGCAAGCGCGCTTCAACCCAGCGTCCTTGATTCCATCATGGACTATGCATGCGTGCAAGGCATGGCGGCGGAAGTATCACAAGGGCAATACCTTGCGACCAAGCTGACCCACACGCTACTTGTGCCAGTGTTTGTTGACGGTGTGACGCATTTCCATGATAATTGTCTCCCCGGGTTTACCGCCCTCCACCGCGCCCTGACCGAAGGCGATGGCAGATCAAATGCCTTCAAGCTAGGTCAGAACACCTCGGAAGATTTCTACACTTGGATGGACACACACCCTGTCCAACAACGTGCCTTCCACAGCTTCATGAAGGAGCAATTCGCCAGCCTGCCGACATGGCTGGACGTGGTGTCATTTGCCGCAGAGTTCGCACAAGACTCACAGCCCGACGATGTTGTATTCGTTGACGTCGGTGGTGGCAACGGGTCCCAGTGCGCGGCGCTCAAGAGATCCTTGCCCGAGCTCAGAAGCCGGGTTGTCTTGCAGGATCACTCCTACGTACTTGAGAAGGCGCTCGAGGTGGAAGGGATGGAGAAGATGCCTTATGACTTTTTCATGGAGCAGCCCGTCAAAGGTAGGTGTGAAAGCCCAGAAGATCTCCATTGCAGCAAGTCCGCCGAATCTGACAGATTAGGCGCTCGTGTCTACTACTTTCGCCAGATTATCCACAACTTTGACGATGTTGCGTGCGTCCGCATCCTGGAGTCCCAAGTCCCGGCTCTCGGACCAGACAATGTCATTGTGATTGACGATAAAGTTCTGTCCGACAACAAGCCGCCGGCTGGAACGCCTGGCATCGAGTACACGGCGGCACTGAACATCGCAATGAAGGTGATGTTTGACGCACAGGAGAGGCGTGAGACTCACTGGCGGAGGTTGTTGGACCAAGCTGGGCTGCGAATCAAGGACATAAGGAAATACACCAGATTCGATGATGCCGTAATCATTGCAGCGAGGAAGCTCCAGCTTGGCTGAACCACGCAGTCAAGCCAACATGTGCCTTGCAAGTTGGTTGACGTGATGGGCAGAAGAAACGGTACGGGGGCGTGATGAGAACCGCGTTGTGGCTTTCTAAATCTGTCTAATCTCCTTGCCGACCATTTCCGGTCTGTCCACTTCCCACTCATCCCGGAGCGCTGCGAAAGTGAGATCACTAACGAGCAGGCTTTGGCCCAAGCTCCACACTAAAGTGATCGCGTAGAAGAAGTTGGCGTTGCCGCTACCTGCATATATCCATAGGTAGTAGAACGCTGGTCCCAAGAACGTGGCGTACAGTATTGTCGAGGGAACCACGAATGTATACCGCATCAGGGGGAAAATGTGCCTGTATAGCGGGACCATTGCAAGGAAGAGTGATGTGTCGCTGATGCTGGGGTAAGGCTTAAATATGCCAAATATACCCAGGAGCAGCGTAATCACAAACAGGGGCTGCGATCGAATGCGCACACTCAGAGCGGCGACGTAGGACGACAAGTGCAGCCAGAAGACGGCCAAGAAGAATGACCGGAAGGAGTCAAACATCTCAATAAAGAAGTACCACCACAGTCCGACATTTGGTGTTAGATCGGTGAGGGTGAGCTGGATGCCGTAGGTCGAGGATAGAAACTCCCATGATCCAGTGATGAAGTATGACATCTGGAAGAGAACCGAGACGGTGGCTGCTGCAACGCCAACGAATTTGGCCACGAAAGCCAGAGGCTGCGTTTTCCCTTGCCCATAGCTTCGATCATAAGCCAAGAGCGCCAAAGGCGGAAGTAACAGGGCCGGGTACATGGACAAGTAAGCGGCGAATGACATGGCAATCACTGCACTGTACGGTGCACCGTTGGTTGCCTTTGCGACAGCGTGCAGGATGGCGCATGACGTGAAGACACTCGAGGGTCTTCCAATACAAGTCGCAATTGTGAACGGATTGAAGAGAAAGCTAGCAAGCCCCATGTTAGCTCTCCGCGAGTCCGAGAAATGCGCCCGGGTGGTGAAATCTCACAGTGCAGCGACCACAAAGCCACTCCATCTCTTGTCCCTCCTCGGAGAGGTAAAACGCAGGGTCGAACCGGCCTCCCCAGAATCCGCGATGGCTATCAGAGAATTGGCGTTTAGGAGATCGACTGCTATATATAGCAGATACGTAAAGACGGGCCAGGAGGCGAAGCTCGGCAGGAGGGATAGGACGGGCAGCAGCAAGGGCGCCTGGTGGTAGACGCCACCATCGTAGGGCGAAACATTATGGTTGTAGAGGAAAAGGCCCTCTTGTACTGTCACAACGGTCAGCGCGGCCAAAGCTATGGAGGTGGTCACGGCGGAAAAGGGGTGCCATACATCGTTTGAAGCTGGTGACGGGAGTCGACACCTCGACGCGCCCAGCCACCAGTTCTGGTAAACCTGGAAAGGCAAAGAACAAAACAAGTCGCAGGACGGCGGCAGCCAGGTAGAGGCCTTGTAGCCTTTTCAGGCTTGAATTTGGCCCATTCATCTCTGGGCCATCTCCAGGTGAAAGGTGCGGGTTACTGCCGGGAGTCGTGCCGTCGATGCTGTCTGGCCGGGCGGTTCGACTGGAGCTCTGCCAGGCTGGCTTCGGAGCTTGCTGACTTGAGCTGCGGTACCTGGGTACATTAGACCCCTGGACCAAGTCCAGGAGCTCCGCTGTCCACCCCTGCACCAAGTTTTGCGCTAACCTTAACAAGGTGGGCGGTGAATGCGGCAGAAGTCGAAAAAAGTTCCTTATCGATGAAAAGTAAGAGGAGCAAGCGGTCCTGGGAAAATTGGAGGCGCTTTCTCTCGCTGCGCCAGTCCACCGTACTTTTCCAGGTCGACAATTGGAATTCAACCAGCAAAATGGGTCGCATCAAGAAGAAGGGAGAGGCTGGAAACGCCAAAAACTTCATTAGCCGCAACCAGGCTATCAAGAAGCTGCAGCTCAGCCTGCCCGACTTTCGAAAGCTATGCATCTGGAAGGGCATCTACCCGCGAGAACCGAGAGACAAGAAGAAGGCTTCCAAGACATCCACCCCCTCGACCACCTTCTACTACTCCAAGGACATCCAGTATCTGCTTCATGAGCCACTGCTCCAGAAGTTCCGTGATCAGAAGGCCCTTGAGAAGAAGATCTCACGCGCCCTCGGTCGAGGAGATGTCGGTGACGCCGCCCGTCTCGAGCGCAATGCGGTCCGCCCAGAGAAGAACGGCAAGCCGCGCTATACTCTCGACCACGTCATAAGAGAACGCTATCCCACCTTCATTGATGCCCTCCGAGACCTTGACGACTGCTTGTCGATGCTGTTCCTCTTCGCCAACCTCCCGTCCACCTCAACCGTTCCCGCGAAGATGATCGCTCGATGTGAGAAACTGTGCTTGGAATTCGAACACTACCTCATCGTGTCACACAGCCTGCGAAAGTCTTTCTTGTCGATCAAGGGAATATACTACCAGGCCACCATCCAAGGCGAGGACGTGCTCTGGTTGGTGCCGTACAAGTTCAACCAGCGAGTGGTTGGAGATGTCGACTTCCGTATCATGGGTACCTTTGTTGAGTTCTACATGACGCTGCTGGGTTTCGTCAACTACAGGTTGTACACCTCGATCGGTCTGAAATACCCACCAAAATTCGACCAATCCAAGGACGATCAAGGTGGAGAGCTTGGTGCCTTCACCCTGGAGGGCGCCAACATCGCAACGACTCAAGATGAGCCCAAGCAACTGACGAACGGAGAGAGCGAGCACGGCCCCGACCCCAAAGTCCAGGCTCAGGTCAACAAGTTGGTGCGAGAAATGAGGGATGGCGAGACGAATGGCGACGACCAGAATGGCGAGGGCGCGGACGTGGAGAATGAGGAGGAGCCTACGGACGCCATTGACAAGTTCGAGCCCGCGGTCCCTGGCGGTGATCTCCTCCCTCAGCCTTCATACAGCACGAACGATCCTGCTCAACTATTCTCAAAATGCACATTCTTCCTCGGGCGTGAGACACCGCGGCAACCACTCGAGCTTATTCTGCGTTCTTTTGGCTGCAAGCGCATAGGATGGGACTCGGTGTTGGGCGAGGGCGCATTCACCACGAATGAGCTCGACCCCGCGATAACACACCAGATTGTCGATAGGCCGCTTATTCAAGCTGCTGTGGAGGCCAATGGCGACGGAGAGGACAATCAGACCTCTCAAAAGCTTGCACCAAACCAGAGGGTACCTGGTCGGATCTACGTGCAGCCGCAATGGGTTTGGGACTCAATTAACGACGAGGAGCTGAAGGACACCAACCTCTATGCCCCTGGGGCTGAGCTGCCGCCGCATCTGAGTCCCTTCGTGAAGCCCGTTCAGGGCCAGTACGATCCTACTATCGCCCTCGAGGAGCAACAGACTGAGGCCGAGGCTTTGGCTGACAGCGATGCTGAGATAGACGAGGAAGCAACTGGCATGGATGCCGACAACTCGGAGGACGAGGAAGACGCTAAGGACGACACGTTCGGAGGCTTCTCGGGAGAGGAGGACGAAGCGGAGGACTCAGATGAGGAAGAATCGGCCGCAGCGCAGAGGCAACTCGAGTTGGAGGCTGAGCTGACAGGCAAGCCAGTCAAGTCCAAGCAGCAAACGCCCAAGGAGAAGAAGAAGGCTGAGGCCCGCAAGGTCCTGGAAAAGAAGAACAAGGAGGAGGCTGAAGAACTGGAGAGGGCCAAGGGTATGTTGAGTAAGAAGAAGAGGAAGCTGTTTGAGCAGATGCAGTATACCAACACAAAGAAGAGCGCCGAGGACGAGAAGCTGCGCTCCAAGAGGAGAAAGATCGAGAAGCAAAAGGGCAAACGGGCGTAAAGGGGAAAACAGCGGAGTCGAGGATACCATTCATGAATTCAATTAAGCCTAAGAACCACACATAGACTGCCTGCCTACTCCGAGGACTGATGTTGAAACGAGCTTTCGCTCGGGTGTCCACTCTGCAGCCCCAACATCTATGTAGTGGACCGCCTAGGCAGTGCCCACTGGCCAACCTCGTGTGGGATAACCTCCCGTGAGATGACTTCCTATGGGATTGCCTCCCATAGGACTGCCTCCTGTGGGACTGCCTCCTGTGGGACTGCCTCCTATGTGACTATCTTCTATGGGATAGCCTCCTGTGTAATCACCTGCTGTGAATAGCCTCCCGTGGAAAAGCACCCTTTGGGAAGACCTCCCGTGGCGTAACCTCTTGTGGGACAGCCGGGTAGAGTGAGTGCCTTTTTTGCGTAGTTTTGCTCCTCCGTGCGAAAGTCATCCATGGGCGCCGTCCCCAATTGCCTGCGTAGCTCTGCACTTGGTCAATTTTAGCGCCAATGCCCTGAGCCAGGGCCTGTAACCTGACTACCGACCACCTGCAAAATTACATGGTCTGGCCCAACCGTAAGATTTAGCCACAGTCTACTTTGCTTCGGGGTGAAGCAAGTCTGAGGCACAAAATTGCAATCTCCAATTCTTTCAAGCTATTTCGGATTCTGTTACAATTTTTTCCTCTTCTCGTGCCGGATTTCTGGTCAGGACACTTTGTTTTTCCTTCATTTGGTCAGCTTTAAGTGAGTACCTTCCTTGTATTTTTTGCAGATCCCGTGTCATGCGGTATCTTATTGGCTAACGGCAATTCGACCCAAGGGCCTCCCACTGCAGTAACAACGGAGAGACAGCCAACAAGGGCAAGACCAACAATGGCAAGCTCGCACGATGATGAAGAATGGGACAAGAGCACATCCGAAATCCAGTCTGAAGACTCGGACGATCTGCACGAGAACCGCCCCAACCGCTGGAAAGGTCCCCCGCAGAGCTGGCGCACCATCACAGAGGAGGAGCGCCTTGCTTACAATGCCCTCTTAAGACTGAGAAATGATGACCTGTCGCTGCACTTGTATAATGCCTGGGCCCTTAAGCAGCGGGCGGCAGCTGCAGAGGAGGGTTCTAGCCAGGAAGAGGTCCGTCCCACCTTCCCAATCCCGAAACCAGACGCTCGAGACTTGCTGACTTTTGGGTTCAGGATGTTGATGCAGAGACAGGCCGACCTGTCCGTAGCAACTCATGGGCCCCGCCTAGGAATTGGACTGCCTGGCCTCTTCCCACACATCTGCTACCGCCGGATGATTTCATGAAGATAGTCGACGACGAGGATGAGGTCTTCACTTTCCGGCACCCGGACGAGCAATCGCCCCGCTCCAGACTCGAGGAGGTCGTGTCGGCGACCACGCTGAGATTTGCCAAAGAACGCTTACGGCGACGGGGCATTGCCGAATCATCTCATCAAGGCGACGACAGTACTGTCAAGACGGAGCCCTCCGCATCTGAGAATGAGTCCCAGCCGAGCGAATCAGGGGACCACGGCGAGGATGATGAGAGTATGGACATTGACCAGAAATCAGAAGGTCGACCAAACCGAAAGCAGAAGGCTCCCGTGAAGACTTGCAAGCCTGTGGTTGCTACGGATGATGACGTTTCATACGACCTCATACGGCCCTCCACGCGAAGGATTCTCGGGAAGTTTGATGATACTTTGACTATTTTGCACAACGCTCAAATGCCGAGTGCCCAACATCTTGAAGGCTCTGAAGAGTCATCCTCTGAAAGTGAGGACGGACTAGACGACCATGAAAGGTCACAGAAAATTCCACGATCACGACAGTCCTACCGACCTGGCAGCTCTCCAGAACGCTCTCCCAGCAGGTCGAGAATGCCAACAGGAGACGAAGCAGATGAATCCGTGAAAAAGAAGTCCAACCGCGGCCGACCACGCAAGTACGTACAGAAGGAAGGCGAAAGCGAGAGGGACTTCCTCATAAGACGAGGAAAAGCTCTCAAAGGGACAGTGAGAATACCACCGACCGACGAAGAGAACGACGACCAAGCCACGACCGCCGCGGGCTCGAGCCAGAATTCGCCACGCAAGCGCAGTCCGAGCGGAAAAAGACGCCGCAAAACCGTGGCAGAGGACAGGGAGCACGAAAAGCATAAGAAGCTCGAGCGTTCCAACCTGCTGGACTGGAAGGACGTCATGGGCGCGGCGGCGCTGGCGGGATTCCCGCCCGACGTCGTCGCCCGGGCGACACAGAGGTGCGCCAACCTGTTCGGCCAGGGAATGGAGATGCATAAGATCGATGAGACGGCAGCTGCATCAGGAGCCAGTGGGGTGGTGACAACGATGTATCAGCCCGGAGGAGAAATGCCCCCGAGCAGCTCTGAGGCCCAGGAGGACGTTGGCGATCTCGACCTCCGCCAGGCGCGATCTATGAGTCGGCATTCCAGCGCGGCCTTGAGCAGGATGACTTCTCCGACATCAGATGATGAGGGCGATGAAGAGGGAGCTTCGCCCAAAAAGCCTCAGAAACGAGCAACATCCCGAGGCAAGGGGCAACATTTCTGCCTGTACGAAGACTGCGACAGAGCCTTAGAAGGCTTCGACAGACCCTTCAATCTCAAGAGGCATATGAAACTCGTCCACGGCCAAGACAGCCTGGAGATTGCCGAGAAGAAGGAAGCTGCCACGGATGACATGATTGGAGGTGTTCATCGTGACGGATTTCTTGAGCCCATACGAGTTCAGAAAGGCTGGAGGGCTGAGGATACTAAGAAGAGGGCCAAAAAGAATTCCTAGACAATGCGACAATGGAATCAAGAGCCTGGAATTGAAAGAAGCCAGCACCATCAGAGAGTCAGATAGTTACTAAGGCTCTCACGATAGCTTCAGACGACACACCAACAGCACCGAAGGAAACCAAACGGGAGAGTTTCCCGTCGTCACCAGATATTGTTATTCAGGAACATCAGTCTCAAACTCCGAAGTACTGCCTTCATTAAGTGGGCTTCAATGGTCATGGGGTTGTCGCGTGTCCCACAGAGGGAGAACATCAAGTCGGCTTTCAGGAACACAAAATTAGTTCTGATTGTGCTGATCCGTCCAAATAATAATAATGAAAAAACAGGAATTACTACCAGAGATGAAATCCCCACTGAACGCAGAACAGTGCGGTGAGACGACCCCACTCATGCAGATGCTACCTCCCGGCCTGCTACTCATCAGCAAACTGCCTCGCGACCTCCCTCGCAAAGTCCCCAAGCGTATCAAATCTCCACTGGAAGCTGACCTTGCCCTCCCTCACCATCGCCTCATACTCACCCCCGATCCCCTGCCCTTCCTTCTTCTCCCCACCCCTCGAGATCCAACAGCTGCTGAACCCAAGCGCCTTGGCGGCAGAGTGGTCGACCCTCAGGCTCCGCGCGACGTGCAGCAGCCCTCCCCTCCCGGGCCCGGCGTCGACGCCAAGCTCGTCCCGCGCCCGCCGGAACAGGTACTCGAAGTTTGCGGGCGCGGGCTTGTAGCTCCCGATCTCCTCGGCCGTGTACACGGCGTCGAAGGGCACGGCAGATAGGGGTCCCGACGTGGTGGCTTCGATGTTGGCGTTGTCAATATTGGACAGGATAATCAGCTTATAATGCTTCTTGAGCGTGCGCAGCGCCTCGATCGTGTCCGCGAACGCGGGCCAGCGCCCGGGTCCGCGCGCGAGGGCGTCCAGGTCCTCCTGGGAGAGCGAGACCTCCGGCAGCCCGACGTCCGCCGCGAGCTTCTTCAGCGCCGTGGTGAGGTTCAGGTCGTACTTGAGCGCGGGCTGCTTGTGCTCGAGCTCGTTGGAGAACTCGTCGAAGCGCAGGAGGGCTAGCTTCGGGTCCTTGGCGTAGGGGTGATCGGTGGGGAGTTTGCTGGTGACGGGCTGGAGGGCCTCAATCAGACCGGGTTCCCACTCTATCAGTGTGCCATAGCAGTCGAAACTTAGTGCCTTGAACTTGGTGAGATCCTTGGTGTTGTCTATGTCGGCCATATTTTATTTTATTCTTGGGGACGAGGCCTAAGGGTTATAGACGGATAGGGTTTGGTTGGTCGGTCTCTGATATGCTTAGAAGGACAACCATGAGATTCCTGTTCGGTTCCTGGGTCATTCGCAATTTATATGAGGCCAACAGGATCGGAGTCCTCCAAATGAGGTTCAAGAGTCCCTCACGTTCTGCTCACCATGGCACTTATTCCCCGCCCACAGGGCGTGCATTGACAACCGCTCGCCCAGAATCCTGCCGCTTTGGGCTGTCTAGTACAGCCCATACGCCCTTGTCGCTGCACCACTTCGTCACGTTGCATGCAAACAGAAGGTATCTTTGGCAAAGGGCGTATGCTGTGGACGATCTGACAACACAGAGAGAAACAAGTACACTGTTTACTTCGAACCAATCAATTCAAGTGAGCAGCCCGAAACACTAGCTCAGGGGTATCGAGTATACTGAGTAAAACCTACACAGCGCCGTTCAAGAATCTGCATTCGCACAATGTATTGGGTCCAGTCCGCCCCCGTACTCTTAGAGTCCCTACGTGCACCAATTCGCCACCGAGCTCCTTGCGAACTGCAAACATCAAACATAGGAAATAAGCGATGCCTGGCTTGCACCCATAGTTTTCATAGAATCAATACATCAGTGCAGTCGAGGGCTCTTCCGTCGTCGCGCACTTTGAGAAAATTCTGATGGTGGCATGTTTTCAACGCCGTCCAGATGAACCTTTTTGATCTGCTTAGAGGGGATCCTAGACGTGCTCTTCTTGACAAGAGGTACGGTGTTATCGTCGGCCGGAGGAAGGGCAGACATTGTGCTTGCAGTCGGGTCGAATAGCAGCCCGGTGGTTGTGAGATTTGCGTTGACCTCTCGCAGACTCTGGCTCAATGGGTTGGTTGCAGAGTCGGAGGAAGCTGGCCGGGACGGAGACTTAGCCTCTTCAGATGTATCAAGATCGTTGAAGATAGGATGTGCAGGTGTGGCTTTGCTCGGTGTGGCTGTTGGCCGGCTCGGTGTCTGCAAAGGAGCGTGGGGAATGCCGGCGATGACAACGTCATGAGCGGCAGTCCGGGGCAATTCGGTAGGATAATGGTATTGAACCCTCTTAGGTGTCTCTCCGGTGGGCTCGTATTCACGGAGAGCGGTGCTCGAGATGTCTTCCCTTAGCTTGCTCAGAGGCTGGCAAAGACTGTCGTCAAGGGGCTGCAGGTCTTTATGTAGGGTCTCGATCTCCGTGCCCATCTTCTCCCCGATGTCGTGCACTCTGTCGAAAGTACCCCTATAATGAGATGAGATGTTGGAGAATGAAGAGTCGACTGTATCCGACAAATTAGCCACGGAGATTGTGTGTTGTGCATGGTGCCCCGCGTTTTCTGATCGAGCTCGAGTTACGAAGTCATCGAGCTCTGTCATCTGCGTATCCAAGTCTCTCATCTGTTCATCTACCACACGAACCGTCTCGGCGTGCACTGATTTGGTCGTTTTCTGGATCGAGGTACTATGCTCATTCGCCGCCTGCGTTTCAACTCTATTAGCACGCCAATTTCATCATGTCTTGCATTCGGGATCAAACTCACAGTCCAGTCGTCCTGAAGTTTCGTCTTCAATACGTCGCGAGACTCGGACACATCTTGCAGTAGTTTCTCCTCGTTTGAGTCCCACGCATCCATGCCCGTCGAGTACGCCGTGACTTGTCCTTCGAAGGTTTCCGTGGCGCCCTTGACACGGTCTTGGATCCTGGCAGCCTTGCCGGCCAGACGAGTCTCCTGCTGCTCGGCGTGGGCGTTGATAAGTGTTGTGATCTGTGCTAGGAGCTGCTGTCGATCTTCCGCCGCTTGTCTCCTCTCCTCATTGACAACCGTCTCAATTTGGGCTGAAGTGGACTCGTTCGATCGCAGCATAGTCTGACTTGCGTCTTCCAGTTGCCTTCTCAAGGAATCGGATTCGCTTCGCTGAACACTAATGTGACGAAGCAAGTCCTCGAAAATGGTCTTGAAGTCTTTGCCAAGAGAGCTATAGGACGCATGGAGATGAGAATGGAATGTATCCAACTCACTCATCACGTCGGCGGCTATTCTCTCAGCAGCTGCGGCGATGGCTTGGAGACTTTCACCAACCCGCTCCTTGATGTTGTCTCTGACAACCTTGATCTCTTCCAAGACATTGTCCATGTCATCCTTGGACCGCTGCTTCTGCTCTACGAGGTCGTCCCTCGATGCAACAAACTTTTCAAGATTTTCGTCCAGGAAAGATTGAGTAGCTGACAACTTCTCCAATTCCTCCCGCACGAAGTCTTGCATTCTCTGAGAAACGCCAGAGATGTGGCTCTCTTGATCGTTTCGGAACTCTTGAACGCGGCTCTCGACGAGTTCGGTGACATCCGATACCTGAAACTGCGACATAGCCCATGTGCTTCGGTTGAGATCTTGCAAATCCGACTTCCTTTTGTTCTTGGCTCGCAGACCGCTCACATCACCGACAGTTTTCTTGAGAGTGTTGATAAGCTCTCCGCCCACAGTTGTGAGTTTTTCTTCCGTCTTCTGATGGGCCTCGCGAAGTTGGGTTTCCTCGGCAAGCGTCTTCCGTGTGGCTGCCAGAACGAGTTCTGTCTGGTCAAGAACGCCTTGCGTCTCATCAAGCTGCGCTTTTGTGCCCTCGTGCTCCTTCTTGAGTCCCATAAAACTCGAAGTCAAGGAGAAGAGCTCTTGCACTTTGTTGCGCAGGTTTGATTCCAGCGTCATAATCTTGGCAGCTTGCTCATCGGCAAGGATACGGCGAGACTCGCTTTGAGCAGTCATTTCCTCGTAGGCCTCATTGGTGAGATACACGCCATTGCGCAATCGTGTAGCGATTAACTCGGTCTTGAGCTTCTCAATCTCAGCCGTAAACTCCTTCAACAATGCCTTCTTGTTGATAAGAGTGTTGACCTGGGGCTTGTTTCTGATATTCTTTGCCCGGAAAGCGTAATCAAGTGTAGAAATGGTCTCCTCGAGGTTGCTTTTGGCAGGTGAAATGGTCGCGATGATGCATGTCTTTGTCCTCCCGCCGAGAGAATCCTGCAGGAGTCGGGTAAGTTTGGACTCTCTGTATGGGATGTGAGAGCTTTTGTCAACGAGAGCGTTGATCACGCGGCCCAGTGTCAACAAGCTCTTGTTGATCAGGCCCGCTTCTGCAGCACGTTTGTTCTCCGCTCCAGACCGTTGGATATTCTCGCTTCCGGCAAGATCAACAAGATTCAGCTTTCCAAGACTGATGAAGTCCTCACCACTGCCACCTGGTCGCTTGGCATGGACTGTGATGGTGAAGACGGTATGACTTCGACTACTGAGGTCGTTGCACTTAGTCGCGGCGACTTGTCGCCTCAAACTTCCTTCCTGTAATCGCGCGATACCTTCTGCAGCGTTGGTGATGTGTCGCTCCTCCACTCCTTGCACCAAAGTTGACATGTGGCCCTTCTTCGACAGGTCGTCAAAGATCTTCAGCTTTGCATTCTCGTCCGGAGTGAGCAGGTCGCGTAGCTCCTCATTGTAAAGCTCGATGAACGAGCAGCGAACACAGTTCTCGGTGCCATCAGAATCGAGCCTGTTGAACAAAGCTTGCAAGACGCGCGGAACAATACCAGCTTCGGGGGCAAGAAGACCTAATGATTCGGTCATGTCACCAGACATGGTATAGGTCTTGCCAGTGCCGGTCTGGCCATAAGCAAAAATAGTGCAGTTGAAGCCAGCAAGCATCTATGAGAGTCAGCGGCCTGGTGCCAAAAGATTGTAACCCATGGCTGACTCACGTCTCCCAATATGGGTTTTACCACGTCGTCAAAGACCATTGATTGATCTGCTGCTTGCGAGAAGACACGGTCAAAAGCATAGGTCTTGTTGCTCAGTGCATTTGAGCCCATGGACAACTCGACATGCTGTCCCATCACACCATTTGTTTTGACGACAAGAGCGCTGTTTTCGCCGACCTCGCGCTCGCTCCGGCCTCTGCATCGTACTACCACGGTGATATTTGTCTCGACATTGAAATCCGTCTCGAAATCGCGTTCTTTGCGCTTCATGCCTGCAGCCGGCGACGTTCTGGTGGACGAGGCAGTCTCAGCGCGTGAGGCGGCACCGGACCTGTCGAGCCGAGATGTCACGGTGGCGGCGCTCTGGGGCCTGACACTGGGGGCGCGTGTCGTCGATCCGGCTCGTATGCTTGCGCGACCAACGGCGCCAGGTCGAGATGGAGGCGGCATGGCGGCTGAGGATTGGACGCCCCTCCTCAGGGGAGCCTTTCGTTTGGAATCCAGGGTGAAGGCGTGCACCAGTGGTGACTCGGGGGCAGGTTGATGTTGCTATTCGAACTGGACGCTGCTGTACGCGCAGTGCCTTGGGGGGAAATAATCAAACAAATCAGTCCCTCGTGATTATTGTTGGACGCGAGAGGGAGCCGAGGCAAGTTGATAACGTGTTCAGCGCGTCGGAATGTAGAAGCAAATGATGAGGGTGTGAGGGTATAACAGATTGATAGCAAGCACTTCGGAGCTCTATCAGACAGGGTCCAGTATGATCCATTGGGGGAGGGGCGCAGACTCCAAGGTTGACTAGCATGAGCAGATGAAGTTTGCGCGTAGCTCCTGTTTACAAGCGGGCAAAAGGCGGGTCTGGGGGCAGCGGCACCCCTGCCAGGGCCGTTCGCCCCAGTTCAACCCGACATGGATGTTGCTGCAGCAACTATCGATAGGACCTTGCAGGCACGACCGTTAACCCCTGTCGAAACGGTCCCTCCTGCCGGGCGTGACACATGCAGATGACGTTTTGGAAGTGTCCCGCGCTTTCCCTTCCGCTCACCCCCCTTGGGCCCCTGTCCACCCGCCTTTAGACGCATCACGCGGCGGTGGCAGGCCGTGATTGACACTGAGACCAAGGCTGACTAGACGATGTACGTTTGCAGAGAGCTCTAACTTCGATCGTGAACTAGAATTACAGCCGCTCTCCACAACATGATCTGTTGCAGAGCAGACCAAGCTTGTAAGGCTGACCACACAGCCCATCACTTCCAGACGTACCAAGCTGCTCAGACAGCCATTCCGTTTACTTGAGCGCACCTGCCGACCGCCGTCCCTCCCCGCGAATCCCTTATCTCCCACTTGGGTGCGCATGTCCTCAGCTCTCAACATGGCGTCGCTCTTCAGCGCTCAACTCCATCCAGGACGCGCACTGGGATTCCTTGGTATGCTGCCTCTTACCACAAATACATTACGTCGTCTTGGTTGCTGATATCGCCTTCCACAGTTCTCGGCGCATCTCTCCACGACATCCTGACCCGACTCAAGGCCGAGCCCCAACGATTCCCGAAGCTCGACCTAGTATACTCGCCAACTGATCCGGTCAAAGAGCCTGTCGTAGTCACGCTTCCAGCGAACGGAGTACGTTTACGTTTCGATGGCCCTGAACAGCGCCTTCGCCTGGTCGAAGTCGTCGACTTCACAAAGAACCACATCACCTTCAAGGACCAGAGCACAGATCGCGACTTGGTGAAACCACCACCCGACCCTGCAACTCATTCTCACTCGGGAGAACCTGCCACCGAGCCTACCTTCAAACACATATACCAGAGATTCCTGGGTCCCACTTACGATGGCGAGTTCATCCCAGGTTCCGATGGGCAAGGGATTTACATGCTATCGTACCCAGGCGTAGCTTTCACGTTTCCTCTGGCACAGTCGGCCTATTCGCCCGACAAGGATGTCGTGACGCTACTGTCTTCTTCCACGCAAGTCGCCACGTCGATGGCAGTCTTCAGCGGGGACTCCTGGGCCCAGTCTCGGGAGACACTGTGGACCGAGGTCCTCCCCAGTGTCAAGTCGTTCGCACCACTTGCAAAGGGCAAGGATGTCTGTCCAGATGAGATATCACTCGTTAAGATCCATGGAGGAGGGAAGATACAGTTGTTCAAGAAGTGGACCAGCAGCTCTACTTGGATATTCCTGGGCGACACGACTCCGCAGGAGCTTGTTGCGGAACTGGGACCACCTGATGCCATCTACCGCAAGAACGATCAGCGCATGTACATCCACAAGATTCGCACGGCCAGCAACAGCCGGACGCGGCCAGATGGTGATGGTCTGCGGCGACCAGGTGATCTGACGGACACGGACCAGTCCTCCGCGAATACAATGTCTGAAGACTCCAACGATGACGAGGCAATCGAGGAGGACTTTGCTGGCAATGTGTCTGGCGAGTGTTTCTACAATTACTTCTATCTGGGTTTCGATGTTCTTGTGTCTACACCGACGTCTCCCTCTCAGCCGCCACCATCCCAGGACAAGTCTGGACTTCCAGAAAAGACCATCAAGTCGGAATCACCAGATCGCCTGGTGGCAACCAAGCTGATACTGCACGCCAATGTGCCAGGCTCGTACCCATTCAACCGGCACCGACGCTGTAGATGGGAGATTTCATATCTGGATCAAGCCTCGCCGGAAGCACCAGTCGGCACCGAGACGCCCTTCGCCGATATCTCGAAACACCTGCGACAAGAATGGCAGTCCATCTACTCCTCGGAGGCCGAAGCCCTCCAGAAGCAGAGAGGCATGGTACTCAACCGGGGCTGGGGCGACAGTCCTGGGAGTAGCTGCGAGCTTCTTGGGGGCTGGGAAGACAGCGGCGATAGTACGAATGTAGGCGTCGGTGCCAGGCGTGCTGATGGTAGCGAGGACTCTACGACTACGTTGTACGGCTTCCCCGGTCTCGTGTTTGAGGTACTCAAGAATGGGTACGTCAGTGCCTTGACAGTCTTTTGATGGCTTGTCAACAGCCTGTCAACTGTGGCCTTATAGCCAAGGCCGCCGTCGTATGGAGCTGCTGAGCGATCAGCATGTGGCATTCAGGTATCTGGTTTGCAGGCGGATGGGAAGGAGCTCAGCGTGTTGCATAGGAGACATTTCAAAGTGGCCGTCACTACCACTCTCCACCGTCATTTGGCCGTGGTCTTGGTTTTGCCATGGGTCTCGTTACAGATCTGGGCGTTGGAAAGGCGTCATATTTGGATCGGTGATGGGCATTGCTTGAGGTCCTCTAAGGCCGTAATTGATAAACAATGATATCTGCGAAATCGTGACTTTTCTCGTTTACTCGTGTTCGAGCGCTTCTCCATAAACCCAATTATCATGTCATCAAAGATCGCAAGTGCGGCGCATCCTCGCTTCACTTTCTCTCCTATCTTCCTCAGCCGGACTCTAGTTTCCGTCCCTGATTAAGGAGACAACGCTTCCAAAAGATCGCGTAGATAAACCATGAGCTGTGTATTCCTTCAAATTGGGAACTTGTCTTCGCGTGTTCCAGATGTCATGTTGCGAAGCCTCGGCACGTCTGCACGTCTTCGCCGACCTCCTGTGACCTCCCCTCCGATCTTCACCACCAGCGCTCTGTCGCAGACGGATTGGGACTCAATCCCGGTCCACCAATGTCGTTCTCTTCCATCCTCACCCAAGCACCATTGTGCCGAATGTGTCTCACAAGCTCAATATCATCAGTGACACTGATGCCCAACTGCGCAGGTGAGAGTATGCGCTGTGCCGAACCTTCCGCCTTGTGGAAGGCTTTTTCTTCATGGGATCCCGGCTCGAGCTGCTAGGACTTTCCCGTCCGAGGATCCAGAGCATCAGCAGACCCGTACACGATCTTGCGGTAGATGGGTCGGTAGGTGGGAATTGACACGACGAGAAAGCCGGCGCATATCTCGGCCTCAGAGGCCCATGCTGCTGGTACCGCATCCCCTTTGGCGCACAGGTTAGTAATTATCGCTTCTTTTTTTTTTTTTTTTTTTTTTTTTTTTTTTTTTTTTTTTTTTTTTTTTTTTTTTAGGGACCATGTGCTTTGTAAGAGGCGATTCTGCAAGCTTTGACGGCAGCAACGCAAAGGAACGACATACAAGAGCCGTCGAGCGAGCCGACTTGGAGAGCGAACACGAGACGGATGATACTAACAACACAAGCACTAAAACGTAAGACTGTCAAAAGTGTTGCCCCACATAGTCGCGATTCAAAACTGGTTCAACTTACCTCCCGCCCATGGCAAACGAGAAATAAATCCACCTCTTTTTCTCTTTCGAAGCATTCAGCCTTTGGACCTGTCTGAAGGGCAGGAGAAGAATTATGAAGTCCGTGATGATGTTGCATATGTCACGGTACCCACTACAATGGCCCACTATATAAACGCCGCAGCTTCGCCTGCGGTTCGTAGACTTTTAGCTCTTCTCTCCTCGCGCAACAACAAGTTATTATCACGGCTTACGAGCAGCACCGTAACAGCATACAGTGGTGACAAGCTGTAGGATTCCGTACTGTATGCAGTGGCCTTCGAGAGAATCATCCCAAAATGATTCAATCGGAATACATTGACATATAGCGCCGGTGGCACTCATCAGCGACCATGAGAGCGTGAAGACTCCCAGTGCCCAGAGACAGTGACGGAAGCGGCGATATGGGAAGATGGATCCGTAGAGGGCGAGGATGCTAAGCTTCAAGAAGCCCATTGACATGACGTACGAGACCTCGGTAGTCATGGCCGTCTATGATGTGTTAGCCGACGGGTGATGTCTAGTCAATCTGTTGTTCAAGAACCCACAATCTGAATCCCTTTCTTGCTTGTGATGAAGATGACATGCCGCTCACCGCCATACCTTGTCATTAGTCCAAAGCTTGTAGCACCAGTCGCGACGAAAACCTGCAAAGCAAGACATTATTAAGGATTCGCTCTCACAGTGGTCGGTAAAGAAGGATCTCATACCCAGGAGATGACGAGAAACTTATCACTGATGTGTATATACCAACGCCGGTGCATCAAACGCCGGCCAACAAGTCGGAGGAAGACGAATAAAGTGCTCAGGAAAGCAGTGACTATGGTGCAAACAAGAATACCGACAACTCGACTGTCACTGGAATGCTGCAGAAAATACCGATGTTGCTCCGGGGTGGGTTCGTCCCCTTGGTTGGACATGGTCACTAGAACTTTCGTCGTAGATGCAATGATGAGTACGCTGTATACCCAAGGACAGAGAATGGACTGACGTGCTGACCGACCTGAAGAGGGGAACAAAAATATGGTCTCAGGGGGCAAATTTAGCTGTGCTGGCTCAAATGTTTTGGCTTCGCCTGTCCCTCAGTTTCATATAGAAGTGTGAAATGTCTAATTGTGTTGTACAAGAAGCCTGGACGCGAGGTAATGGGCGTTCAGCTCGATGACGCACTACTGCGCCATGCCCACCCTACCATGAGTTACTTGTGCAAAACATCTCGAGACTTTTCCAGTGCTGAAAAATTCCTACAGAATCATCTGTGGTAGCACTGCATTTTAGTCGGTGGGGGCTGTTCCTCTGGGTGTTGGGAGTATGCTGTTCAAGTGGCACAATGGAGAGTGCGGCGTTGCAGCAAGACGACCTCATCAGGGGTCCTTGTAGGTCACTAATGGTGGGCATCTCGTATATATTTAAAGAACCGTTTAGAGCTGCAAATCACGTTTGTCTGCATACGGGGCTGGAAGAGCAGTTGCTACCTTGCCGCTCCTCTTTGCTTTCAGACAAGCCCTGGAGACTCCGTCGATGTTTCTGAGTCGATTTGCTGTGCTCTTACATGCTCAAGCTTAATTCGAATGCAGTCGAGAACTGTGTTGGGTCCAATTTGTAGAGTGTTCATGTTACAAGTGTGCTGTGTCGACATACTGTGCCTGTCAAAGGGGACCTGAGCGGTAGACTTTTATGCAAACGAAAGACCCAGTCGGGGCGTCATACGTGAGATGGCGGACGACTTCTCTGGAACAATATCTCCGATTGCAAATGACTCTTGACCTTCTTATGAGATAATGTGGATCCGTGTTTCACACCCACGCCCAGATGCCAGTGAAATACAACACGGTCTGCATCCTGGAGTATTTTAGGGATTCAAACCCAATTACCCGTGTACACTTCATGACATAATACTCTACCCATCCAGTTTATAAGTACAAACCGAGGTTGTTTTTGGAATGATTGTCTAACGCATTTAATCACTACAGTGTTCTTGTTGCACGAGAAAACCTGTAGTCCAATCTGACACGTTCAAGAATTCCGCTGTTTTTGGACTCTTAGCGGCGACACAGTGGTATTTAATGCCATGTGCCACGGCATACCAAGGCTTTCGCGAAGCCAAAGGCCTCAGAAAAAGTTTTTCAGCCGATTTGTGATTGTAGCACAATTAGGTAGACCAAACTAAAGTTGATTCACTTGAGGGCTGAAGACTGTTCCAAGTGGCTTGTTTCTGGAACCTCACTTCAGCGAAGGCTCCAGAAACCAATTGCCATGTCATACAAAATGGGGAGTCTGCTATCCCTGTAGAAGGGTGTCCACACAGATACGGCGCTTGAGGCTAAAGTCAGGCAGTGCCCATGGCGTTTCATCACGGTTTAATCTGGAGACTTTGAACCCAAATAATTCCGCTAATCTCATAATTCTGATTCAGTAGTGCTCACCGTTGACTGCGGTAGTTCCAGAATAGTTAAAAGAATGCAAAAACGTTATCTGCGGCTCTATAGACTATAGGAAATTATGGTAGGACTTCGTCGCACCACTTCTCCCAAGCCAGAAGACGCGGACGATACCAGCCTACTGGCTTTCTCTCCTGACAGAAAATTAGTGGCCTCTGCAGGTTGGAGAGAATTCGTTCGGCCATGCTTGGATGCGTAAAGCAAAGAGTAGGAGATGTGGCTCAACTCTAAAAGGGAGTAGCTAGCAACTGAGGCGAGATCAAGACCGCCCACATCTTCTACAGCACATTTCCAATACTGCTGTCAACCAATACGATGGATATTACCCCTTCAGACTAGCAGAAATTGAGGCCAGTGAGGTACATCTCTTATTTCGATGCGGCGTAGTACACATACTAAAGTGGAATGAATTCAGTGGGGCTCACCAACTGGCAGCTTGTATGCTGCGCCAAGTACTTGGAAATGCACACCCCTTCAGTTGGGACCCACAGGTTTGCCCTTGTTCCGCCTTGTCCGTGTGCACCAACTATCGGCAAGGACGGAAGCAAGGGGCGGGAGCAAGGTGGGAAAGCAAAGGATCGATATAACGAAGATGATGGTGTGAGGATAGCTGTGCTTACAAATAGAGATCTCACGCTTTGCAGCCTGAACATCAGCTTCCAAGACTCATCAATACGAACCATACGTTTCTCAAAAATATTACTTAAACCAAGCTTTGCATAATCTCACAGAGCCTCAGTCTTTTCCTCGAAGTATGAACCATTAGTGTTTCAAGATGACTCGTCTCGCACCTTACTACGAGCAACACAAGCTCGAGAACGTCCAAGGCCCAGGGGATTCTCGTCCAACGGCTGCCCAGATAGTCAAAGATCAGGGCCTCATTGACAGCCCCGAATGGGCCGGCAGAGTCGTTCTCATCACAGGTGTTTCGCCTGGAGGGCTCGGGGTTGAGACAGCAAAGGCCATCCATTTGACGGGCGCGGACGTCTACATCACTACTCGAAACCTTTCCAAGGGCGAAGAGGTCGCCGAAGAGATCCGAGCGGATGGTAAGCCTGGAAAGGTCGACGTCGTCCAGTTGGAATTGGACTCGCTGGACAGCGTTCGAACTGGTGCGGCCGAGTTTCTGAAGAAGAGTGGCAATAAGCTCAACATTCTCATCAACAATGCCGGCATGTACCCAAGAATTGACACGCTTGAAATATGCGCTAAGTTCTGGTTAGGAATCATGGCCTGTCCAAAGGGCCAAACCAAAGATGGCTTCGAGTTGCAGTTCGGCACCAACCATCTCGGTATGATTTCCGCCTCCTAGTGAGAGAAATTTGCGCAAATTCTAACATCTTTTAAGGCCATTTCCTGCTCTTCCAACTTCTCAAGGATGCTCTTCTGGCTTCAGCAAGCCCTTCATTCAACTCCCGCGTCGTATCAGTGTCCTCCGGCGCCCACCGGAGTGGCAAGATCAACTTCGACGACCTCACTTTCGACAACACCGAGTACACTCCGCTTGGGGCCTATAGCCAATCCAAACTTGCCAACGTACTCTTCGCAAATGAGCTAGACCGGAGGTATCAGTCCAAGAACCTCCGAGCTCTGAGCCTACACCCGGGTGGCATCCTCACTCCCCTCACGAGGTACCTGCCGACCACAGATGACATCAAGGCCGACAAGGAGCTCTACAGGACCGTGAAGGACCCTGCTCAAGGCGCTGCGACTACCGTTTGGGGTGCTGTGGCAAAGGAGTGGGAAGGCAAAGGAGGAGTCTACCTCGATGAGGTTGCTGAAGGATGGCTCACCCCGCCAGATGCGTTGTACTTGTTGGCAAGTACGACCCTCGCTATTAGGAGGCTACTTTAGTTATCCCCTACAGGGCACGTAGCCTCTTAAAACTTAGACAGAATAACACCAATACACGATTGCTTCCTATATGATTATCATACGTACGAGAGACCTACCAATACTAATTAGTAATCATGGGTATTATAAATTAATAAGGTAAAAGAGGCAACCTTATAAGGATTTTTCTAACCTAAAAATTACATCCTTCTTATTAATAAGCACTATATAGCAATAATTACTTCTTTAAGCCTCCCTATACCATTAAACTCCCTAAGTAAATATTATAAAGATTAAATAAACTAAGTAGCATTTCCTATAATATCCATATGCATATTCATTATTATTTAAGAGATATGCATTTATTATATATAAAACTCTATTAAAAACGAACTTATTATAAACCCATCTTTAACTCCTTTTTAAAACCCGGCAAAACTTAATAAAGCTTCGTTTTGCTAAATAAATAAAGCTTATAATTATTGCAATTGCTAAATAAACAAAGCTTATAATTATTGCAATTACTAAAGCTAATGCAACGTTATGTTATAAGCAAGTATAAGTTATGCATTATGCTTTTAGCTAATATAAAAGGACTTAATAATAGGAGAAAGCCTTAGCTTTTAAGGCTTAAAGGAATTAATAACTTCTTTTTTTTAATAATTATAACTTGCTCCTTATTAAATTACTATTATTAACTTACTTTTAAACATTACTTATTTTATTAATATTTCTTTATTTTATTAATTTTATTTCTTATAATATTTGCTATAAAAACTTGCAAAAATAGTTAATAATGCTAAGGAGCTACCAGCTCTTATTAAAGAGTATATAGTTAATAAGATGCTTACTTAAACTTTAATTAACCTAGCCTATTATAAATATATTAACCTGGAATTATAGTTTACAGCCCTTATATAGGGAGCATTAATGAAATACCTAATCACTTACTTAGCAAGTACTTTAGTAAGTTATATGTAATAAAATCTTTATAATAACAATTTTTTTATTGCCTATTGTAAGGATTATGTAATATAAACATAGGTAATGTTTAAAGTACTATTAAATCCTTATTAATAATGCCTAAAAGTTTTCCTTTAAATGCAAGGTATTTATATAAGATGTAATAACTAACCTATGGCATTATAGTTAGTTATCATGGCTTAAGTTAAGGAAAGATTAAAATAAACTAATAATAAGCTTTGTAATGCCCTATTAACCCTAAAATTAAGCATAAATAAATATTGCATGCAACTTTAAAAATAATAACTATAAGTATAGCCTTTATAAAAACCATAAGCAAGCTTTAAATAATAATAATTGCCAAAAGGGTAATCCCTGGGACAATATTTACTATTGCTACCAGCTTTAGGCGCGCAATTACAAAACCTAAACTTAATAATATAATTTATTAAAAATTAAATATAGCTAGCAAGGCTCATTATTATTAGCAAAGAAATGGAAATAAAGCTTATATTAAAGATATATACTATACCCGGCATAACCTTAAGCTACTTTAAAAATACCTTTATTAAATAAAAAGTATAACCTATATAAAACTCTTTCCTTATAATACATTCTTAATAAATATTTAAATTTAGCAAAGTTAGCATAATTTATAAAAACCTTTAATAATTTTCATAAGTATATTAAGGATTTATATAACTTATTAAATAATAAGATAAAGATATTTTTTAATATTTATTATTATGCTAAAATTTAGCTAAGTTAATTCTATATGGTTTTTCCTTAAATGCTTAAAAACTAAGTTAAGGCCTATTATCTTTATTTCATAAATTAAATTAATATATTTGCAATAACATACCTTAAAATTAAAATGCATTTTAATATAAACCTTAATTATTAGCATTATTATATAAACTAAATAATAATAATATTTATAAAAATAAAAGTATAAAACCTAAATAAAGATTTGCATAAGGTTTTATATTTAATGCTTAATAAGCTGTAACTTTATTAATAAGCATTAAGCTAAGATTATGCTAAAAAGAATAACTTAAGAATAATAATAATTAAAGCTTATAAAAAAGTTTTTAAGTTAAAAATAGCTCTTTTTAAGCTAGCTTAATTATATAAAGAGTTATTTTTAAATTTAAGATTTATAATAAAAATATAACTTAGCTGCGTAATTATAATTTATATTATAAATAAAGTTTTAAATTAATATTATATTAATTGTAAGTATAATGGCTAAAAGCTAAAAGGAGAATAATAATTATAGTTTTAAGCGTTTTAAGGAAATTAAAGATTTAGCTAATTAAACTTAAGCTATTTAAGCTTTAAGCAGCTAAGATTTTATAGCATTAGCTATAAAGCTTAAAGTAATAATGCTTATAAAGAAGGAGGAAGAGGATAACTTTGGAAGAAAAGATATTATATTTATAAGAAGAAAGGATGCTAATTAATTAAACATTTAGCTAATAAGCAATATTTAATAAGAAGAAGCTATTTAATATAATATAAATATAAAGATTATAATAATAACTTTAATACTTTTTTAAGTAAGTTTAAAGAATATAAAATAAATAATAAAGATAAATTTTATAAATATAAAGATAAATAGGATTAAAATAATAATTATAATAATAATACTTATATTATAAAGGTAGAACTTAATAAGGAAATTCATTATGCAAATATTAATTTCCTAGCTAATAAAGCATTTATATACTAAATTATGAAAAATAATGTTTTTTAAATGGAAATAATTATTATAGCTAGCTAGTTTATCTTAAAGAATAAATATAACTAAACTTATTTTTAAGGAATCCTGCTGGATATTAAAGCATTGTTAATATTTACGGCTAAATATAAGCAATTTCTTATATTATAATAAAAAGACCTAAAGTATTAAATTAATTTAATTGCTGCAGGGAAAGCCAAAGTTAAATTTAATAATGAAATAATTATTAATTTGCTTAACATAATAAAAGTTTCCACTTTAATTAGTTATATTAACTTCCATATCATTTAAGCATAAACCCTATTCCTGCTTTACTTAATAAACATAAATAAGCTTTAAATATATTATAATAATATTATAAATAAAATGGTTTCTTTTAATAATATAACTATTATATTAATATTTAGAAAATAAGGCTATCTATGGTTTTTCCTAAATTAAACTATTAATGCTATATATTTCCTTTTGGAAATAGAAATAAGGAGACTTTATTATTACTTTAAACACCCATTAATAAATCAACTATGCCGGATGCTTAAAAAAGCTAGCAATTTAAATATTAATAAATAAGCAATGGCAGAAATTAAGAAAATGTATTATTATTATTAAATAAATAAACCCGTACTTAAGCGTTTTAAGTTTATATTATATAATAATTATAAATTTAATTATAAAATCTTAGTTAACGTAATATATTTAAGCAAATATTTAATTCTTTATATTATAAACTAGGCTATTGCTTTTTAAGGAGCGAAATTTTTAAAATTTATATTTATAAAGACTATATAATAAACATTATAAATGCTTTAAATTAATATATATTAAGAATTATTAAATGTTATTAAATATAATATAGGAATAAACTTTGTATCTTTAGAATTCCATTTAAAGGCATAAATAATGGGAATTAAATATAAATAAATCCCTATAAAGGCATATTAATTTATTAAGAAAGTTAAGAAATACTATTAAGCCCTTAAATAAGCATATAAAATCCTATATACTAAATTATATAATAATGTAAATAACGATGCTATTTTGCAAATAGCTATAAAAGCTATTAATAATATTGCTAAACTAAATAAATTAATCCCTATATTTTTAATTTTCAGTGCCTACCTATAAGTATTGCATAAGTTATTATTATTACCATTAATATAAAAGTAAGTAAAAGCTATTTTAAAGGCTATAAAGATGCTGTGAAAAACTATAGTTAAATAATAAGTGCGAAATGTATTAAATATTAAAGTTAAACTTATTTTTAGCATAAAATACCTACTGCAATGTAAAGTTTGTATATAAAGAGAAAGAAAAGGATAAAAGGGTTTATATAAGGTTATTACCATGAATAGCTATAATATAACCTTAAATATGCTAAATAAAGCTGCGACATTCAGGTTAATAATTATCCAACTATACTATTAAAACAATAATGAGAAAATATAACCCTTATAAGTAAAAAACCTAGCTATGGAACCTTAAATGCAACCTATTATGCAACTACCATTACCAAAGATAAAAAACTATATTATTATATTATATATCTTAAAGAAAGAAAATAAAAACTATAACTTAGCGATTAAATTAAGATAAGATGGAGTTATTATAATATTAGGCTTATTATTTAAAGAGTTTAATAAAATGGAAATTAACAACCTTATTATTAAAGGTATCTTTTAAATTAAAAAATAATTAGCAAAGCAATATAGTAAATATTATTTCTTTAAGTTTTGTATAATATAGGAGGTAAAAAGTAAAACCATAAAACCTTATAAGAAATCCTAATTTATTATTTAAGGTTATAATAATAATAAAAAGGGATTAATCTTAATGCAAAGCTTAATTATTTAAAGAATAAGCTAATAAATAATCCTTATACTTACCCCCTTATTAATTTAAGAAAAAGGCATAGTTCTTATACTTTAAGATATCATTTAAGCTTACCCCTAAGTAAAGTTAAAACTATGCAAAACGATCCTTGCAAAGCTATTAAAGAAACTAAGAAATAAATACCCTTTAGGCATAATTATTTATATTATTTAACCCTTATATGGCATAGTAAAATCCAGCGTTTATTAATTTAATACATATTAGAAATATTATTAATAAAAGCTTAAGATAAACTGCTCTATATATAATCCTTGCTTAATAATTATAAAGCCTGCATAACCCTTTAAGATAATAAGCATATAAATAAATAATATATTAATTCTATTTATGTTAAAATTCCAGGATAAGAAGGAAATTAAGATAAAAGCTGCAAAACTACAAAGAAAATCAAAATAAGCTAATGCTTAGAAACTTAATAAATTATAATAAGGCTTACATAACTATAAACATTATTAACTTAATTACTACTTAATAAAAAGAATAAGCTAATAAACTTGCCCTTATTAATGTAATAATTAAAAATGCTTTTTAAAGATACCTTAAATAAAAAGCCTGCAAAGTATATATAGCTTTAATTTATTAATTAAAAGCTTTATATAATCTTTTAATAGCTGTATAAATGCAAAACCTAAAGGCAAAAGATTATAAGAGCCTAAATATATAATTATTATAATAAATGAATAATGCCATGTAAGGAATTAAATATATACCCTTTAATCTTAAAATAGCAAAACTTTTTATATTTATAAATAAATTATTTATAAATAACTAGGACTTAATATTTTAACTTAAATATATTATTATCCTTATAAATAAAACTTATAAAGAAATTAAGGGATTTATAATAATAAGCAATATTCTTTATTAATTATTAATAAAATATAAACATATTATTTAAAGCATGCTAATAAGCAAAATTTACAGCATAATAAACAAAGTAAATATTGGAATCTCCCTAGCCATAATAATCAAGATAGCTATAAAATAACTTTTATTACCAAATATACCCTTAATTATTTATATAAACTTATATAGCTTATATAAATACCTTATAAAGCTAAGAATAATAAAGGAAAAGCACCTTATAATTAATATTATATTATTATAAGAATTATATAAAATAAGAAAGATTGCCAAAATAAGGTAAATAAATAAGAAAAATAACCCTGCTAATGTAATAATAAAACTAACTTTAAACACTGCATTATAAAAGCTTATTAATAATAATAAGCTTTGCATATGGATAAATGAATTAGTTAAGAAACTTAAAGTAGCCTCTTCCTGCTAAGAAAGGAGCAACTTGCCATTAGCACCTTTTCCTTCCAACCTTATCACTGCTAATTGCAAAACCTTATACCTCCTAAACTTAAAACCCTTAACATAAACTTTAACCTTCCACACTTTAATTAACACCTTCTTAATACCTTATTACATATAAGGACAACCTTATAATTATTAATATTATTAATAATCATTATTTTAAAATTAATTTTATTATTATTATTACCTTTTATTGCTATTTATTAACAATAACGTTAAAATTAACTTTTATTAAATTTATTTATAACTTATTAACTTTTCTTATAACTAAAGAATAAATTAATAATTATTACATAATAATTATAAAGTTTTATACTATAAATATTTATTTTAATTATTAAATTCCTATAAAATCTTTTTCTTCTTATTATAATAAAAAATATTAATAATAACTTATAAAAATTATTTAATACTTTTATTAATATGCCTTATAAGGATAATAATAATAAGCAAAATTATTTAGCAAATATTACATTTACTACCTATGCTAAAGATATAATTAGTATAATTATTATTATAATTACCATTAACATAATTAACATTAAAAGTAGCTTTGCTGCAACCCTTAACTAAAATCAAGATTCCCCTGCAAACATTATAACTATAACCTTAATTAATAAAATAAATATTATAACTATATTTCTATTAAGTAATAAGATAAAGATTGAAATTATTACTAAGGCTGTAAAAAAGGCTAAAATTACCTTAATTAATAAGGATAAAAATAAGCTTATTAATCTTATTAGCTCTTATAGCAAAATCATTATTAATAATGCTTATTTAATGAATATTAATAAGGATATTAATAATAATAACTCTTATCTACTTGCTCATCCAATAAATATTAATAAAGATATTAATAATAATAACTTTTATTTACTTAATATTAATAGCAATTTAATTATTATTAATAATAAAAATAATTAAAACTAGGCTAATGAAACCTTAATAAAAATTGCAAAGATTGCCTTTAAATTCACTTTTATATTAAGCATTAAAAAGAGCAAGCTACTTATTAAGATAAACTCTTAAAGAATTATTAAAATTAATAAGCTAAAAGCTATAACTATAACCTAAGCTAAGATACTTTTCTTAAATAATGTTATTATAATAGCTATTATTTAAATTATTAATAACTTTTAATATTAAAATAAGCAAATATTATTTAATAATATAGTTAAAAAGCTATATATTTATATTAAGAGCATTAAAACTCTTAATGCAAGATTATATAGCATTCCTAATAATAAAAACCATTAGGGTAATCATTATTTTAAATGCTAAATTATTGCGATTTCCGTAATAAATAACTTAATAAGGGTTTTAATCTTAAATATCTTCTATATATATTAAATTGGAAAGATTTAGCTATTAAAGGACTGGATTGCCATGCTAACCCAGCTTTAAAACTTTTTATATTAAATCATTAATAAATATATGCAAAGCTTATATATAAAAGGACTTATTAAAAAATATGCATTATTGCCTAAGCAACCTAAGCAAAAAATAACTATTAAGGAAATTAAAAAAAATAATAAAAAATAAGAGAAGAACTTAATAAATAATTAAGCTGCTTATAATGCTTAATTTTAAAAGAATAAAAAGTAGCTAAAGGAAAATAATTTAAAGCAATATTAAGTGCATTTTAATAATAAAAATAAGGATAAAGATAATAACGTTTATATTATAAAGATATATAACAAAAATGAATATAAGCTAAAGAGTTTGGCATTAGCTTTGTAAGCATTAACTTCCCCTGCGAAGAAGAGATTTAAAACTAAGGCCCTTATGCGGAAATTAACAATCTTTATAAAGAAGCAACTTTAAAAACTAAGTATTAAGGATGATGGATATAATATTTAAGGAATAATGTAATAATAAAGGTTGTAAGTTTAAGGAATGATATAATAGCAAGGGTTGTTAAAACTTGCTTTAAAACTTATAAGTTATAATTTTAAGCCTTTTTAATAATACTTTCTTATGATAAAGGTTATATATACATAATATGCAATGAATTATAATTTTAGGCTAATTATAATAAGGATTATATACACTCATTAAAAGAAGAGAAAACTTCAAGTATTAGCAAGTATAACCCTTGCTATTAAAAGGCTATTTTAGTTATTCCTTATAGGGTACATAGCCTCTTAAAACTTAAACAGAACAATACCAATATACAATTGCTTCCCATACGATTATCGTACGTACGAGAGACCTACCAACAGTACTACCATGGCGGCTATGCTCCACAGGCCTTTGACCCTCCGACGGAGAAGAAGCTATGGGATATAAGCTTGCAGCTCACTGGAGTTAGCGAGTAGCACAGTGATTGGACTTCGGTGGGCATTTTGCCGCCAAAGTATCATAAATAACTCACAGCATAACATCGGCCGGAAGGAATTTTGTTTGGCTACTAAAGTACTGTCTGTATGGACAGTATCGCGCCCATAATGCCTGATGCCAGGCCTGTCCTGGTACACAATTTGGATGTCAGACGGCATCAGCAGCTACCACCGCGTCACAATGAGCAGTCGCATCCTAATTGAGCCCAAATTGTCCGCTCAACGCATAGATATGTAGGTACCGGAGCGAATAAATACCTCGGAAAAGATCTAATCTCGTTCAACTCCATTCAGACCCTGTCCTCCTTGAGCACATCTAATATCTACGCTCAAAGGCTAGTTCGATACTGTGGATTCTCGTCATATTTATGGCTCGCCACACTCGAGGGACTGTTCTGGCCGGAATAGCTGGCAGACTTGGCCGAACACATCCCTCCGTCACAGTATCACTACCGTATTGCAAACCGACGGCCATCCTTAGACGCATGCTGCAGAGCATCATTTGGTCGCTTCCAGGTGGGATGACTTTACGCACGCCTAGAGGTACAGGGGCGGTAACTACCTTCTGTATACCCAAGATCGTGGGATTTGTGTAAATTGAATCGATATTTCAATTCAATTCTGGTGGTAATCTAGTGCATGCCATCGTCATATGGCGGTTGACAAAAGTTGATACTTGACTAGTGAGGCATTGTCAAGGCCTGGCCATGCACATGATAGTATTAAGATGAGCTTACTTCTCAGGTAAATCGAGTGATCTTGTAGCCTTTCCTACCAATCCTGACAGAGTACACGTGCATGTGCAGCCCCCTTCTTTGTGGAACCTGGCTAACGTCAGCGGCTATGCAGCTGGGCGTGGCACTAGCTGGAGGAAGAAGATGGGCCGTTGGTCTCGATATCTTATTCCTTCCAACCGTTTCAACCGGGGTTCCAAGTCGTGATAATCAATCGCAGACACTTGAACCAGCCTTTCGGAATTTTAACTCCTGATTGCGTGGTTCTGAGTCGTATACAGCACATCATTGTCCATAGATACCCTCCTTGAAATGGACATGCCATTGATGTCTAATATCTACCGGCCACGCCATAGACACCGGGGCCGCAATGCCGTGATTAGGACGAGCTCTTATCCACCATGGATTGACGTGACTACTGGCCGGGCCGGCAAGATCATGGCATCTTCCGGGCATGTTCCCGAAAGCTGGTCCTCGGCTGAGGCGTTGACGTCTGACGCAGGAGGGCCGTTCGACCTTACGGGCGGCCATCAACAGCAGAAGCTCCGGTATGAGCTCACATTGATGTATCAATCTGCTCATATAGTTGACGGGTCTGAAAATATTCGCATACTTCACCTTCTCCCGGGAAAGCGAGACGACCCCATTCGGACACGGTTGCAGTCATGCTCGGTCGGCAACCCGCCAAGCTATGAAGCCGTCTCATATGCGTGGGGAAGCAAGTTGGATAACGCTGTGATTATTGTCTGCGAGGGTGGAGTCGATTACCATGTTGAGATCCCGCGAAGCCTCCACGGGGCTTTGAAACAGCTGCGACACGATTCCAATCCTCGCCTCATCTGGGCCGACGCCATTTGTATCAACCAGACAGATGATGAAGAGAAGAGCTGCCAGGTACGATTGATGCGGCAAATATACCAGAAAGCCACGAGGGTGGTTATCTGGTTGGGGGATGACTACGAAGCGGGTTGTGGAGCAAGTACCCTCTTTGGTGTTATCAGCCAGATGAATCACGGCGAATCCTTAGCGATGCCACCACCGGAAGATCATGACTTTTGGATCGCTTTCGGGCAGCTTTACAGGAGTCCTTGGCTCTCGCGATTGTGGTGTTTGCAAGAGGCAGTCTTGGCCCCGTCCGCTCAGGCCATGCTTGGGGAACACTCCACGCCATGGAAACATATTGGCTTCGCCGCGACATGCATCAGCGATGTGCCGGCTCAGACTTTTCAGTATGACGATAGTGCGTTGCTTGGTGTACACAATGCCTGTCTGATATATGGACTGTCGCATTCAAATGAGAGCCGGCAGCTGGTTTCCTTCCTACAACTACTCACGCTCACCAGGCCATTTGTGGCGAGTGACTCTAGAGACAAGATTTACGGTATCCTGGGGATTCCGACAACAGACTCGGATCCTGATGCCGGCGAACCGTTCTTACAGCCTGATTACACCAAGACACTATCAGAGGTGTACATTGATTGCTCCTTGGCCATCATCCGCAAAACTCAGTCTCTCCGGCTACTGTCTTATGTCCAGCATGGACAGCTTCCCAGACGAGTAGCTGACGTCCCAGCGCTAATAGCGGCGGACGAGACGCTGGTTAAGGTCCCATCGTGGGTCCCACGCTGGCACCAGTACTTTTCAAGAACATTAGCGCCACAGGAGGAAGAGCCGAAGACTTTTGAAGCATCTGCCTCTATGAAAACCCACTCGGTGCCCAAGACTGATGTGAGAGGGCTCGAACTGATAGCATATGGGGCTCGAGTAACCCGCGTCAAAACTGTCTCTCGCATCATCGACGCCTCCAAGACATTGAGACACACTTCGGCAAAAACGGCCAACAAACTCTGGGTAGAGTTCATCGGGCCCCTAAAAGCATCAACATCGGACCCAGGGGAACTCTTTTACACACTAAGTACCCTGCTCACTGCTGGCAAAGACTGGCTCGGAGGCGTCATCGAGGACAGAGAGCAACACTTTGCCGACTTCCTGGCCCTAATATACGATCCCATCTTACTTTCTGGTGGTGACCCTGGAGTGCTACGAAGGAGGTTTATGGAGGCAGATGAGGGGGGTGAACCGCCTAAGTATATATCCTGGGCTCAAGGACCGTTGTTCCAGAAACCCAACGTGCTTCAAGATTTGCTTTTCCGGCCCCGAACAGATCTTGCGCTGCCACCCGTCGCCAAGACGGGGCGGGCCCATTGCTTCCAAGAGGCCATGCGCGGTGCGTGCACCTGGAGGCGCCTCATTGTTACCGAAAACGGCCACGTCGGGCTTGGCCCTCAGGCAACTGAACTAGGGGACGTCGTCTGCATCCTCGAGGGCGCCATTATGCCTCTCATTCTGAGGCCAGAAGCGGATAGTGATAGCTTCAAGCTCGTTGGCGAGGCGTATGTACAAGGCATGATGTTCGGCGAAGTCAAGATCTCTGAGGTGGAGCAGATCGTGCTGAGCGACAAGCCTTTCGTGGACCCTGTTGGATTGAATGTAAATAGCCTGCCTTGGTAGCTCGCTACGGTGGAAGTAAGAGTGGGTTCCGTTTCAACAAGGTGAGAGCGAGGAATTTGTACACGTGGAAAATTGCAGGTGCTATATATATATATATGATTCAATGTTAGATGCGTTCAATTCCTCCTCTGAATCATAAATGCGCAATAAACAAGTACATCTACCTCAACGTTTCTAATGCTGCTTAATCATGGGATTGGTTTTAATACACACCTTGGTAATCGCGATTACACGAAAGAAGTATTTGACAATTCGCATATAACTGAGAAGCAGGTGGTAGCTTGATCAAAAGCATGGTGAACGAGCACAGAGACCAGTAATAGTATGAGTTCTTCCCGAGACCAAAATCGGTTGTAGGATGACACTCAAAATGATTGAATCAGGACGGTCACCTGTGTTCTGTCCCTTGGTGGGAGCAAAACGTTTGCCTCTTGCCGAGCTCGAAACACTGGATATTATAGCACCAGACGTACGGCTTGACTAAACCCTGAAGGGGCCCTGGACCGTACTCACGACTAGTTCTGGTTGACGATCAGGTTGTTGTTCCTCCTTGGATAGTACCATGGCTCATCAGGATATCTCGGCCAGCTCGGTGGCCCCCTCTCCCCAGGGGGTCCCATCTCACCCCGTGTTCCTCTTATGCCTTCTGGTCCTCTTTCGCCCGGCGGCCCTCTACCGCCCGTTGGTCCTCTCTCCCCCGTGTCTCCATTCTGACCCTGCAGCCCTCGCTCGCCCGGTACCCCCCTTTCACCCTGTGCGCCTCTCCGACCTCGCCTACCTCTCCCTCCTCGAGGTCCACGTCTGCCTTGCGCTCCTGGTACTCCATCCACCCCGTCTCTTCCAGAAATGCCTGGAGGACCACGCAAACCTTGCCACCCACGCAGTCCTTGAGGACCGCGGATTCCTTGAGGACCTTGCCATCCATGCCATCCTTGCGGACCAGGTATTCCTTGTGGACCAGGTATTCCTCGTGGACCCTCAGGCCCAGGTATACCTTGACGTCCGGTGTGACCTCTCGGCCCACGTTGGCAGGCACTTCTATTTCTCGGCCTACCCAAGTAGAAGCAACCAAACCAGATCAAGAACCCGAGTCCGACAGCGAGGAGAATTCCAAACATAATGAGACCTGTTTTGGCGGAGTCATTGTTATTTGATCCACGTCTCTCTAGAGCCAGTGCTGTAATAAAACTTCGGGAGCCAGTTCTCACTTCATCAACTGGATAGTCAGCAGCTGATCAGTATGTGTGTGGATTGGATCGTATATTGTCATGTTCACCTCTCTGAAATCCCGGCATTTCTGACCTCCGAGGACTTCCGACCGTGAAATTCGTCACAAGGGATAAGGAGAAAGGCACAATGTCGAGAAACTGCAGCGAAACGAGACCAGAGTTCGCCCTCCTTTACAAATGCGATCAACACCCTCTACGTGGCGAACTTCTGACGGGTTAAAGGAAGGCCCCATGTGACTCGCATCCTAATTCACCGGTGTATGTGGTGGCTTCCAAGCCTTTTTCAGCTCCACCATGGTGAAGCCTTGATCAATAGTGTGCTCGCGTTCTCGAGGACCACCGCATGAAGGCGTCCATACCGGTCAGAAAGGTAAGCCATCGTCCCGAAGGTCAGCCTGTTGTGCAAAAATAGTGTGTTCACGATCCGACGTGGGAAGATGGAGGAGTTGGGGGGGGAGGGGATGCAGCCACAATACGTGCATGCATGCGATAAAAAAAAAGGAGAAGAAAAAAGAATGTGGATATCGCCAGCTGTTTCCGTGGGGGTAAGGGTAGGGAGTGCCTGAGTATGCCGGTTTTACCATTGGCGAAGAGGCTCTCTGTGGCACACGGCACGCCCATTGTTCTTGGGAGGTCAGATTTTAGAAGTTGTCATACCTATCTGCGGATGACCCCACCCACATAACATCATTTTGTGAGTTCTGTAGATGCCACAAGTGAGGGACGTGAGAGGCTATGTTCTCAAGTCTTGCTAAGCAAAAGAGGGAGGGAGGGAGGGAGGGAGATGATTTCCATTTATTCCAAGATCTTTATGAGGTTTTGGCCTTATAGACCATCCTAGCCCCATCCATCCGCATCATCACTCACCAAGGCTTGTGAAGCTGAAGTCTTGCTTTTCTTGGCTGGAGCCTGCATAATATGAGGTCAGACCATGTGCATGAGAGTGGCTTCTTAGGCTCTGACCTGGCGCCACATCATGGAGCCCGCACCACCCTCGCTTAACCTCAGCTGAGGGGTCATTTGAGAAGGATTCTGGTAAGTTCTCTAGAGTGATAAGTATCTTCTCTAATTGTGTAGATAGATTGTAAAGGGGCTAATGTGGACGCTTGGGTTATTTAAAGCTGTATGGAACATGACCACAAAGCTAATTGCTTGAGGTAAGGTAACCTAGTACCTAGGTAGCTATATATTCACCATACGCTACACATGACACACCGCAGATACCCAGGAGACACCCTCCAAGACTCAAGAGGTGCTTTCCAGGGAGAAGATGCAACCAACGTCATAATACAAAGCAAAACCACAACATACAGACGATCAGGACATGAATCATAGTCACCTGCAAGGACAAGAAATAGAGCCTCCGACTTTCTCTCTCACACATATCTCTCAAGGTGAAATTCCCCAAATTTTCTCTATGACTGATGGATAGACTGCCGTGCCCTCCCCCTTGGACCCTCCTGTTTCTGTCTTTCTCTCTAGCTTCGCAGTTATGAATCCCATCCCCCTCCCTCCCTCCAATCTTTGTTCCCACGTGTGGAGATTACTTAATTTGTACAAGATACACCCCATGAAAAAGGTACTAGCTCCTCAGATGCAGACTCAATGACGCTCTCATTCCACTTTCTTTCTACTTTTCCTCCCCTTCCATCTCTCTCTCTCTCTTGTTCCTGATGGAGCATCCCACTTCGGGGCGTTTCAACCCCCCTTCAAATTCTTTTCACGAGATCGAACCGGTGGTCCTCGGACCTGGAGAGATGATGGGGACATGATGACGGTGTTTGGGGGAATGGTTGGTGAGATGTTTAGATGCGTGGATGTGTAGCGGATGGTATGGGAATAAAAACAAATGGCATTATCAGAATTGAATGTAATAGTGGAAAATCTCCCTTCTCTCCCCCTTTTTGGCCCGCTCAAATCGTGGAACCAGAAATGACTGCTCGTGATCTCCATCACCTATTACTTCCACCAGCACTCCTGCAGGGAGTTTCATGTTATTGGTAACACAAAGGTGTAGTTGGTATCATCGAACTCGAATCATCGGTCAGTATTTCGGCATTGAAGCCGGATATGGTGTCGCAGCAGGTCGGCCTGTGCCTCCGAATTGGACAATTATAGAGCCGTGACGGTGGTCGAGAGGAGCCACACAGTCGTGTTGGTGTTCATCGGCCACTTCGTCCATCACTCCTTGCGCCTCACAGGCCGCGAGTTTCGGCAAAGCAGACAGGATCGGCTGCATGTGTGTGTGATATCCTCAAGCCACGCTCGATGTTGGCCTAAGCGGAATTCACTCTCATGGCAAGATCCCAATCTCAGACAGCTGTAGCATTGCCCCTATTTGGGACACGGTTCATTGATCATCGCTCATCGCCGCCTCTGTCCTTCCCTCTCCTGCGGAAGAAATCCATGACTCGCCTCGCGGCACCACTACTACCAGCATGGTCGTGGCCACCGTGTCGTGAGTATTCGTCCTTGTCGTAGGCGTCGACGAATCGCTTGTTCTTTTGCAGCATGCCGCGGGTTCCCCGGCTGGGGGCTCTCCTGTTGTCCTTGCCTTGCTGCTCTTCGGGATAGCTCGTCTGGTTCGTCGGTCGCTGTGCATTCTCGATGGACGAATCTGAAGCGCTATTCAGGACCGCGCCTTGTTGCATGTGCGACGGGATACCACCCTGCCGCCTGCTCTGGTAGGGGTTCGAGCTGTTCCTGTTTTGCCGCTGACCCTGGCTCGGCTCCCGACGATGAGATTGTTGAGAACCCTGCAGTTGAGCATACATTCCGTCTATGTCGGCAGCTTCGGGCGCCCCGGGCTGTTCCACATAGCGGCCATGGTCGTCAACCTGTGGCGGTTCCTGCATCGGCAGGCTCCGCTGCGAGTCACGGGGCTCTTGCTCGTACTCCTTACCGAGCCCAATAGCCTTGAGGGAAAACGAGCTGGGAAGCAATGAGAACCGCCTGTTTGCCTGCTTGTCCAATGACGTCTGTGACCCGTTCATGCTTCCGGATTTCTTCTTTCCAAGACCGAGTGAGAAAGAGCGGCGGGAACGCTTCGAGTCCATCGACGGAATGGGACCATCGTCGGAGATAGGCTGGGTCATGCTGACCGGAGGGTACTTCTTGGACTTCTCTCCGGAAGAAAGCTGGCTCTTGCGGTTACTCCTACTACCGAACACAGACCCGCTTCGGCCGAAGATCTTGTTGCCGATATCACCGATCGTGTTCGATCGCCTGTGGCCCCTGGAGTCGGTGCTATCGGCCTCCCCGGTGTAGCCACTGACTCTGGAGAGTTTGGACGGCGTGTTGACGCTTGGCCTACCGTAGTCCGAGCCCTGGTCCTCGTTGGAGGAAGGTTCCGGGTAGGCTGGTCGACCTGCAGGTTGTTGTATACTTCCATGCACGTTAGTATCAGCGACCGTGGGGGCGGAGGGTTGGCCGTACGTAGCTCTCCCTGTTCCATAACCCTTCGAACCAGTCGAGCCGCCGGTTGTCGGTCGCCCATGTGCTCCTGCAGACGTCATGTACTGACCGTCAGAAGCTGCCCGGATGGCTTCACGGCTCGGTCTCGACGGTTGCACCAGGTTCTGGTTGTTGAGATGTGCGCTCGGAGGCCTCCTCGAGGACATTTGCGGCGGACCATATGACTCCCTTGTCACAGGCGGATCGCGGGGCAGTGGCTTCTCGTTTGCGGAGGACGACTGAACCTCAACAGGGCCCTGACTGCCTGACCGGGCTCTAGTCTTCGATGATGAGCCTTGCGCGCTCGCCTGCTCGCCACGCTGTGTCTGGGTGTTGGGCGCAACATATTCAACCTGTACCGTCCTTCGCTTGTTGTCTCTCTGTTGGCGAGCAGAATTCGCGGCCTCGGTATCTGGGTCAACAGTGCCTTGCTTGCTGGTCAGGCCGCCAATCGATGGTCCAACCGTGTTCTTCTTGTGCGCTTCTCGGACAGATGCGCTGCGGGCGACCATTGGCGTCTCGTCTTCAGCGGGCACAGTCGTGTTCTGGATCTCTCCGGGAGTGGTGGTGCTACTCGTGATGAATTCGACCACATGGGCGTACTCGCTGAGCCAGCTGTGGCGGGCCACTTCGAACAGATCGGCACGTTTCCGAGGATTCGGGACCAGTATTCTCCGCAGCAGGTCTCGTGCGTGAGGAGTGACATATTCGGGGAAGGTAAGCGGGGTGTTGACTATATATTTGTAGAGCAGGTTAATGTTGTCGCCTTCTGGGTTTGCGGGATCGTCGTCGAAAGGTAGATAGCCTGCCAACATGGCATACTAGAACAGTGTCAGTCTAAGACGCCAACCTACAACGAATGCAGAGGGGACCTACCAGAATAACCCCACAGCTCCAGACGTCAACTTTTCGACCAGTGTACAAGGAGTCGCTAACGACCAATTCAGGCGCAGCATAGCACGGGCTTCCACAACTCGTCTGCATGAGATCACCCTTCCTCATTCCGTTGGGCTTCAGCTGATTTAAGCCCATGCGCTTGACAAATTCTCGGTCGCTTAGATTGTTTTCCTCTTCTTCTGACAACTCTTCGATCGGGTCAAACGTGTTCGCGAAGCCAAAGTCGGTGATGATGATGTTGCGATTACGGTCCAGCAGCAGGTTTTCCAGTTTCAAGTCTCTGTGCACGATGCCCTTCTTGTGCAGGTAACCCACGCCGGAAACAAGTTGCGCGAAAAGACGTCGGGCAGCGTTGTCCTTGAGGTACCGGTGGTTCAGAATGTAGTCGAACAGCTCACCGCCTGAAGCATACTCCAGGATGATGCCGAAATGCCTCTCAGACTCTTCCATCTTGTGTAATCGGACAATGTTCGGGTGTGTCAGTTGCTTCAGGATGGCGACCTCACGCATGATCTTGGCCATTCGGGATGGGTTGCTCCCCAGCTGGTCCTTCTTGATAAGCTTGATGGCGACCTGTGTGTCCGGATGATTAGCGCCAATGGCTCTCTTTCTCTCTCTCTCTCTCTCTCTCTCTCTTTGCGAGGCACATCAAAATGTCGTTAGTAGGCCTTACCTGGATGCCACCTTCTTGTTTCCAACCAAGCTTGACCTTTCCGAACTCGCCTTCACCGATGGTGTTGCCTAGTATGTACTCGCCGAACTTGGTATGCTTCTCGCGTTTACTGAAGTCATGCCTGCTCCGACCACCACGCCGTGTCTCCTCGCCGTGCTGTTCGGCGCTTGCAACTACTTGTTGTGAGGCCGTGTCATCGTCGAGGTTCTCGGTGGGGTGCGGTTGTGCCAGCGCCTCGCGCGCGCGCGATCGCTCAATGTCCACCTCGGGCTGTGAGACCAGCATGCTGTTCAGGATTTCGCTTGCTTCCCTGGAAGGCCCCTGGGGTGTGGATGATGAGGTCTGTTGCGACCTGATAGGTAGTGAGGTCGAGCCACTTGCCGCCCGGGAGTCTCTGTGGCTGCCGCTGCTGCTCGTCTTGTGCGATTGCTCCGGACCCGTGTGTGCCGACTTCCGGCTCCGAGACCTGTGAACGGCGGCTTCATCCTGATAAGCCTGGCTCGCGCTCGCCTGGCCGTTCACGTCGTTCCCTGCGTGCCGCTGCGACGCCGATCGATCGGCACCCTGTGCTGCAGATCTCCTCGACGTCGAGGCGCCGCTGGAGCCGCCGGCAGTCTGCTGGGATGAGGTGCGAGGTGGCACCGTGGTGGCGGGCATCTTGCGGCGGTCGGAGGAGGATTGCTGGTACTGGTCGGAGGGGTCGACGGGGATGGGGGACGCGAGAGCCGCGCGTGAACTCATTGGGGAGTTGCTTTGGGACGGTACGTCTCCCTTGCCGCTGCCGTTTCCGCTGTGTTTCCTAGTCGGCCGTTTGGAAGCCGAAGGTGAGGATGTGCTGTTCTGCGCGGTCGCATAATATGGGTCGCGAGCAGGCGAGGGGTTCGATTGCTGGAACTGTTGTTGTTGCTGTTGTTGCTGCTGCTGTGGGTGTTGGTGGCGGCTGCCAGGCGAGGCGGCAACCAAGGGCGGTGAGTTGATGGTGACGGAGGTAGCTGTCTGATTAGGCGCGGATTGCAATGCAGCCGACGACATCTTCCCACGCAGGAGCGCGGAAGGTCTGGAGTCGGTTTCTGGCTTATCGAGGGTGGCTGGTGACGTTGCCCAGCGAAGGGATCTGGGTCTTTTTCGGTCCCTTGCAAGATAGATTCGGTTGAGGGCGTGCCGTGCTCCTGGCTGACCAAGGGAGTTGACGTTTAAGGGGGTCGGTCGGACGTTGGGCTAAAGAGGATGTTTCGGCTCGGACACTAGCTCAGGTCGGATCGGGTTGCGGTTTTGGGAGGCTGGAAAGGAAAGGCTTCCAAGGTCTCCAAAGTTGGAGGAGCAGCAGTTTGGGGCAGAGATGGAGGTACGGCCAAGTACCAGCCCAAGACCAGGGCCTGGCAGCAGGGACGGAGGCTAGGGCTACCTATGGCAAAGGAGCAGGGCAGCAGCGCAGGCGGTTCCCAGGTTTGGAAGGCCCGGTCGTATGAATAGAATAGCAATGAAACAAGAGACAAGAGGTCAAGTCAAAGAGCGAGGGCGCGTTGACGGCGGAACCTCTTCGTTTGGCAGGGCGTGGAAGCGTGACTTGGAAGAGTGTCCTGCAACGGTGGAAGTGCAACTGTACTTGGACTGGACTGTGACTGAGCTGGTCTTGTCTTGTCTTGGAGCTGGCTGGCGTGTGTGCTGAGCTGAGCCTTGCAATTAAGAGAGGAAATATGGGCAATGCAACGAGTCGCCAGAAGTGCCCAATGAGACCAATTGCCCAGTTCAAAACACCATGGCTGCTCTGCGATTTGTTGTTTCGATGCGGCGGTCAGTTTGACTTGGGCGGCTGGGTGGGATGTACGTGCTGGGATGGGATGGGATGTGCGGCGATGCGTTGCGTTGCGCGGCGCTGCGCTGTGTTGTGACCGTCAGTCAGGTCGCTGTTGATCGATCGCCCTATTTTTTTGCCCCCCTTCGACGTTTTGTCTTGCCGTTGTCCCTGCAGCCTGTTTTCCGCCTGTCGCTCAGCTCGCGATTGATGCAGGCTCGGCTCGACTCGACTGGACTCGACTCAGGTCCTGTGAACAACACACATGCAATGCAGCCCAGACGCGACACCCGCAGGAGCTTGGGAGCGGCGTAGTGTTGTGGTGGATTGGGACTGTTTTGGGGCCCCGATCTTTTGGCCCCTTTTCTCTGATAGGTTGGCGGCTTGCAGGAGTGAGCGCAGTCAATGCAGGTCAGGGACAGCAGGCCGGCCCAGGGTTTTCGATTATTCAATTATTAGGCGCGGCCGCGACCAACAAGACGAGACAGGACGCCGTTTGCTGCGCGTGCTCGCCGCAAAAGGTACTGTACCAGACGGCAAAGCAGAGGAGCGGAGCGGCGGGGAGTAGAAAGGAGTGGTGGGACGGGATGAGGTGTGGTGAGGTCAGTCAGCCAGTTAAGGTACGTAAGGTTCGGGGAAACGAGAGACGGCGGACAGGACGGGTCGACTGAGACAAACGCCGCTGATTGTCGTATCGTAGGAGGAGGAGCAGGAGGAGGCGGGAGGAGGGAAGACTGGCGGTTGAAAGGTAGGGTAAGGGGGGGGGGTTGTGGTGAATGCCAGGCGACGATGCTGGGTTAATCCACTGCAGGTGAATTCAAAGGCAAGCCCAGATGCAAATGCAAATGCAGAGCGCAAATGCGACTGGGGCCTGGCTGGGATCTCGGTCGTCAAGCGAGAACATGAAGGGAGAGGCGCTGCCGGGTGGGTAATCTTATTTGACCCCGTCCGCGGCCTCGATGAACCAACCCGCCAGCGTCTGTGTTCTCCCGAGGCGCTGCTCCTCTCGCTCTCTCTCTCTCTCTGTGTGTGTCTGTCTCCCTGTCCTGTCAGCTCAGTCTATGCCTGTGCCCCGTGCCTTGATTATTGTTCCCTGATTGTTGACTTCCAGGGAAACCCGCGGATTGGCCTCGCCCGAGCACCAGAAACCTTGGTCACGATATCATGATCAATGCCGCGACCTGTATGCGTTCATGTACGATGTAGATCCCGCCTGCTAGCAGCCAGCCTCCCCTCACTGGCAGACATGCATCCCGCAAAACAGGCTTGCTCCATCACCATCATCACTTCGAGATAATCTGCGTGCTTCACGGCTTCGCGGCCCTCGTGCAGCATAATGACTTAGTAAGACGGCAGACAGAACACGCGGGACGGATGGCCAGCCATGACCCTGCCGGTGCTTGGCCCCAAATGCAAGCTGGGGGATGCTTGGACGAGGCCGGCCTTGGGCAAATCATCACTTCATGCACCCCAACAGCAACCGCATTTCAGATGGAGATACTCTGATATAGCGCCGCCGCACACACACGACCTTGGCCCCCGAGGGCAAGCACCTCGTGCAAGGTCTCCGAGCTGGCGGGCAGTACAGATAACATGCCTGGGTAGACTACCGAGATACCTGCAGGTGCTATGTAGACTGCATACAACACGTACTGTGAAGATCCATAGACACATGGACAATATACACCACGGTATGACGCCCAGCCAACAGAAGCTTAAATTGTTTGTCCTATCCCACACATGAGAACAAGTCAGACGCTCCACCCGATCGACGTGTCTCAGCTCTTGAACGAGGGTAGCTCGCCCCGGGAAAGGTTGTCTGATAACTACGGAGTAGGTACTACCTACCTGCATGGGTATAATCTGCAGTCCGGAGACGAGCAGTTTCTTGTCTGCCATCCGCCCATATCGGTAAACAGATACGGTACTGATTAACAATTTACTAAATGTTCACTAGGGTCCCTGCAGGAGATGAGCTTATTTGGAGACGTAGTCTGTGAAAGTACTCCGAACCGTACCTATCGCAGTTGGTGTGGGCTGTGGTAAGATGCAGGAAGAGAGCAAGAGGGTGTTGGCTTGTTAGTTGAGGGGCGACACCGCGGTAGTGTCCTGCAAGATGGAAGGCTCTCGTCCACCAGAAAACCGAGAAAACAACCGGGCACCAAGACAACCTCGAGATTCGCTTTCCACAAAGCTCCCTCCCGTCGCAGCAGGGCCTGAGAAGCGCAGCGCGGAGCAGCATGCCCTAGGGCGGAATGTGACGTGACGAGACCTGGCCCAAGCATCGCACAGATATCTCATCTCACTCACCCAACACACACAACACTACTCCGTATCGTCTTCCAACAGCCAGCCATCAGCGAGATGAGCGAACCTTGCGATACGGACGTAGACACGCACATGCACCAGCAAGCCACAACAAGCAGCCCTGCATCAACATCACGAGTTCGCTGCTTGACCGCCTCGGCCTTTTCGTCTGATGTCGAATCGCGTCGTGGGACATCCACCCCGGGGCAGCAGGGGGAAACGTCGAGAACCAGTCAACGGCACTGCCCCTGCCCTGGTTTCTGCGTCCTGACTGACTGCTGACTGCTGACGGCGGCCCCCCCAGGATGCCCAGATGCATGCCGGGCCCCACTTTATCCTTCGACGAGGCTTCTCGAAGGATAAAACAAGGCGTGTCAGGAAAGAGGATAGCCCATTTCCATTCCAATGCGAAAGAGTCGAATGTGCCGACTGACTGTTTCGGGACGCGGCTGGGGTTTGGATTGGATACTGAGCAGGCGGCACGCGGAACGGCAAGCATCACTTGAAATGGGTTGGTCGAGCCCCTCCAAGGAACCTGAAGGCCTGAGGAACCTGAAATTACGTACTGGCACGGTACATTATGGGCACCCGTCCGCATGCAGGCTAATCATACTGCCTGGTGTACCTTGGTGGTAGTAATTGCAAGAAAAAAAAGGCGGGCGCCCCGTCCGCCCGCTTGTTCCTGAATTCCTAGCCCGCTGCACGAAGGGAGTCAGGGATCAGGGGAGTGGGGTCCGATGCAGGCCAGCCCTTCCTGCCCAGGCCCTGCTCTGTCTCTCATGGACTCAAGAAACGGATGATGGGTCCTAACAGCTCTGGTAGCAGCCCAGCCTAGCCAGCCCGGCCAGCCCATTCAGCCCAGCCAGCGGGCAGGGGGAGCAGAAGAGCGGGCAAGCGTGTGGGTGCAAAGTGCATCTTCAAAGCCTCATCGATCGGCTTGGGGGGAAATAATCCCCGAAATCAAGTCCTGGGCCCGCAGCCTGCAGGACGTCGTTCATGAGTCGCCGCCCAACTAAGTGTCTCCTCCCTCGTGCATGTGTCTGGCTTGTCTGGAGCTGTCTGGCTCGAAAACGCTGACACTACCAGCAACAGACCAACTGGAGCAGAGTGTGCCATTCAGCCATCTCAAAAGGGAAACCCCACAACGTAACGAGACAGACAGAAGGAACCGGGTCTTGGCATCAACCAATTGACGTGCCATGCCTTGCAAGGAACCCGACCAGTTTCAACCACGGCCTGTCTACAGCCAAACATCACCCAGACTGTCACTCTCTCCCATATCTCCATCCTGCGTCGCACACTCTCTCACACAGTTCCTGTTAGGCGTTTCGTCCAGCGCATAAACTTTCCCTAGTTTCTGTTTCTCTCCCTCCCCACCACCGTTCCTCCCCAATCCAGGGCCAGCCCCAAACTCTCTGCCTGCGCGCTAGCAGCTCCTCGTGTCCCGTCATATCTCGTCACCTCGGCCAATGCCCAAGGCTCGAGACCCTCCCAATCCCCACAGCAAGCAGCGCCATACCGGCGCATGAATACCTAGGTAGGCGGCGACCCGACCACGCACGCACGCACGCGCCACACCTCGGCCACAAGGTATGCATGGCGCCCAAAACCCAGACACGGGCAGCAGGAAGACTCGTGCGCGCCGGCATAGCAGCAGCAGCATATGGGACGGGACGGGGGAGTCGGGGAGCGTTGGGGCCGGCGCATTGAGTGCTGTACGTGCTTCCTGACTCCCTTCAAGCCTTCAACCCACCACCTCCCCATCTCCCTCCCCGTAGGCGCATAAGACACAACAACGAGATAAGACCACGGCGACAAGCCCAACAATGCCTCACATGCAAAGGGCCAGTCATTGAGTCCATTCAGTCACTCAGACAGCCCCGGGCCCCGCAATTGGCGCCCGACGATGGCGCCAGAAAAGCGCAGAAGAATCATGCCCTCATCAGTGTTAATTTTTATGCCCTCTTCCCTGTGCCTGCCCTTCCACTAGCACAACCTTCAAGTCTCCTAGCCTCCACTCTAGCCTCGTTCTTCCGCAGCGCCTCTCTCCGTCTCCCTTCCGCCTCGCCGCGGGAGGGACGTCGTGCATTGAGGCCGGGAAATGGACGTGGCGTTCGGTGGCAGGGGTAAGCTTGACATGCCGTCACCACACCCACTCACTCCACGCGCTGCTTTGCCTTGCCGCTGCTTGTTTCCAAAAGGACTATGTGCCGGCCGGTAGGTGCCCGACGACGCTTGACCATCTCTGGGTCACAACGCTTTTTTTCTCCCTTCAACTTTCTTCTCCCGCGGTTCTCTCTTTGGCGCGCTGCGGATCCTGACCGCTGCTCCAAGCGAGATCCTCGGTCGTCCGCCTTGTGAGGCGGGCAAGTTCTGGGCTGAGTCACGGGTCGTATATCACAGGGACATCGCGTGTTCGAAATTCACGTATTTTGTGGCTATGGATATGTCTGGGCACGGCTAAATCCCATTGACGGATGATTAGGGTTTCATGATGGGTAATACCGTCACGTTGGTACAGTTCACACCCTCCAAGGTATCAACATGGACCCGGGTCGCCCGTTCATCTCAAGCAGCAGACGCGCATATGTGACTCGTGCCTTCCCTTTTCTCAAACAAGCCCGCGCATGCGTCGAGAACAGACACCTTAGCCCGGGCCGGCACACAGGTTGACCCCCGGGACCCTTTACTCATGCTCTCACCGACTTTATCGTAAGCACCGACTGCGTGATAACGCGGCATGGTCCCCCGGCGATGTGCCCGGATCGCTGGGACGTCCCCGTCCGGGTCGCAGCGAAAGCGAAACCAGGCCCACCCGGACTTGGCCGACGGTTGAGATCTCCCGGTCACTCCGGCCGGACGGGGCTCGCAGGGGGGCACTAACGGACACCATTGTCTACCCGTCAATGCATCTGGGAATCCGACGGGAGGGCATTAATGATATTCCACAGTCAAGGCCATTAGCCGCGTAATCTCCTGACTAGAACAGCTTCCCGATTCTATGCCGAGGTATGCCTTCAACCTCGCTGGACCGTGCTGTTGAGGATGCCCAAGCCGGAGCAGCGATGTCTCAGGGCCGACCTGAAATGTGCTGGGAAGTGATCACGACGACTTCGGTGGATCCCTATCCCGCCTTGGGCATGGAAGAGTCCGAACTTCAGACCGATCGCAGGAATCCGCGCATCATAGCTTGATCGAAATGTTGTACGCATCCAAGGCCACAGCCACGCCCGTCAAGACTGCACTGTACGCAACCAATATACCCACACTTACGATCGGCCCAACATCCAAAGTCGGGACTGTCATATTGACCAGCCCTGTCAGGAGGTTGGCAATGAGGAAGACGGCAAGGCCATTGCGGTTGTAAGCACGCAACACCCTGGGAGTGGCGATCTCATATGCTTCCTTCTCCGCCTTGGTGTCGGCCGCATTGTAGAACGACGGGAAAAATATCGTCTCGACAAGAGAGCAGGCCATGAGCTGGACCGAGTTGAAGGAAACCACCCCCAAGACGTACGGAAGATTGGCCAGTCTGCGAGACACCTGCAATCCAGCGCCGTAGTTGTAGTTCGTGGACAAGAAGAACAGCAGCAGCCAAACAACACTCCACACAGCCATCGTCATGAGCAAAGTGGTCCTTTGCGTCGCTGCGCTGGACCCAGTCCGGGTGATATTGCGAGGCAGCACGTACATCCCAGTGTCCTGGCCGGCCAGAAAGATGGCCAGGTACCCAAAGAAGCTGAAGATTCCTTCTCGGTTCATGGAAAGGAGGTCAACACGGGGTGCAGTGAGGATGTAAGCCTTCAGGCCCGTACTCTCCAACAAAACCTGGTAGCTGACCCCGAGGATGAGGGCAAGGGCGGCGTAGGACGGGACAAACTTCAGCGCGGACTGGAACACAGCCACAAAGGGTGGCAAGAAGCCCAGCGTGAAGAAAAAGTTCCAATGCACACCGTACTCGGTGACATGTTCAGCGTAGTCGAGGCCCTTGACGCTAAGCAGGCGGATGACACCGAGCACGAGGAGTGGTAAAGAATGGCGCATTGAGTATACGAGCCGCCGGAACAGAGGAGTTCCGTGGCCTTGAGCGCGTTCTTTTAATACAGGCCTCGCCGCGACAACTCCGGCCGAGAAGACAAAGGCGCCGACACCAATGTCCATCAGCGATGTGCCCCATGTCTCGACCTTGCCGAAGCGCCGGGGGAAAATGCGAAAGTCGACTGCGAGGATGGCCAGGCACGTAATGACGAGCATAGAACCTCTGAAGATGGTCAGGAAGGGCTTTGTCGAGAGAACGTCTAGACCCGCCGCGGACCCCTTTGTCTTGCTGGCCTGCGCGGTAGCCGGGATTTTAGGCTTCTTTCTGCGGGCCACGAGGTTTGGTGGGAATGCGTAGACTAGCAGCGCGGGCGCGAGCAGCAGAACAATGAGGAGGATCGGGGTGTCGGAGTAAAGCGTGATTGCGAGCAGGACGGCCCCGACATTGAGGAAGTAGTCGATGATGAACCCGACAATCGTGTACGGCCTGAAGAAGGACTGGCGGCTCTGCAGGGCGGACCATACCAGAGCACCGACCTGGGGCGGAGTTTCAGCTGGGGGAAAGACGAGACCTCCGTCACAGGAACGCAGATTGACTCACGGGTAAGACAGCCGTGACCGCCGCGATCTCGCTGACTGGGCCTCCGGTCAAGTTGGACACGAAGTCCTCCTTGAGCTGCTTGTAACTGGCTGTCGAGTTAGACATGCTGAATCCCGTTGCGTCTGAGGGTAGCAGCGCGTAACAAAGAAAAATGAGAGACAGAAGTCAGAAGTCAGAACGGAGACTCTGGGAAGTCGAAGGCTGGGTGCATTGCGCTGCCAACACGTCGCCAAAAATTCCAGTGAGGCCAGGCTGGCAAGGGAGAGGAACGGGGAGAGAAATGACAGCTCTGCACCAAGCTTGCCTTCAGCCTCGCTCGAGCAGACAGTCGTCACAGGCCAGGGTGGAAGGGTCCAGCCCCGGGGCCCAGAAGCTGCGAGCGACCAACCAGAGCCGGGAACGCCGACCCCACCTAGCGCGCTCCACCCCGGCTCTGGACGTTGAGATATGATGTATTGCCATGTGGTGTACGTCTCCCGGGAAGGGCGCACCAGCTCGGGTGAGGCGTTCAACAGATGCGCCTTTGTTCTCTGGGAGTTGACAGTTTCATCGCGGCTTAGGTCGCGCGCGCAAAACGAAACATGGCTTGGACCATTCTGCTGGGAACCCTTTGTCTGGCGCTGGTCCAGCAGTGCTTTGAGCCTGCTCTGCGTCTGCCTCCCGGTTGAAAGGGCTCCTGGGAGCCAAACCGAGGCGCGCAACGAGAAAGGAGAAAGAAGAGATAAAAATGGAATGATGGCCGTCACCATTTGTGTCCAGAAAGTCTCGCCATCTATCCTGTACTTTCGTACGTCGTGTCACATACGTCGCAGATCCAGAATTTCAGCAACATCCAATCTGCCAAAGTTGGCTCCTGGCCTGTTGTCACCCACCTTCCCTCGTTTCATTTGAAGATTATACGATCCCCCAGCCGTGGATTTCTTTCTCTTTTTTGTCCTTCTGCGCGCCCAGAATCATGATCATGGATGCCCCGAGTCGCAACCGGCCCAGTCTCGAAATCAAAACGGACTACGCAGGACCTGTCGAGACGCACCTGCGGTCAGCCTTCCGCAGACATCGGAGCCCCTTACCCTCCGCAACACCAATCACAGCGAAGCCCCTTCCCAGTCCCATACAGCCCTCGACCCCTGGCTATGATGTGTCTATGAGGCAGCATGAGAGAGCCATGGTAGAGCGCCTCGACTCCCGGGGCGGATTGAGCAGGTCACTGTCTCCCGTCGCAGAGCAGTCGATGTCAGCGAGGGTCAACCTGCTGACAATGGAGAGTCCAATGCGGTCAAGGACACCGGTATTTCCTCCCACAGCGCCCAACACGCCAATGCTGGCCTCTCCATCGACGCATAGGCGGCAGAGCATGGCGCAGGAGGCCAGGTCGATACTGTTGTCGGGCATGTCCCCATCACAAGCCAGCAGCGTGGGTGCCGTGGCCAACAGGAAGCTCTCAGCGCCGGCCGAGGTTATCCAGAAGCAACAGAGGCCGACCATGGCACTCCTCGATCCAGGCATGCTCCATGCCTGGGGCCATGTGTATCTTGGTGATCTCACCAAGGCGGACGTCCTTGTGGCGCCGGCCGCCCTGCGCCGCCTGAGTGGGACCGAGCAGCCTGACAGCGCCGGCGAGCGCAACGGCCACTCAGATCGCATCGCCATCAGGGCTCGCGTGCGACCCAAGGGGAGGGAGCGCAAGCCGTTCCTGATTGAGCGAAGCTTAGACATGAGCGTGCTGAGGGCCGTGGTGACTTCAGCAGCCACGCCTGTGCGCTCGCCACGCCGCCAGGCGGTAGCCCCTTTGTCCCCCGACACCGTCAGCTCTCCACGCCTACCAGCATCGCCCCTAGCCGCGAGCCGGCGCCGGTCTTCCGTGACCTCGTCCAGTCCGCTGTCGTCTCGGGCCAGCCATCAGCAAAGGGGCGGCTCGAGGGAGATGCCAATCCGTAAGTCAGAATTCGGCCATCTCCGGCCCGCGCAGGAACGGTCCTATTGTTTTGTGTTTGTGCCTGTACGCCGGTGCTAACAAACGTTTGGTTTAGATCTCCCTTATGCTCGGACCTACCTGCCAGCATTAGCAGCTCTCATGCTCTCGGGCCATGTCAAGACTGGCGACACGATAGACCTGCCGATGCCCCATCCAGAAGCCTGGACTCAGACCGTGGCCTACTCGTACACTGGCAGGGGCGAGCTGACTGAGGCAATAAAGCAGAACATCTTACACCTGGGAGGAGCGGTGTAGATGGGTTATGCCTTGACGATATCTGATGATGTTGATGGTGGTAATGTGTGTAATGCTTGGGATGATTGATGTAAAGGACCCTTAATTTTCTTTCTTCCATATGTCTATATTTCTTCATACTGCTGAGTGCTTGCACACTCTTCTTGGCAATTATATGGCCGCAACCAAAGCACATAGAACGCAATGGTAATTACGTTCACACGAAAGGTTTTTGCTTGGACCGACCTTGTTTTGACTCGTGTAGAGGGGAAAGACGACAGAAGGACGGGCTTCCCCATGAGCAGACACTGACCCAGAGCAATTGGTGGTACAAAGAGCTGCGTGGACGGCGGAGGGAGTGCCGGAGCGTTTGACGCGCTGATACGTAGAAGAAGCCCGAGCTTGAGCTACACGATCTAGAGCAACATGCTCAGAATGAGGTGGCGTCCAGATGAAGGTGGAATGTGCGTGCATGGGCTGCTTGTCAATTTTGTAGCTCCTTCCCTGCCTGCCATGCAAGGGGGAGGAAGGGAAGGGGCGGCCCGTCTGTAATTAGCATGTGCTGCGGCTGTCACGGCCTGGGCACTCTCCGTCACCCTCGAGCCAACAGGTCAGGTCAGACAACATCTCACTGCCTTCAAAGTCGTTTCGACCACCATTGAGTCGCCGAGCAACACGTAGCACATGGCATGGCAGTCACCGTGACTTACCATGTGTGGCCTGGCCTCTGCCCAACTGACAACGAAACCCAAAGAACAACGGAGATTTCCTTGTGGGATCGGGCACCAACGCCAATACTGCAAGCCGGCCGGGGATTACGCGACAGGTATCTGTCGTCGTGTGTGGACTTGTGCAGAGCCAGCAGCTACTGACCTCAAGTCGATACTCGCTTTGGCACCAGGGCTTGCGCTTGTTGTTGCATCTGTGTGTTGTCTGTCCCGCGCGGTCTAGAACCCAACAAAGCAAAGTCGGCCATCACCACTCACCAGCCCGTTTGCGGCCTCCAGCAAATAAGGTTTCGCTGTCGTTTCCCATCAACAAACAAACAGCCCGCCACAGAGGCAACCTGCATTCAGCTGCCGTGTGACGGCGAGGTATCAGTGAGTCAGTTCCCACCCGAAGTATGCCCAAGTACCCACCTGTTCCCGAAGGCCCGCACGGAAGGGGCCCAGACCTTTTTTCCGTCGTAGCTATCCAAATCTCCTAATAAGGTGCTGATCGGCACTGACTACGACGACAGATATTCTCTTCCCTTCCACGCACGTCGCTTGACCCCAGCATGCTGGCAACTGCACTTGCCCAACGCGTTCTTTGAGAATAAGAGCGCCTTGCTTCTCCCAGCACGGCAGAATCTCGAGGCCTCCACGACCCTCTTTCCTCAACGCCACGAACGGACCAGTCCCTCCTACAGAGTATTGGACACGGAGATTTTTCCAGAAAGAGCGAGGACTGTCGTTCTGTCTCTGCAATCGACTACCTGTGAGGTCAATAATTTCGGCCTCACCGACTGCCCGTCACCCTGACGCGGGGTATAAAACCCATCTCCGATATCTTGGGCGAAGCCATTCGTCGGAACGAAGGTGGCTACTGCGGCTTTCCCACTTCTGCCAGGAGACCTGTTACGATCCCGGACCTCAATCGATAGGAAATTTTCGTCCAGAGCCTACAGCCAGATATCACCCGGTCAACCAAGGAATCGTCCACAGGTGAAAGGACCCCGACGCAACCTGTTCTTGTCGAGGAGCACAATCGACCACTTCCATGGTCATCACGTACCAGAAATTTTTCATCCGAGGTTACCTTCAACTAACACAAGCCACTGACCGCCGCGTCGGAAAGCAGCGTCGTCACGATGGAAGCTCAACCGATCATACTTCTCAATGGCTGGCCAGGGGTGGGAAAAGACACGGTTGCGGAGACACTCAGCCTTCTGATCGGTGACAACAAAGCATCATTGTTGGATTGGGGAAAGGGTCGAGGCGAGAGCTTTCAGCCCATACCTGATGACGATGAAGTGGCACAAAAGGCTCAACGGGACGCATGCCTTGCTGATCAAGTCGAACATCCATCAACGTTCAGCAAGATGGTCATATGCACAGACTGCCTGCCAGACACGCCACTGGGGATGCGACTTGCTCGGGACTTCGAGGTCGTCGCGAAGAGGACCAACCGTTTATTGATCCCAATCTATCTGGAGTGTCAGGTGGAAGAAAACATGCGGAGATTACAGGAGGCGGAGAGAAGGGTTAGTCTGAAGGACAAGAGTAAGTTTGGACCCTCGTTCAGTCTACGTTGCACAACCTCCAAGCCTCCGGCACCCTGCGGCGACCCATCCGAGTGTTTCATCGAGACGGGAAGAACTCCATGTCGATCGATGAGTGCTACAGTGGGATGGTCACGGGTACGCATTCGAACACCAACATGCCCGTCGCCGTGACCAGGTAGTCGAGTGTCTCAAAACCTACCAAGGAGTGACCTGACGGGTGGCCCTCGCCGTGACAGTGACTGTTATGTTCTACCTCAGGTCGGCCCTAATATACTAATATAATATCACAACAGTTCGAAGCCCTAACGAGGCCAAGACGGTCAGATCCGATGGAGGCAGCCTGTTCATCTTCAAGGCACGAGAAGGCCTGAGCATCAACATCACCAAGATGCTACCACATGAAGCAGCCCTGAAGATATTGTCATACATCAGAGATCTGATCGATCGTCGGAACGAAGAGCTGGTCAATGAGGAGACGACGCCGTTGGAGGCGAGCGAGCCGGCGTGGGGTTGAATGGCGACGACATGGATGAAGTCCGTTCAAGGCTGGAACTACGGAAAGAAGTCACGAGTACCCTCTACATGGCCTCACCCCTTGGCGAGGTTGGCTAGAACGGGCGCATGATAGAAGGACGACGAGCACAAGAGGATGGCGTCTCGGAAGGAGAGAAGGCCGATTTGATATGATACCCCAATTGCTTTGGTATTCTGGAGATCTGGTTCGTGGAAATAAGGCTGGCAGTGCCATGCATACTCTATTCTCTCCCTGAAGTTCACATGTTCTTGGCGCCGGCAGAAGGAAGTTGTATGACTCTGTCGCCAATGCACCTAGCAGTAGCTGCGCGATGCATCTTGACCAAGCACAAAGACGCGTCACAGCAGTCTTCTGGGCCAGCTAGGTTCTTGACACTGCTCTACTGTACAAACCTGAGACGCAGTACCTCCCCGCAGCGTTCTCCACATACCAATATATGTGAGGGAGACCTCTGTCACCAACCATTTCACATGTCGCTGCTGCAGCTGCCACTCCGTCCTGTCTTGCCTGACTCGCCAGTGACAGCCGCCTTCGCAGCCCGGAGGGATCGGGTTGCGGCTCTTCACACACCCAGAAGAGGAGCACATGCTGGGGAACGGGCACATGTGGCTGACGTTCCATCCGCCCTCCCTCTCGACTCGTCAGGGCCGCCGGTTCGTGGGCACCGCACACTGGTGATCTCCTGCCCGGTGGCCATCTCGGAGATCCCGGGAGCTTGGATCTTGCTGGGCCCGTTGTCCTGGGTGTGAATATGCTGTGGAAGGATGCCGCGGGGTCGGGAAGGGGTGGTAAGGGCAAAGGGAAAAAGACAGAAGCAATATAAGCAGGGGGTTTGTGTTCCAGATACGCGAGGCCTCTGATGAAGAGAAAATACTACCCATCGGGTAAATTTTTTCTTCTCTTTTCTTTTTCTTCTTCTGCGGAAGGAAGCCCGTGTCCATTCAGAGACGAGACAACCACATCATCGATGCCTCGACTCAGTCCGGTTGCCATCGACTAGTTCGTAGTTCGTAGTCTGTTCGGGCATGCCGGACACCCTCCCCATGTTATGGCCGGCACACACATATCACACACAACGCATCAGCACATACGTTGATCAGTCAGACGAAATGGGTGTAAGATGATTTGCCAATTATCCCCTCCCCCATGTCTTACAGGTAGCCTGCCACATCCACACACACCACCACCACCAGGCCTCAGGCTAGGCTTCTTCGTCCAAACTACTGCAGTGCGTGCGTGAGTGTGTGTCTGTGTAAGAAACAAGGTTCGGCTGGGCAAAAGGTAAAATCACAGAAGAAGCAAAATCGAAAAGACTGGAACAGGAGCCCAGGCCACGCCCCGTCGGCAAATCCAGTAGCTTGGGACGGGATCAGCAACCCAGTTTGGGTGTGTTACTCAACATTCAACCGGGTGTTTTGCTTCTGCTATCTCGATCTTGAGCAAGAATCAAGAGTTGTTGAAGGAGAAAGACCAAGCAAACGCGGCACAAACCGAGCGGAACCCTCTCGCCCTCGTCGTTCCCCCTCCCCTCCACATCGCCCTCGAGCATCGTCATATCCCCCGGTTGCTGGGCCGCCCGGGGGGCATCGCCGGAGACCCGCATTGTGCTGCTGGTTTGTCAAGATCGGAGGTTTTGAGCGACGATGATGACACCAGGCCCGCTCTGCTGGTCTGGTTCTCTCCCACCCCCCCCCCTCCTCTCTCTCGCTGGATACCCTATGCAGATTGTTCGAGCCCACCAGATCGCAGACTGGTGGGGAAAAAAATACTGAAAGAGACGCAGACACAACACACACACATATCCAGCAAACCACCAACACCACCACCCCATCTCCACGGCGCAAGGGCCGGGGTCGCTTCATGGGGGGGGGGGGGGGTTTCGCGATGCAAGCAATACCTACTACACTACTGTGTGCATAGCTTGACTTCCTATACTAGGTACATGGGGTACATGCTGTACCTCTTCCCACTTCCTGACTGAAGCCATCGTCTGAGCGTACATGTCCCATCCGTCAGCGCACACCCCCCTCCCCATGCTGGCGCCGCTGGGCCTACTCCCCCCGTGGGCGCTGACAGGAAAAAGATACCTCAGAGGTACTCAGGACGGAGCTGACATGCCAAAGGAAGAAATCCTTGCTTGGATACTACGTGACTTGCAGTGCCTGGGAGATACCAGATTACCCATCGTGGGGTCACCCATGACCAGGGAGGGGGGGTTGGATGGGTGGTGGGTAGCTTACTTAAGGGGGGGACAGGAATTGGTAAGTGGTGGTGGGCTGGCCTGGCTGGCTTTGGTCGTCGCAGCAGAGCCAAGGCATGCCGGAAATGGAAAACCCCCCGGCCCAGTACCGTTTGTGGTCTTATCACCCTGTCTTATAGCGAAAGGAGGGACGGTGTTGAAGATCCGGCACCGAGGCCCGGGGTAGAGCCTTGCTTGCTTGCCCTTTTTCTGCCTGCGTGTGTGCGCTTGATGGGGCTGGGTCTTTATTTTTGTGCGGATCCGCCGCATCCCGCATCGACATTGTACATACGGCCCAACACACTCACGCGCGACGCAACGCACAAGTCCGCCAGTCAGATGCGTGTTGGGGGAGGACATGAGATTGCGACGCTGATCGTGATGATTGATGGTGTCACGGCTTGCCCTATTGGAGCAGGCACGTCCGTTTTCCGTAGGCTGAAAACTGTCCTCTAACCTCGTGGTGCGCTGTATGGTGGAGGATTTCTATCTGGCCTGTGGAGGGGCGATGCTCATTGCTGGCTATGCTACCGATCTGCGTTTGTCTTTTCTGTATTCCACCCTCTGGCGGTGGTCTGGTTCCGATATTGAAGCACCGAAACTTTTTAGAAGCGGATGCAGGTTCCACTGCAGGCTGGCCCGCCGGCGTCCAAGTACCGTGGGAAGAAAAAGCAAAAACACCTTGGGGGTGAGCTGGGTGGTTTCAGATGGCAGTTCGCATGAGTCCACGTTTGTGGCTACATATGTCGAGGCCTGGCCTCCGTGATGGTGTCGACTTCATTTGTCTAGCTGATGACAGCGCCGGCACCAAGAATGCAATTCTGGCTGGACTCGACCTCCGGACCGCCGGGCTGTTCACGTTAGCCTGCGAGCCGGCCGTCGTGGTTGCTGACAGCCTGCACACTGGTGGAGATTCGAGATGACCGTTGTGCTTCTGGCTTGAGGTCCAGATCCAACCAATATCGATCGACAGCGTGCAGCATTAGCAACAGAGGCGACGATCCCGCTAATCTGGGTTCGGAAGGCGTTTCGGCCCGGGTTGACGGATGGGAATACTGCTGGGCTGCTGGGCCTTAATAATTTCTAATTTATTTGGTCTGCCAAAGTCATAATTATGCAGGTGCAAGTGGACGATGGTTTCATCTTCTGCACAGCTCACGCGTGCGAGTTGTCCTGCAGTTGTGCGTGCTGCACAAAAGACTACTGGAGTCTGCATAGTACTGTAAATACGCACACAGTGATCATCGACATTAGACTATCCAGTAGTCTAGTGCCTGGGGCCCGGGACGCGGAAGACACGGCAGCTCATCAGCATCACGACATCAGACGGGGTTCCTCCGTTCCCGATGCAACGGCCTCATCTCGTTAATCCCATCGGCCAGCACACAACGCACACTGCGCCCCGTCGCGTTGCGACTGAGACATTTTGCAGAGGCTAGACGTGCTCCAGTAGGCCTACGGAACAGCGGCCTATGCATTGGGGACCCGTTTGCCCCGTCCGTGGCTACGTGAGCCGGCCGGGTCTCTCTCGCGTTCGGTATCGAGGATGCTCAATTTGGGATCGAGGAGGATCCGCTTCTCCATCTTGATCATCGCCAACTCGTCTGCAATCGATGTCTTGGTGGGCTCCAGGGACCCAGGGCGCCCCCACCTGCGAGCCAGGCAGCCAGGGTTTTCCTCATTGCTTCACTCTCCCAGCCAGCCAGCACACAACACACGTACTGTGCCATTGAATTGATGGCCCGCAGCCGTGCTGGGATGGCACGGTGCGAGTAATGCCGCGGCCGACCTCGCAGATCTCGGGTGCTTGACGCTTGACAAGAAGGTCCAGGTCAAGGCCCAGGTCAAGGCCCAGGTCAAGGCCCAGGTCCAGGTCGAGGTCCAGCCCCCGGCTCCAGCCCCAGCCCACGTTGACATGAGAGACGTTCAGAGGTTCGAGAGAGCGAAAGAGAGAGGGAGAGCCCCGGCGATCGTCTGAGGTCGGTGGATCGGATCGGGCAGTGACCCAAGCTTTGAGTTTTTTTTAATCCCGCTCACCCGTCCTCTCCCGCCCAGCCCAGGCCCGGCGCGCAGGCCCTCCTCTGAACTGCCGCCGCAAATCAAACAGCGTGTCGCTGTCCCGGGCCCCCCTTGGTGATTGCTGACCATTGATGATGATGCTGCGTTGCTGGTCGGCCGCCAGCATTCGGGCAATCGGCCCACGGGCTCGGCACTTGCCAGAGCACGGCATCCCATTCCTGCCTCTGCACCGTCCATTTGTGTCATCACATTGTCGTTCGATGAATGATGTGACCACCATGACTCGGCCGCGGCTTTGCCAGGAAGTGCGTAGCAGGAGCGTAACAACAGAGTCCTGCTCAGAAGGGCGCTGCATCGCGGTATCGTAGCATCGAGCTTTTAGACTTGCCGCTCCCAATGTCAAGGGCTTCCTGGCGAGATGAGATCGCCAAGCACTGCTTTGTGGGGTCGCGTTTGGAAGGAGCTGACATACTGACTCTCGTGCCGTCGCTCCCAGTCCGGAAAATGACTCTCCAGGCATGGCAGGTCTAAGCACCTGCTCAACCATCGATCCCGTCTCCCAACCCCGCAGCCGTGAGTGGACGCACACATCGCGAGGGTGAAACAGCACAACATAATGCAAGAAGGACGTCGTCCTCGCCTGGGCGGCTTGACGACGTCAGGGCCGATGCCAGTCATGGCCTGTCCCGGGAGGCGCTGACTCTCGATCCCATGTGGCCATCCGAGACACTCATTGGCCCTCTCCCGAGCCAGCCGCCAGCCCGTGGCTCCAACGAGGCCCCAACAAGGCCCCAACAAGGTCCCTATCTCTCTCCTCATCTGCCTCTGGGAGCCAGCCATTCAATCCTACGGACCATACGAGAGCTAAGGGACATCGAACCTACAGCGGCCAAGTGCCTCCTCCAAGCGTGCTCCTCCGGGCTCAGGAACAGCAGCATTCCCGGTCCGAGCTAGCCAGGCCACCGTGTGTATCCGCGCTGTGCTTCCCATCAAGGAGCTATCTACGGGGCAGGGCAGGCTAGAGCAATGCGTTCCGCAGTCCAAGATGGAGCGCACATCTTCAAATCCCACCTTGCCGACCATGGCATTGGGCAGATGCAGGTCCAAGCCAAAGCAGTCAAGCGCGGGAGGGCTAGACATGCATGCTGGACTATGCAGCAGGTCCACCCAGTGTGGGACAGTCTGGCCCAGACTTGTACATGGGAGGGGTGAGCCTATCGCTCGAGCTCGAGAGGGAGGCGCTACAACCCCACACTGCGATGGAGCATGTGGGTTCCTCAAATTCTGGTCACTCAACCTCACTGGCAACTGCTCTGGTGGTGCTTGCTCCTCTCCCGGCCAGAGCAGGCTGTTGTCTGTTGGCTCATTGTCGGGGTATCTCAACATGACCGGTCATGAGGAGCCTCCTGCTCAGCTGAGCCGAGGGGTGATGCCACTTTTTCCGTCGAGGAGGAGCTCCGGGGCCTGGCCTGACCTGAGCTGGCCTGACTCCCGGCCGTCGTCACTCGTGCCAGCTCCAGCTCCCAGCTCCAGCTCCGGCTCCAGAAAATCCTTGCGTGGATCACGACAGCGTCTCGGGCACCAGCAGGAACCCATCATCCTTGGAGGGAGGGGGGTCTCCCGGTCAGACAAGACAGCCAGCCGTCCTGCTGGGTTGCACCCAGGAAGCCCCAGCCAATCTTGAGATCGTCAAGATGGATCTAGCAGCGATCCCCAGTCCAGCATCATAATTGGTTAGGCGCCTGTCGCGACAGCTGCGGAGCCCGGTGCTGAGGATCCTTTTTCGCGCGGGAATCCACAAACTCGCCCCCATGGTTGCGTAGTGTACCAGCAGCAGTACTGCAGCAAATGCAATGCCAACAACATCCGACAACCCCCTTCAAAGGTAACTAGGTAGCTGTTGGGAAGGTTCCGTGTGAGGGAAACATCGAGCCATCCTACAGTACCTGCCAGCCAGCCAGCCATAAGGGCGCGTGCCTCATCAAGACACGGAGGATCCTGAGACACCAAGAGCAGGCAAGCGAAGGAACATGTCATGCCAGTAAGACATCTCGAGCATGGTGGTCGACGATGAGGCTCGGGTATCCTTGCGCCATCCCAAGACACTGTCTCGCCTTACGTGATGACTACCATGCATCCATCCATCCCAATCTTTCATTGCCATACGATACCACCACCGTGGCAAGATTCGTGCCACATGCGGGAGCCTCGTGATTCGATTTTTTTTCCTATGTTCTCAGCCATGTTCTACTCCTTGTCATACACGTGGATACAGACAATGCATTGTCCGTGTCAAGCCGCGTGGTGGCGAAGAGAGGTTGAAAACTTCGCCATGCAAAGAACCAAGAACATGGGCACATGTATTTCGAATGGCTGCTGACTTGGGTGTCGGAACTTCTCCAAAGCGGCGAACTCGAGCCGACCTTACTCGAGTCCCGGCGCATCCACCACGGCTGTACTAGGTGGTCGGGACTGTCATCACCCGTCATAGCCTGTACGTCTTTTTCACTGGTATCAATGCATGCAATCCAGTGACAGGGAAAAAGTAAGTACAAGTCCCAGATCGATGTACATGATACATATATACATGCCCTTGTACATATGCGACCTGCAGACGGCAACCAAGAAGCTAGCTAGAAAAGAAATCAACGGTCGAAAGAGCCACTTTCTATGGCATGCAAGTATCTACAGAGATGCTAAAAGCTCCTCCTCCGGGAAAGAAGAGCCGACCTTATCCAACATCTACACATGACATGAAAAGAGAGAAAGAGGCAAGGAAAAAGTACCACAATAGGATAGAAAAGGGAAGGAGTGTGACACCTGCCTGAGGGGCCCAGAACGGCCGGGCGGCCATTCGCCAATCACGAGTGCATCCCAATGATCGTAATCTTGCATCTTGGATCCCACTCTGGGAGGGGACATCCCATCTGCAGCCATTTTCGAAGGGGGTACCACTCTTTACTATTGACCCAGGTAGGCTCAATGCGCCGGCGCCCACAAGCCTTTTTCGACCGGAAACACACAGACACACACACAGACAGCGACACACAGACACACACCCCTCCCGACAGCAAGACCCCGTGGACCCCTCGCCTCCCCCTCCCTACCTTCCGTCCCGTTGCTCGTCCGATGGTTATTGTGGGAACGCACGGATGTGGTCAAGACTGGGTAGGTACTGTACTGTGCTGTAAGCGAGTAGGCCCAAGCCCAATGTGCTGGATTGTGCGTAGCCTTTCCCTTGTTGGTCGAACTGTGCCCCTCCGAGGTGTCAGATGCGGCCGTTGCCTGCTGCTCCTGCTGCTACTGTCTAGCCCGCCCGTTGCGCAACTTGGGGTCATGGCCCTGCGGGCGATATTCCTGAACCGGAACTGTTGTGCAGATTAGCTCTGAAAAAAAAAAAAAAAGATAGATGTCAGATATCAGATATCAGACAGGTAGGTAAGGTGGCCTTTTTGTTGGTCCAGAGTGTGTGAACGTGAACGCGCTGTGTGGTCAGCAAGAAAACCTGGCGATGGGACATGCTGCAAAGAACCAAGTTCCCGGCCCCCGGGAGGTGGGAGGGGGCGTGAGGGTATCGGCCCGGGGGGGGGGGGAAGTGAGGGCGAGGCTCTGGGTAAGTACCTTCACAGCAGCGAGGAATTACAGTACATGTTTTACATGCCCATTGCCTGCTACCTTACCCCCCGATTTTCAGATGTCAGAGGATGATGGGGTGCAACAAGCAGAAGGGAGAATAGGCAAATCCACTTAGCCCAAGAGCTCCCCTTCCCCCCCCCCCTCCTTCCAACCCACCCACACCCACCACCCTAGACCAGCCATCCAGCCCTCCTGCGGGGAAACGTCATCGTAGCCCGTCAAGTCAAGAGAGCCCTGCATTTTGCGCAAGAGATGTGTGTCTGTGTGTGTGTGTGTGTGCGCGCGCGCACCCATGATCGAATCTGCCGGTTCGCGACTTTGACTATTCTGGCTCTCCTCGTATGGCGGGTCTCACCCGCGCGCAGTGCTGACATGTCAGGCTGGTTCTTCAGCAGGGCAGCCACGGTAGCTGGCCAACAATAACAAATACAACAACAACGGAAAGAACCTCCGGGCGCGGTGTTGGTCGTGTGTGATCACTAGCAGTGTGTGTGTGTGAATAAATCACACACACTCACACTCACACTTTCCCACTCTCGGGCAAACCCCGGCAGCTTATCACTCGCCTTATATGGGCTGAAAGGAAGGAGAAGAAGGTTATTCGCATGCAGCGCTGCATGCGGGCGGCGGCGGGAGGGTGACGCCCTTCTAGAATGTCTTGGGGTGGTGGTGGGAGCAGAATCCACCGAACACGCCCTGTCTATTCCTGTCCGTCAAACCCTTAACATTACATAGCCGTGCTGATCCGGACCCCGGATTCTCCTAATCCTCATGTGTGCCTCATGGGTGGTTTCCGGGCCCTGTCTGTCTGTCCTGTGGTGGTTGTGTTTTTGCTTTTTCTTTTCATTTTCCTCCCTCCCCCTCCCTCCTTCGCGTGTGCGGGAGCGATCTGACGGCAGGAGCTCCCGCAGGCCTGTCATTCGCGAATCGCAGGCCACCCTCACGGGCCCCGGGTGTGGCTGGTTGTATACCCTCCGTGGAGATCCGGTTGGATGGGCTGGCTGATGTGCATTTGTGCGCGCGAGGCCAGAAATGGGTGTGGTGGTGGTGGTGTGTGTGTGTGTGTCTCATATGTGTGCGTGTGGGTTGGTGCGCCCGTTGACGTGTGATGTGGTGCGTCCCTCCGCCCTGTTGTGTAACAGGCCCACCCGGCCCTCGCGAGGTGCGGTGCGGGAAGCTGGGATGTTTCCAAGCCTTGGGGTTATGTGATTTTCTTTTTTCTTTCTTTTTTTCGGGCTGTGCGATCTGACCTGTCTCGAACCTTACCGAACTGGTGGGAAGGAAACAAGACCCCATGTAGGTTTGTAGGACCCTCCTGTCAGCTCTCACACTTGCTCGCTTCAATCTGTATTGTACTTGGGTGGCTTGCGTCTCCCGTCTGCGCCATGTGCATTGTCCTTCACAATACGAGGCACATCTGACATCTCCCGTTGCCGATCCGGACGAATAGATTCTGAGGGTCTGGGCAACCTCAAAAATATCCCATCTCATGTGGGTGGACGGATTTGGAATGCAGAACTGGTAGCTTCGTGTTCAGCCCAGATCGCAAATGAGACAAGGTATCAGCATTTCTAGGGCCCCAAAAGTATTAGGTAGTCAAAGTGTATTTCGTTTCCAAGTCTATCTTCTGCCAGCCACAGTATGCCTCAAAGTACGCATCTCTATGTTTGTCTTGCAGAGGAAAGCACAGCGCCGCGCCAAGTCTTCTGGTGCGCTAAATGCCAGTAGGGAGTTAAACCAGGAAAGCAATAGTTCCAACCTGCGCCGGCAAACCCGACAAAACCTCCTCCCAAGAATCAAAAAAATCATCTTGTTTTGTCCCTCCCCGCCCTTGGTCCCCTTTTGAATCCTTAGCCGGCGAGTCGTAATCGGCGGTCCACCTGCTGAACCCCTCGTTATAGGACCTCCGCATACCCTTTTTTCTTTTCTGGCCCGGACTTTTTGTTTTTGAAAGTGGGGAGAAGCTGACGAGAGGGCGGAAACAAGAACCGGAAAATCAAATAATACCGTCCGTCCTAAACATGTACAAGGCCTCCGACGGCTTGCTTATCCCAGCTTGGCGGAATAAAGCGCCGCCTACAAAACAGGCATGCCCGCAGACTGTAGCAGTGGTCGTGGAGAGTGCTGTCGAACCTCAAAAAACCGCCAACGCCGTAATAGTAGTAGTAGTAGTAGTAGTAGTTGTAGTAATTCTTGTTCTCATGGCCGTGAAATCATCAAGTCATTCCATCTCAACCGCATGCGGAGGGGCTGGAGATCTGCCAACCCGTCGCACCGAGGCTGTGCCGTGGCTCAGGACAGGTCCTCGAGTCGTGTCTGAGCACGCAGGAAGCACAAATCTGTTCTCGAGCTCGCTCAGTCGACGTCGTGCATCACTGGCTTTTCGTACCGGGACGGCAGTGTCATGCGGCGCTGAGTGACGTAGCGCACGAGCTCGCCCTTCCCGTTTGGTGTGCTCATGCTCAGGCTTCGCTGGGGTCGCATAAGACGCTGTCGATCGTGGACATCTCCATCTGCTCGGCTACCCCATGACGTCTGCGGTACTCTAGGTTAGTACCGGTCTTGTCGATTAAACTCTTGGAGGGAAAATCCATACCATGTTGAGAGTGGCGAGGGCATAAAGCTTGATGAGGCCATGAAAATATCCGAAAAGGATCGAGACCGGCAGGAACATGATATCGCTGGGGTTTCTCATGAAGAGACCCACAAGCTTGACGACCTTGGTAAAACCGAACACGAAGATGATCTGGGCCCAGAAGGCATACTGGCGGCTCGTAGCATCCCAGTTCGCGGTTGCCTTCCAAAGTGAGAAAATGATGAACGGGTCCATCACGAAAGCCAAAGAGGTGAAGGTGGCGATGTGCAGCGCATATGTGCACCAGAGTTGTTGGCTGTGACAGGGTAAGTTAGTACGTAATCCTGCAGAAGCGCCAAGCCACGCCGGGAGATGACTTACCTCCACACATAACGCTCAATCACAAGGCTGGTCCAGTTACTGCGCCAGTTGCTTCGTGCCCATCGGGAGCACTGGTACAAGAACTTCATTCCATTCTCCAAAGTTGTCTCGAGCTCGCACTCCCGCTCGTACTGGATCCAGGTCTTCCACTGGTGGCTGACTAGCCATCGGGTCACAAAGTTATCGTCGTCGGCGTTAAGAATGTAGTGGCGCCACTTCTCACGCTGGAAACCATCGAGAAACTCAGCGCTCTGCAAGATTTCAGACCTGTAGGCCCCAGTGCGTCCGGACATGCAAGACGTGCCCCCATCGATGTTGTGGGTAGCGGAGATCTCGAAGTTGCGGCGCTCGATGTAGGCAGCTCCTAGCCAGTTAAAAATCCTTGTCTTCAGGTCGGCATTCCATTCGCGACGGACACGCTGGCACGTTCCGACGCCACCAATCTTTGGATCTTCAAAAGGTGCCAGGAGCCAAGGCATCAAGGTCTTGGGCCACTCGACATCGTCGTCTGCCATGATCGTGATACGAGTCCGGACTTGCGGTAGCGCGGCGCAGACTTGCAGACGCTTGTTTGCAATTTGTGTGAACAGAACCCGAATCCGGGGGTGGTTCAGCGAGTCGGCAAGCTTTTTCAGGGCATCATGCTTGGCGGCGGTTGTGATGAGAATGAGCTCATACGGCTGGCAGGCCAAGATGCTCTGGAGGGAGGGACGGAGCTCTTCCATACGGTTGTGGATTGTAGGGATCACCACGGTCACATCATCCGGTGTAAAACTGGGCTTTTCCGGGATGGGTTTCGACTTGTAGGTCCAGTGGCTGTAGCAGTGGACGAGTAGACGCAGATACCGGTGTACCCTGGATGCTTATCAGCAAAGGTGCTGCAAGGAGATAACACAGCCTCGGGCCGGAGCTGGAGTATGAGTTATTCCCGGAGCAACAGAGACTTACCAGCAAACAATGAAGACCCAAGCCCAGAGAGTTGTTGAGTACCAAATCGAGGAGAAATCGAAGGCCCCAAGGGAGCTCCACAAGGAAGCTGTCAAGGGGATCATGATGTGGGTATCAAGCGAGGCACTGGGTGCTGTCGAGTTCGCCATTACTGGTAGAGAGGTGCTGGTGGTCACAGCGGGGTTGCTCCAGCGGATCTTTCGAACGTGAAGCTGGGAGCAGGGGCGATTTGTGTTGAATTCCAATGGGGTTCGTTCCAACCAGGCCTGGTTGGAGAGGCCGCAGGAACAATCACCCTGGAAATGGGCAGTTCAGGGTTGATGGAGCTGCTTGGCTGGGAACTTGTGCACAAGGTCCCCGCTGCTTGTCTCGAAGGCGTTTCTCCTTCTACGGCAATTTTGTGATTGCAGACAAGAATTGCTCAAATCTTGTGGCTCTTTAGAATCTCGACGCGGTGTTACCACACCTGGGAGACTGGCACAGATATGACGGAGCGGGGGGTTGGTGGCGAGTCGAGCGCTTCGGGGAGAACGGGTGCCCACGGAGCTGCAGGACTGCGTTCAACAACCTGTCAACGGCGCTTGTGCTTGTACAGAGCCGTGTGAGCTCTCGTCAGTGAGACAGACAAAGCTGGCTCATCTACACCCTCGAAGTCTTTTTCCTCTTTGGGGGCGGAAAATCAATTGGTGTGCAACGAACGACTTCGGATGAAGGACTGGGCATCGAGCACCACTAAAGCCCCTGACAGCAACCGGTGGAGGAGAGGGTAATGTACAAGTAGGAGACGGGAGAGCAGAACGTTATGACAAATCCATGGTACAGACCAATTGGGCCCAAAGAGCAAAGACAGAAAATAAAGAAATAAGTTGGAAAAGCAAAACGTCCTCGATTAGACATGGGAAGCGGATGGGGACTGAAGAGATATATAGTCAGTGGTGCCGGACGGGAGATGGACGGCCGAGGAGACTTCCTGGGGTTGTTCCCAGAGCGGGCACGATTGCAGGGAACATGGACAGATTTGCTCCGAGCTTGCAAGTGAGGAGAAGCGCCATAACAAGGAAGTAGTGTGAACGATGTGTTTACGAGGATAGACATGCCCACAACTGGGGCAATACGCGGCCAAGGTCCAGAGTACAATTTGTCGAACGCAGCGTCGAGACCGTGCAGATGGAAAAAAAAGGCGCGAGAAACAGAGGGACCAGTAGGGATGGTACGTACAGTGCTGATCCAGCAATGGATGCAGGCGCTTGCAAGGGGGCCCTCTCTAGACTGCTTCCGGCCTAGGGGTCCTCCCTGAGGGTGTGGGTGGCAGTGGTGAGGGGTGTCATTCCAAGATCCACCGGGCCTGCTTTCAAGGTCCCATAGGGGCCATCACAACCTCGATGCGGTTGGGTGGGAGAGGGGCGTGTATCATGAGAACACACAGTGAGAGAGGGCCAGGGTACATGAGCTTGACAAAGTACCTGCGGGCGAGGGTGGTGGGGACCTCGAAGCTTCAAGGATAGGGATGCTCCTGTACAGCTGTATATGGGGCGATGACCAGCCCCCTGAATCCCGGCCTACCCACCTCGTTCGCTCAGCGAGATGCGGAGTCGAAAACCCACTCGTTGGAAAGGCCCAGACACCGGAGAAGGGGACGGACTTGACACTCCATTCGCTGCCAGGCTTGGGCGTGCGTCTCGAGCCTCAGGAAACGCAGCGTTATGATGTGATACATGCCCCAAACACGGACTCTGCAAAGGCACAACAAGCATACCAGCCCCATCTCAATGTGGATTCTAGTCCCTGCCGGCCGCCAAGGCTCATGCCATCGAGCTCAGGCCGACATGGATCAGCAAGCCACTGCTTTGTGCCGGAAGGCTTCTTTGCGCAAATGCTGCCAGCTTATAGAACATAGCAAGTGCCCCTCATTGCACAGTAGGGTCTTGAGGTGAGCCTTGCCTGCCAGCAATGCGGGCGGATGGCCGGCCATGTCTGTCACAACGCCTGTGTTCGGAGCAGGGAGGCAGGCGATCAGGTGCACAGGCTTCACAATCAGTTGTGAGCTCCGGCTTCTGAGGACAAATGCCACCCCAGCCGAGGCAGGCAACCGCCGTAAGTATCCCAATGGACAGGGTGTCTGGCCGGGAACTTTTGGTATTATTAGTCGGCTGCACTGACCTGGCCTGCTTGACTGGCTCGTTCTGCGGTGCTGGTATACATAACAACAGGCCACTCTGTGAGATGATTCGGGGATTGCAGGGAGCCGGGGGGCTTGAAGGCTGGAGATAGCACCACAAATGAGCCTTGCCTGCTTGGTATCCTGAGATGCGAGCCGAAAAAAGAGGCACCTTCTCGACTTAGGCAAGCTCGGGGGTTGCAGGCGATATCTGCTGGCGTTTGTCACAGAAGATCATTGAATGATGGGGGTAGGAATTTGGGCGGTTATTTCCAAGGTTGTGACTGCTCACCAACGGAACCATGGAATGATGCTACTGTCGGAATCCCCACAAGTAATAGTAGAGTGGCCCACTTTGGCCTGGGACGAATCCATGGGTGGTGATAGGTGACGCTTCGAGGACCCTTGATGGCCATTGCAGAAGCGCGGATGCAGCGAAATAACGTAGGTACCTCAGGAAGTCGACACGAGGCTCGCTGAAAAGGAAGGTGGGGATACCAGGACAGTGCTGCATGTGAATTAACAGCCCGCCTCTCTCGACTGATGGCGGCTGAGTGAGCGAGGCGGCTGAATGACGGACATTGGATCTAGGGCTGGAGTTGGGAAAGCACTGGCTCTGCATGTAGGCAGATTTGCTTTTCCTCCAGATCGCGTCCGAGAAAGGGAGTGCCTACCGTCGGGACGGACGGACCTCAAGCTGGTCCCAGCTCGCGAATCCCGAGAAGACCCTGGAGTCTGCCGTACCGAGAAGAGTACTCAGAAGGTACTTTGGGGGCCGCTCCCACCACATTACTGTTCAGATCCGCGGATGATTGCCTTGCGGCGATTGCACCATCAGCACCCAGAGAGGAGCCCTAAGCACGAAGTCTTTTCTTACTCCAGGGTGAGATGTGCGGATGCAGCAGTTTAGAGGAAGACGCCCTTTGCCATGCCTTGGGAGTCCGAATTGGGCATTGGAGCTCCGTCGCTGGCGAATATCTTTGTGTGGTCCAGGCCAGGCGGATACGCGACGGTGATGCAGGTACGGCGTCAGTACCAATTGAAATGCCCTACCAGGGCAAAATTTAGATTCGGGACGTCAGGTCTCGGCTCAACGCTCGTTGAGGAAGTCCCACGGCTCATCCAAGCCCGTGATTCCGCTGCAGGGTCGGTCGTAATAAGACTCAGCATGTGACATGTAATTAATGTGCCCAGGAAGCAGTCTTGTTATCCTCGTTGGCAATATCGCTAGGAATCGAGATGGACCCAGCCACTGGAGTGCCAAATTTCGTAAACTGTGCCTCTGGTGATACATCATTCATGCTCGGTAACTAGGAGCCTGATGTGTGTGTGAACGCGTATATGTGTGTGATCATTGCCCCATTCTTGTCGGCTTGTCGGTCCCGACACACACACAGTAATTGTTGATGCGTTGCCATTCTGCTTCGAGCACCAGAGAGAGCGAACCATGGTATGTCGTTGAAGAGATTGTGGCTTGCCGCCACTACCGGCGCGAGCACAAAGATGTCTCAGCGCACAGACACGATGCCGGTTTGTACAGTACTTGTGTACTCGAACGTCGTTGCCTATTGCTCACAATGCAATGTGATTGTCATGATGGGCACGCGCTGACGGCCTACCGAAGAAGCGCAGCTGGCGTACAGGGGCAGTCCCATGACTTTGCACAAGAGAGCCTGGCTGTGCGCGGCTGTCATGCTACTGCTGTAAGCCTCGTGATGTGACGGCAGTCGGGCGCAGGTTCCTTGGAGGCGCAAGCCCGAGCTGTTGTGACCACAGTAACACAAAGCGATGACTGTCGTGACGTCTTGGCGCCTCGTCCACAGCCCACCTCGGCCGGCGAGGCCATTGGCAACGAGTACCGTCTGGACGGATGCCACGGGCGTGTCCATGTGTGCCAACACACGAGACACGGCTCGAAAGCTCGTGGACTAGCCAGTGTATCTGACAACCAGGCAGAGGAATTGACCTGTTCTTCGCGAGCCGGGGTCCATGAAGGTCGCACGCAAGGTTCTGTTGATTTCAGTTGGAGATCGACTCGATCAACGCCTTCTTTTTTAGTACAGTCCAACTAGTGTAGCTGGTCACGGATGGTTCATCAGCAAAGTGCAGCCACACATTCTTTGAATCCAGCTAGCGGGGATGCTGGAGCTGCAGCTCACTCGTTTTGGCAATCAGAGCAGATCGCAAACAGGGTAGATCCTTACATCCCAAGGGCATGGGTGTCTGCTGGAGCCGTGCCATACGTACCTAGTCGACCTCGGTATGGCAAGTACAGCACCTCAGTACATGCTTGTACGTGGGCTACATCCACGCCGGCGCTGGCCATGGTGCACGATTCGCACCCCGAGGAGTCGCCATAGGCCGAAACGTTCCTGCCAACGTTCGCATCAAGCGGCCGTTGGTTCCAGCGATGGATATCGATGATGGATGGACCGGGTGGAGGACATCTGGGACCGAAAGTGGTCGGGGCTCCTGCGTGCCTACTGCCGTGCTGTGGACTCCATTTCTCGAGGACATCAAGCTATGGATTCCAGGTCATGGTCAGGGTACCAACGGGCCCAGCCAACGTTGGGAGGAGGGTGCTCCGCCCGTTGAGATGGAGACTCATCATGAATTGATCATCATCATCATTCAATGTCTGTGGGCCACTGTGGGGTCACCCAGCAAACGGGAAGACAACGTTGGAGCGCAGTCGGGCCCAGTTGAATGCTCCTGCCACTCCTGCGCCTGCCTAGAAGATCCCCGACGACCCGGCCGGATAGGTACCTCGCTTGGTGCTGTTCAATCGTGAGCAGTCCAGGTATATACCTAGGTAGGTAGGCAGGTAGTTTATCATGCAGCAGATTTCTGCGTACATGGCAGACTAAACATTGACGTGATAGGCGTGCAGTCCGTGCTGGGCGTGCAATCGCGACCTTGCACCTTCCTGGCTGCAATCCGCACACCCACCTGCCTTGCCTTGACGTGCTGTCACCCGCGTATCCTACACACGGCACACACACACACACACACACATTGTTCAAACACCGTAGGCTTGATCAATGTCATTGTCATCATCATCGCCGCCCGCTGCCACCACCACCAGCACCGGCTTGCAGTAAACTGAATGTGCCGGCATCCAGCATAGCCAATGACAGACACGTGGCAGGCGAGTCGAGCCACCTCCCAATTTTCCGAGGACGCTGCCGCGGACGGTTTGCTGCTCTCGTGCCCAGATGCGAGTCATTCGCTCCGATCTGTATCCGCCCACTCATACAGCCACACTTCATTCATTAGACATCTTTCGGCCTTGTGTCGCATGCATTATTATCCATGATCAACGCAGTCCTTCTGCAGGTTCGTACGCCAAGCTGCCTGGAGCTCAAGCTCGCCCGCCCAACCCCCCTCTACGCCTGAGAAACGAAGCCAAAGGATCGAGGCCTGCGTCTACCACGAGCCAGCTCAACCTTCTCCTTCGTCCGCGGCTGAAGACTGCATCGTGATATTTTGCTCCCGTCGTTCCCGGTCCCCGCCACTATCGCCCGTTCTTGTCCTTTGCAAATCGGTCACACTACGACAATTCTCTGTCCGCAACAGGTGGCACGACACGCATTGGCGAGGTTCCTCTCGACGCCCTGGCGGGTGACACGACACTAGCCCGGCTTACGGAGTCGAAACTGTCCTCCGTGAACCTCATCAGCCAAGGGCAACGAGCCGCCTGTGGGCTCGAGAAGCACCTTCGAGCCCATTGACGCTGGCTGGACCTGCATACGAATGCAAGCCCGCACGTCACGGGCTGGGTCCGACAACTCTGCCCTCTGTTTCGCCGGGACTTACATCTGGGAACCTGGCACGAGAGGATCCCCAGGCCTGCAAATGAACAGCTATCAACAGTTTATATTCCTTAGCCGCTGATTCCTCATTTGCGTGGCAAAGCCAGATCACCGATCTTCTTGCAGGCTAACAACTCGCAAGCTTCCTCCGTTACTCACGACGGCGCTGTTCCTCTCGGCAACGGCGTTGTTGGATCCCTATCTGTATCTGCGACAGGTCATTCGATGGTCAGCATTGAGTAGGGGGCGTTGCATCTCTGCAACCATGCAAAGAGCAATAGAGATCGGTTGTACCTTCCCTGGAGGCGGAGGATGCCGCCCCAGTCGGACCCTATCGGTGGCCTGGTGCGGACCTCTGTCTAGCTTCGTGGCGCCGTCCCTTTGGAGTCTATTCGCCAGCGAGCTCTTGACAATATTGGATCGACAGCCGGAGACTGATTTTACACCCCAGGCCTCGACACGAAGTCATTCTCCATGATCTGAAATTGCGGCAGAAGGTTAACCGAAACCGACCAAGTCATGATGCTGCAGTTCCAATCCGCGCCGATGACGCTGAAGGCTAAACACCGCCGCTCGCGCGCATAGGATACCAGAATTGTGAAGGTTATTGGATTGTGGCCATGACAGACTTGAACCATGTGACCCTGCCATGTCACTAGATGCAGGCCTGCAGCGCAGCAGTGTATGTCCCATCTTGAGCCTCTAACTCTGGCGACACTGGCAGAGGACGACTGCTGGAGCCGCTGCTCGAGCCGCCGCTCGAAGTCTCTTCACGAGTCTTATCTCTGTGCAGTCTGCGCGCCCAAGGTCTCCACGATTTAGGCGCTGCGGCCCTAGTCATTATCCGGAAGTGTTCGCCTCCACTCGCATGCACAAGAGAAAAGATTGTGCAGCAAAGTACCTCACATGTACCGTACCACAGTTTCTCGCGACTTGTCCTATACACTGTCTCGGGAAACGAGACCAAGTGGGCGAGGCAAGGTGCAGGCTGGTCTATTGTGTCTTTTCTCCCGTTTTGCCGTCACTGCATTTTTGTTGCGCGTGATGTTCCGGAGCCCCAATATACCTGTAGCGAGTCTGGCTCTCAGCCCGGCCCCGGTCGCGACTCTTGTAACAAAGTGGGTGAACTTTGGCTGCAGTGATCATCTCTGCCTGCCCACCACCTCCATCTCTGCAGGCTGCATCTCCAGGCGCAATGGAACCAAGCAAGTGCAATCCACAAGCGGGAGACAAGGGACGGGGAATGCGCGATGGCATATCCGTCCTGGAATAATGTAGCAACGCGTTGAAGCGAACCTCCACTCTGGTAAGGATCAAAATCCACACAGGAAATTTGTCCGGGGTGCGCAGCGGCTCAGTCTATTCCGCATTTCCTTCACAACCTTCCCAATTCCTTCAACAGGCCGGGTGACAATCTACCTTCCACCATTGGAAAACTGTCATGGGTGTGTTGATGCTGTGCCATGCATTGTATGGAAGAGCGCATCATCTTCGAGCATGCTCGAGTCGTTTCGCCAATGGCTCAGGGCTGATCTTGATCGCCGATACTCCAGTCACTCAAAGCTATGCCTGAGTTGCCTGGTCGGTGCCTCCAGAAGGAGGTGCAGCTTCACACCATCACACGCAAAAGTCCAAGTCCATCCATCTGAGATCACTGATCCCGCAAGGATAGAGGCATGTGGCCCTTGAGCTGAGTAACACGAAATTCGATAGTATACTGTACATCCAGGCCGACAGTCTTCCTGCACAAGGCGTGTATGCAGTGGGGGGGGGGGGGGGGGGGGCGTGTTCCAGCGCTTTTCCAATGCCAGCATGAAGTACTCACCACGTCTTAATCGCAGCAGGACTTGAAGAGCCATCCCATCTCGACCATCATGCTTCGTTCAAGTTCGACCGGAAAATCTACTGCGAAGACATGGGTCATAACGCTTGCGCATGTCTCTTGTCACTCGCTCTTCTGTGCGACTAGATCCTTTCCTTTCCCGTACAATATGTCACTTCAAATCCCCAGGTCGAAAGGTCCCTTTTAGGAAGGCAAGGCTCCCTGCACCTCGACCCCCGGATGCACTCCGTCCCCAGGCATACATCATAAGTGCATTAGCCAGAAGACGCAACGGAGATCTCTGCATGATCTACTGCAGTTCAATTTCTCAGCTTGCGCTCGAAACGGAGCAGCGCCATGACACGGGAACAGGTGGGACAAGAAGGATGTGAGGACCCGTTCACTCACCTGACGCGCTCGGTAGTCAGAGCTCCGTTCTGTCATGACCGGTTCTGCATGTCATGACGACGTCCACGTCGTTTCCGAGACCCTGGACCCCTGGCCGCCATTCAAATACGGCAATGTTTCTGCAACTCCGAGCCCAGCGTCCCGTCGCTCCCAAGCGATCTCTTTCCGCCTCTGAAGCGCCTTTGACCAAGCATCTTCGGACGCCACGGCTGGAGAATGCCTGCTTCGTCGGGAGGATCGCCTATTTGCAGGAATGGGAGCGCCTTGAGGGCCGCGACGTACTGCTGGTGTCGGCTGGACTGCGCCTTGCTTCCAGATGTATCAGGAAACTTAGAGACTCGGACACGTCGTCACCGGCTCGAGTAGCTGATACCTGCTCCCAGATCCGGGCTCCAAATTGGCTAATATCCCAATCATGGTCACAGATCACACGATTGCCTGCCCTGGCAGGCACTCTCGAAGATGGCACTGGCAAGCCTGGGCCCTGGCTCTCATCAAGAACGTTGCACAACGACCGTGCAGTCGGTTATCCTCTGGTCAAGAAGCTTGATACGGAGCGCCGACCGCTCCTCATATTGCGGCCGCAGCATCGTACGAGCACGGCAGACTGCTGCCTCATACACCAGCCTGGTCTATACGTGACGATAGGGCCGCAGCCTGGGCCATACCAGTTCTGGCGATCCATGGCCGCGGCCAGACCTCGGAGCTTCTCCCGGCGATTGTGATATCGCGGGCTCAGCACCTTCCAAGAGATTGACTGATCATGTTCTCTTCGCCAGCCTGCAGGGCGTGGCGCTCCCTTCGCTGTGGCCCCGACATGAGTCCGCTCAGTATAGTCCCAAGGACTATGGGACGGAGGCGAGGAGTGGGCGGGCCGATTGATACACCATGGGTGCTGTCAGACTTCTGACAATGGGTCTGGTTACGCCATGGTTGACGGTGACAGAGAGGAAGTCCCTATTCCACCATTCCATTACAGGAGGCGGGCCCAGGCCTCTCCTGAGTTGGTTTCCCCGAGAGAAATCTCGTCTCAGGCTCTCAGAGAAAAACGGAAGTGAGGAAGATTGCTGCCTTGCTGCAAGTCTCAGCTACCTACATCACCTTTTACTCCAGGGAGTGTTGACTTCCCAGAGTTGCTCCCGCGCTATACCGCTGTCGTCGCAAAAGCCTGACGCACAACGGCGCTTGTCGCCAGCTTCGACTCTTGCAGGACTTTGAAGACAGGAAAAGACCTCGTGGCTTACCTGCTGAAGCATGCTGCCGGCTGGTCAGATAAACACACAAGGACTGCGTGGATGATCATCTCCAGAGCGACGTGTACGGTGGTTGAGGATATCGTGAAGCGCTTGCTCTTTTGAAAATGGGGAACCTGATTGGGGGAGATCCATGGCAACAACGCAGACATGGAAAATATGTCGCGGACTCAAAAGACAGAACACCCTCTAGAGATACTCGGTGATATCACTAGAGGTTTGATGCCTCATTGGGTGGCTGGCCTTCCAAGGTTTCGTCAACACCCTGAACGCAGGACGTTGTTGTCTCCTTGGCCAACCTCAGGTCTCGGACGACTATCGTCGACATGCGAAGACATCATTCACACATCGTCCTTCACAGACTCGAAGAGTATTTAACCTGGCACGGGCTCATTCACGGGCCGTTCTGGCTTAAAGTCAGCACTGTGGTTTCATCGAGAATATGTTCGAATGAGGCTGTATGGTTCGCAATGCACCAGGATGCTCACAGAATTTCCAGGTGGATGTTATCCATATCAATCCCTCTCATCTCCCTGGAAATTGGCATGGGATTGAGCTTTACTGACAGGCTTCGGTCAGGCAGGCCCCATCAATAGGCACCTCATGCATCTCTCTCTGACCGAGGCTGCAGACCGCTCTTCCAGCCGGTGCGTGAGTCCATGCGCTTCAAAGTCCTGTCGTGTATGGCGATGAAGACTTAGGGCTGGACACTCTCTCTTCTGACATTCGAACCAAGCATACGTTCGAAGTCGACTCCAGACCATGCCCATCGAAACATCCATGCGTCGCTCCCAGCTCTGGCCAAGTTGGGAGTTCCCGGGTTGAGACCTTGATCCAAGCGCTGAGTGATCAGTGACTCCGAGCCCGGCATTACGTCCGACTGACTGCCAACGAAGTCATATATGAGGGGCAACCAGGATCGCCGGGCATGGATGAAACAGCGTGAGGCTGCCCGCCTCGCGGTTGACAATGCTGGTAAATCCTGATCCTATGAGGGGTTACAGTACTACGTGCAGTTGTCTCCCGCCACGGCCAGGATAAAGCTACTAACGAGGGGCGACCATCGAGCCAGGTTTGTGTTATATAGCCCGGGATCACGTGCGACATCGCCATACGCTATAGTTGGGCAAGCCAGAGCCCGGCTCGAACTGCCTGGTTCATGATTTTAAGTTGCGGGCTCGACATGCGATGCTCTCGGGTATCTCTCACGCCATCACGCACCCCCTCGGTAACCCATCAGGTGACTCTGTGTTTGATTAGACTTTGCGGGAACGGGTGGTCGAGAGGACCACACGCAAGCAGGAGGCCGCACCCCCCTCCCCCAAGACGGAGGTCAAACTCTGATCTCCGAGGGAGGGGGCCCGAACTCTTGCCGTCGGTTACATCGGATTCTCCCTCACTAAAAAAGGACGATCCCGCCAGAGCCGCATGCGCAGTGCGGATAGGACGCGCTCGGGGATCCCGCTCCCGTTCGATGCCACCATGGGGGGGAGGCGATGGCCGGGAGGCATGGACGTCCCGAGGCGGGCGGGCATCCTGGGACTCGACGAGCAAGCCAGCGAGCACATGCCGGGCTCCCCCCCCCCTCTTACAGGGAACCTCCCGGGTCTTGATGGCTTCGTGCCGTCTGGGTCCACGTCTTCCCGTACCATGGCCGCGCCACCTCGACACACCTGATGAAGGACTGTGATTACGCGGACAGGTCGTGGCTTTGCGGCCGGGCGCTGTTGCAGGTTGACGTGCTTTGTTGGTGATAGGCAAGCCAGCCAGCCAGCCGGCAAGCCAACCAAGGCACACCACATGTGTTATTCACAGGGTCAGGTTGTTATTGTCAATCACGGCTAAGCTACGTGCTACTGCAGACGATCTCGTGCTACCACCCTGTTCCACGATACACAAAGGCCGCCGTGCTGCAGAGGTGAGAGACTAACCCTAGGTTCTTTGACCTTGGGCGTCCCGCGCCAGATAAGAAGCCTACGAGGCCCGGGAGCAGCAGTGGTTTGCGGGAACGCGGGGAAGGCAGTTGGGGACGGTGGTACGGTGCCACCACACCCAGCTAGCCCGTGGCGGGCTTGACCAAAGCCCATTCCGCTGCGCTGCGGCCTCACTTCTTCCCATTGAACCCGTGTATGTCCCAGAACAGACGTAGAGGGCTCGCCTCCTCGCTGGGGGGCGGGCCGACAGCGCGAGTATCCATAGGCAATTTTGCCCCCCTCCAAAGCGAGGGAGCCGAGTCGTCCGCTGTTGGACTGCGGTTCCTGAGCAGGTGATCACCAGCAGCAGCATGATGGAGACCGACCCGAGTCTCCTGCGGCGGCCCCGGCAGATCCTGATATGTTCGGATAAGGACAGCCGAGCAAACCTACCACCTTTGTGGCACGGCGGGGTGGGGAAGGGGAGGGAGGAGCCTGCTGTATTGTGTAGGAAGGAGACTTTTTGTCACACCAAGATCCGGGCCGATTCACAAGTGCGAAAGCATAACATGTTTCGTGGTCGTCTCCCTCTATTTGTTTTTCTGTTTGTCTTAGAGAGGGAGGGGCGGCACCACTGCGGCGGCGGTGGGGGGAAATCACACCAGGTCGGACCCAGCTCAGTCCCTCACCGGAGCCCTGAGTGGCCGGCAACGTTACCGTGGCAGCTATCACAAGCCAGCAGCGGCAGGGCTTGGAGGAGGGTTGACAGAACACGCGGCCCAGTGCACGGTGTGGCGTTTTGCTCCCTTTGCCTTGGCCCCGCGCCGCCTAGACTATTCTGCGTGCAGGCCAAGGCACAGGCTGCCTCGCGTAGCTGGGGCGGGACAGTGCTCTCGTCATACGGTAATAAACAGGGAAACAAAACAGACGTGACGGCAGGACGGGCAGAGAGATAGAGGGATAGGCAAGCCCTGTCAACAATCAATGATGTAGACCGACCAGGCGACCAAGGACCAAGCAACTAGCAGCCAGGACAGGGCTGGGCCAGGGCAGGGCAGGGCGGGACACCGATCTGACGTGACGGCCGCCGGTGAGGGGAATTTGTCGCGAATACATTGGCACGATCCGTCCAGCCGGCAAGAGGGGCCGGGACAACCGCACCACTTGGGGGAGGAGGTGGGACATGGGCAGGAAAGGTTCCGAGCTCTACTTCTCTATTTGTAGACTGACTGACTGACTAGAGTACATTTGTGGTGCGGAAGCTTTGGTGATGAGAGCGTGCTCCTAGTAAACAAGTCTCTGCACCTGCAAAAATTGACCCATGGGTATTACAAACTGGTTGGTGAGCCAGAGGCAGAGGAGAACCAAAGACCGAACAATAAAAAGAGGGCCCGGCCCCGAGGAGAGGGCCACAAACCCACACCAGTTATGTAGAAGAGGACGGGCGGTCCGGGCCAAGATAGGGCCGGGGCAGGGAATAGGCATGGCAGGCATCGTGATGATGGAGGGATGGTAGTCTCGTAGGCTACGTAGACCGAATATCTACCGGATAGACATCACAGCAGACCAGTTACCAAGGTTAGGGCCTCCTCCGCTCGGTCCTGATGCCAAACTCAAGTGGCTCAGACGGCAGCGAGATGGAGGGAGGATGAGCTTCTTTCAGCTGGGCCGGGTTGGTTTTCGCTTTCTTTGCCTCCCTCCCCTGCAGGCTGGGCTCCGTTCCCGAGGTCCTGGTAGCGATTGTCAGCGAGGTTCCATCCCGCCGGTGGAATGACAAAGCCTCGGATTTCCGCGAGACAAGAGGGAGAGGCATTTTTCTTGACCCAGTCCTTCGCTAGTGTTTGGCTTCCCCAGAGTTCCAATTAGCCCCGGTCCCAGCTAGCCAGTCCCAGCCCGCGGTCATGGTGGGGTCCAGGATGGGAAGGGAAAAGCGCCGGCCCACACGGGCCCCCGAGGCTTTTGGGCGGACCTGCCTGTCAGTTTAGTCAGTGTCAGTCAGTGACTGACTGACTTGACTTGACCTTGAGACTGACTGATGGACTCGGCTCGGCTGGAGACTGAGGGCCTTTTGGCCCAGAGTATGCTAGCTCAGGTGAGACGAGACGAGTGAGGAAGGAGGTCGAGGGATCGCGAGTGGCTCTGCCCCTCCAATCAAGCCACCTTCCGCTCTCCCCCACGCATGGCTCTAATTCCCTTCTATTTCCACCTCGCCAGGCGGTCAAGAGACCGCTACGGCCTGTGGCCCAGTGGATTTTGAAGGGGCTGTGGGATGGGGTTTGAAAAGGAAAAAAGAAGTGGGCTCCCCTTGTCGCATGCTCTGCTCCAGCCCATGTGCGGAATTGAGAAATTGAGGCTGATGATTGATGGGCTCGCCGGGCAAGGGCAACGAGGATTTGCAACACCGCCTTTCGAGAAGGGCTGGAGAAGGGTTCTGTGATCTGCAAGCCTCAGGGGGAAAACCAATGCCCGCCGCCCAGGGGAAAAGAGATGCCATGAGGAGCGTGGGGACGCGATCATGAGGACGAGGGGATGGGGAGGAGCCTCCTCGTCTCGCTTGAGGGCTCGCCTATGCTTCCCCGGCCTTCTCTGGATGCTTCGAGACGTAGCATAGCGCTGGGAGCTGGCGGTGCGCTGTTTTTGAGGCTTTATTCCGGCGCCGGCGGTCGTGATGATGATGATGATGATGATGATGATGATGATGATTGTGATATGCTGCTGGACTGCTGGACTATGTACTGTGCTAGGGTTTGTGCTAGTCGAGTCTGGGCCTTCAGCTGGCCTGGTGGTGCTGCTGACGCTGCTGCTCTGCTGCGGTACGGATGCGGTTGCGAGGTGACGATGTTAGTGTTGTGCGTGTCTGGTTGCAGTGCTGCACTATTGCTGTGCTGTGCCTCGTGCTAGATCCTCCCACACACCGACTAGCCCGTCGGCTCGGTGCGGGCAGACCGGGGAAAGAGCAAGGCGCATGGTCTAGTCCTGTTTCTACACAGTAGACAGACAGGCAAGACAAGCAGACAGACAGACAGACACAGGCTAGACCGGGGAAAGCAGCATTTCCCATTCCTGGCATCAAGACCATAATCTGTCTGTCCATCTATTATCCATCTATCTACCCATACCCATACCCATACCCATACCCATACCAAGCCATCCCATGCAAGCCGCATCCTTTCCCACCCACACCCCTCCTTCCCGCTTCCTATCTATTCTTACATTACCTTACCTGCCTTGCCCACCTGCCCAGGCTACTTACTACAACTCATCTACTCTCCCCGCCCTTGCTTACTTGCTTGCCTTGCTTGCCTCTTGCACATCCCACAAACCAGCCGTGATTGTTGACTGGTTGACTGGTTGACTGGATCGACTGGTCCAAGGTGCTGGCTGGTTCGACCTGAGTAGGAGACACATGACGTGTAAATTGCCGCTCATTTCACGTCCCATCTAATCAAATCACCACCGTGACGAGGCAGCCCCAGCGACGCTCCAATTGCCGGCGACACCTCTCTCATTATGCCCCATTCCAGCCTCGCCCTCCTCCTCTGACATACCTGCTGGCTGGCGGGTGTTACCGCCCACGATCGCCTTCACCTCCTGCTCCTCCTGCTCCTCCTGCTCCTCCTCCTCCTCTCCGTGGCTTAGGCCCTCGACCATCCCATCTGATCTGCCTCTCTCGTCCGTTGTCTGTGTCGCCCGCCTGTCCTGTCGTTGTGTCTGTCTGTCTTGTCCTAGCATATCTCCTCCTGTGCAGGCTGGTACTGGCTAGGACTGGGACTGTGACTGGCCCTGACACTGGCACCCATGGTCCACGCAATTACAGCCAACATGGCGCCCCTTGCCGGAGTGCCAGGCTCTTATCACCACTCCTCCAACAAGATCACGAAATCACGATCCAAGATGGTCAAGCCCATGCTGAAGAAAGTCATTGTCACCTCACCCAAGAACTCGCTCGACCTGGACAGGGGTTGGGACGACCACACCAGCGTCTATGATCCGCCTGCCCGTACGAGCATGTCGCGGTCCGTCCGGGACACCGGCCTGCCCGGCTCAACATGGGAGCCCTCGACCTTTCCCAGCGGCCCAGGTGCGGGCTCCGGTTCGGCCTGTCCCTCGTCGGGCACAGCAACGCCTGTTGCCGGGCTCGAGATCAGGAGGAAGCAGCACACCCGCACCACCTCGGGCACCAGCTCGATAGGTACAAACGGGAGCGGCCACCGGCACGGCGGGGGCTTCGTCCACCCCTTCCAGCAACACCAGACACCGCGCACAAACACCCCGCCACTGACCTACGCCAACTCCTTCACCTCGTTCGAGCGCGACAACCCCCCCAGGGACTACTCGCCCACCATCATCACCGAGAACGACGACGACGACCTGGACGTCGCCGGCTCCACCCCGCTCTCCACCTCAATGTCATCCCACCTGCACCGGCCACAGCCCAGCAACAGCCACTCTACCACCAGCCTGAGGCGACCCTCGCTCGCCAGCCAGCGCACGCCATCTCTGACAGACTTCAACAGCAACGTCAACAACAACCCGCCCCTGCGCGTCAACACGACCCCCTTCTCCCGCTCCCACCCCTCCGCGCCCTCCCGGCTCGCACATGGATCCCTCAACACCTCGTATTCGCACTCTGACCTGCAAATCAACGGCGCCAGCCCCTCCGACTCGCCGCGGCCGTCCCTGACGCTGGGGAGCCCCAGCACCTCTGCCGCGCCCATGTCGCCCCTGCGCACCAGCCTCGAGGGGACCTTCCGCATCCGGTCCCGCAGCGAGGTCGACACCGGCGTCAGCCGCGAGGACATCCGGGAGGCCAGGCGCAAGTTCGAGGAGAACGAGAGGCTGAAGCAGGAGAAATACGAGTCGGAGCAGCGCAGGAAGAGGGAGCGCAAGGATAGCAAGATGGAGAAGGCCGCTTCACGTAGGGCTACGGGCGCCAGCGACATGCCCAGCATCGGGAGGCCGTCTTTCTCGCGGAAACGGACACCACCGCCTCTGAGCCCCACCGTCAGCAGCCGCCACACCCACACCCGGGCTTCCGAGTCACCCAGGCAAGCGACCATCAACGAGAAGGTCCAGAGGCCCGGGTCCGCGCTCATAGGAAGCAATTATGAGGGGACTGAGGACGGCACGACGGGGCCGGACATCAACGATGTGCGGTTTGGGACGCCAAAGCGCGCTCACACGGCCAAGAGGAGGACACAGAGCTACTGGACCTCATTCATGCTTTGGCTTCGGACCCGCCTGTTGAAGCTGGGGAGGCGATAGCCCGGGCGGGATCACCAGTAACTAACGGCTGGACGCGTCGAATCAACCACTGCAAGGCCATAAGGACAACCTCACTACCATACTGGCATCACACCATCAATTGCCAATTCTCGCAGGGAAGGTCCACTACACCAACAATCACATCGACAGCATTATGGCAGGCAGCCCAGCCAGTGCTAAACCGCTCACCACAGCACACCACCCAACATGAAATTACCATACGTTACACGAGACCTAGCGTTCTTTGCATTGCGACCGTTTTGACAGCATACATCATCCGTCACTCATCGCCCTGGTGGATTTTTGAACTCGGCTTACTCGCAAGGCGTTTGGCGACATACCCGGAATCCTGTTCCATTCCGAGGGAAAGAACAAAATTCGCGACCTATCATTTATCACAACTTGACTTTGCATGCATGTTTTCTGGAGCTGGTCCGGCCCCCCCTCACGGGTGGACAAGCTGGAGAGACAGGGGGGTTGAAAAGGAGGGGAGGGGGCAAGGGACGAACGGTAGCCCGGGCAACAATACACAACCCAGCTCGCGAGGCTGAGAGGGCGCCATTCTCGACTGGACTGGGCGGGGCGGAGAGGGCATCATTGGGAAAGCGGGGAGGGAAAGAGGCGTTTTGTGGCTGGGTCATTTTCACCGTCATGAGTTTGCGAAGCAGCTCGTTCTTTGTGCGCGTATCGAGCTCATCTCACTCGTCAAACGACGGTTGAGCCAGGAGTAGACTTTTGGGTTTCTAGGGTCAGGGGAACACTGCTTTTTCGGTCTCTTCACACGTTGGTTGGTTTGTTTGTTTACTTGTTTGCAAAAACGGACGGGCAGTCATCATCGCCCCTGAGACGTCCGCGGCTTATAGATAAGAGACAGAGAGAGAGAGAGAGAGAGAGAGAGAGAGAGACAGGGCCTTCGCCTTGGATGGCAGGTCAGTGAGGCAAAATCGATTCTTTGCACAAGTTTTCCAAACTGTTCTTTTTGATGAAATAACCATGCCTATGGATTGCTCGCTCCATGTTGTAAATTGGTGCAACTCTCGGTTTCCTTCCAGTCACTGGCACGGGAGATGCACTCATGCACACACCGGATTTGTGCCGAAGTGAGCGAGCGAGGGGCTTGTCGATCATGTCGTAAAGGTTTTGGGGATTCAATTCCAAGCTGAAAAGTCCCAGTAGTAAATGAAAGTATGTGCTTGCATGTGAGATCGTCTCATGAGATCACAACAAGGATAAACAACGGCTCCAATGCACCCACCGTTCGCTGCATGGGCGATCATCCAATGTGTGCTCCGAGCCGAGGCAGCGTCCATCATGCGCGCGGGGGGCGGATGGTGACGCGCAGGTAGTCGAAGGGCCAGAGGAAAACTACGCTACGCTACGGAGCACCGGTGATCACCCCTCGATTGCGGCGAAAGTACTCGTAGCTTACGTGCGGAAATAAGCTCCGTCGGGCCAAAGTACACGCGCAGTACACCGGCCCGGCCAAGCTGATTGAGCTCCTGGGCCGCGTGCTGTAGCTTCGCTCGTCGACCCGAAACGAAATAGAGTGCGAGTTGGCGTTCGTGCGCGCGGCTGTTATAGTCTGGCTGAACGTCCAACTCCCCTCGGCCTCCGCTGCTGGGCACCAATTGATCCAACTGAAGTCGTTGCTATGAGGGCGTGAAGCTTATAACCTCACCGGACAACCTTCAACCCCAGGGAAACAAGAGCCCCAGAATTGCTGCTGAGTGAGCGAGCAAGCGAGCTGCTGCTGCGTGGGCCTCTCTTTCACATCAGATGGTTCAGCTCGACGTCCACTTTCCCTGCTTCCTTATAAACTCCATAAACCCAATCCATTGATCGCGTGGTCCCCCTTCTATTTCATTTATTCTATTCAATTTATTATACACGCATACGCATACACATGTAGCCACCCAAGATGACGCCCACCCAACGATACGCCGACTACCCCCGGGCCCAGGAGGCGTCCCACATCAGCTACAAGGTCGAGGAGGACAAGAACCCTGCCCTTCGCGGCCTGCCCCTGGCCATAGGGGCTGCGATGTGAGTGTTTCCACCATCGTGTGTGTTTGTGTTTGTGATGGCTTGCTTGGTCGTGCAAGCAAGAGAGCCAAGCCGCGCCAAATCAAACATATGTGCCTGTAATTGCCAATGCAGTAGGACTGACATCCACGCAGTGTCACGAGGAGCCAGGCCATCCAGAGGTTCCTGTACGGCAATGCTGGCTTCAGCAAGCTGAACAGTCTCGAAGGTCTGAGCACGCATCGGTGGAGGTTTGATGTATGATTCAGCGAAAGCCCACTCGCCCTCCCGTCCGCCTGCCTTCATGCCCCGCCATCGAGCAGTGGCTTTGGAATGCAACGGGAGTGGTTTGTCAAGCCGGGACCAAACATGTGCTGACCAAGACTGACCAGCCGACCGTCGTACCGCTGGCCGAACCCGGCACGGCGCCGGCACCGCCCACGTTCGAGGAGGAGCTGCTCCGGCCGCAGGACGCCGGGCGGCCGGGGAGCTGGGCGTCGTTCGCCGACTACCACGCGCTGTACAAGACGGGCAAGGTGACGCCGCTGCAGGTGGTGGAGGCGCTGCTGCCGGTGATCGACCGGACGGCGGCCAAGCCGACCGAGTACTCGACGGCGTGGCTGGACATCCACACGGACGAGGTGCTGGCGGCGGCGCGGGCGTCGACGGGGCGGTGGGCGGCGGGGAAGCCTCTGGGCGTGCTGGACGGGGTGCCCTTCGGCGTCAAGGCCGACTGCGATGTCAAGGGCTACGTCAACACGATGGGCATGGCGGTGCGCAAGGACTACGACTACTTCAACAAGCCGGCGGCCGAGTCCATCTGGCCGGTGCGCAAGCTCGAGGAGGCCGGCGCCGTCATGGTCGGCAAGATGAACCAGCACGAGATCGGCATGGACACCACGGGCTGCAACGCCGCCACGGGGACCCCGACCAACTGGTACAACAAGGCCTACTACCCGGGCGGCTCCTCCTCGGGCGCCGGGTCCTCGCTGGGCGCGGGAGTCGTGCCCCTGTGCATCGGCACCGACGCGGGGGGGTCCATCCGCATCCCGCCCGCCGTCGCGGGCCAGTACTCGCTCAAGACGTCCCACAGCCGCACCACCGTCATGAACAGCAGCATGTGCATCGTCGGCCCCATGGCCTCCAACGTCGCCGACCTGACCATCGCCTACCGCGTCATCGCCCAGCCCGACCCGTCCGACCCCGTCCGGTCGCTGTTCGCGCCCTCTCGCCGGCCCCAGCCGGGAGACAAGAAGCTCCTCGGCCTCTGCCACCCGTGGATCGCCCGCGCCACGCCCGCCGTCCGCGAGCACTTTGACCGCGCAGTAGAGTACTACACCAAGACGCTCGGCTACGAGACGGTCGACATCGACCTCCCGCTCCTGCGCGAGGGCCTGGTCGCCCACGGCGCGACCTGCCTCGCCGAGGCGGCCGACCACGCCAAAGACCGCGTCCCCGCCGGCAACGCAAAGGGCCAGCACTGGTCCGACCTCCTCTACCCCGCGAACCAGGTCATGACGGCGGTGGGGTCGCAGACGACGGCCAACGACTACATGAAGTTCGCGCAGGTGCGCGCGACAATCATGTCGCACCTCGCCTTCCTCTTCGAGACCCACGGGCCCGGTCTGCTGATCGCCAGCCCCATGATGCCCGACGTCGGGTACGCCGCCACCCCGGGGGACGAGCGCTACGGCTTCACGGACGGGAACCGCGCCCTCCGGAGCATGACGTACGCGTGGCTCGCCAACACGAGCGGGTGCCCGGCCGCAACGGTCCCCGTGGGCTACGCGGACGCCGACAAGGGGGCCGGGAAGCTGCCCGTCGGCATGCTCGCCATGGGCATGTGGGGCGAGGAGGAGAGGCTGCTGTCCTGGGTCGCCGACGGCGAGAGGTACATCCGGGACGTCCACCCGGGCGGCCGGCTGCGGCCCGAGGGGTGGCTCGACGTCATCGGCCTCGCGCGGGATGGCAAGGCCGAGGGGGCTGCGGTCCCGAGCAGCTGAGCGGGGGTGGGACGGGGGAATCTTTTCTCGCGGGGTGGTTTCACAACTGCTTGATATTGCTATCTAAACCTTTTGATCAGTGTATTGTTTTTATCCTTGGAGTGTGTGAGATCCGGAAAGCTTGTGTATATGGAGTTGGCGAGTTTGAATCAACTAGTACTCTGTTCTCCACCACGGCATTCCCAGCACCAAGTGTCTCCTTGGTTTGCGCAGTCGTTGCGATGAGACTAACTCACTGTATTCATGGTCTAAACTATGAACTATGATCACACTCACCATACCACACACCACATATACCAGCTATTGAGGACGCGTACAAGATATGAGAGTCGGCCCAGTCCTGTTGAAATCAGGGGCAAGAACAGTTTTCGGTGACAGACAATACACAATATTGCCCAGTCAAGGTCATTTTTGTTGACAGCAACCCCGGGATCACCTCATGGAAAACTTCAGCATAAAGAATACGACGTCAATATCCATATTATATTTTCGTCTCCATTGCTTCTTCATCCATGTGCTGGAGATTGGGGAAAAGATAGATAGCATGTGAGAGACAATCAATTATTAGTCCCCACTTAGACCAAAGTACTCCAGTATGCTCCTGTTATGCCCCGATGATGTACACAACAGACTCGAAAAAGAGTCGTCCCGTGGTGGTGGTATCTGTCCAAGATATAAAAACAAACTCAAGGCATGCAGGCTGCTGATTGTAAGTGGCATCGTAAAACCGACGATGTATCCTGAAATCGCGAAGAAATCATCCCCGCTTTCGCTCTTATCTGTACTATTTTGTGTGTACTCGGGAGTCATCCGTCGTTATCATGCCGGGCGCGTAATCACGATATTGTCCCTCTCACTGTATAGGCCCTTTTTGAAACATCGAGGCTCTGTCCTTCCTGGCTCAAGACCATCTCCGCTCCTGCTCCTGGTCGTCCCTGGGAAGCGCGCTGGATGGCTCGACCACGATCTGGGGCAGCCTGTTCAGCCTCAGGCTTGGCAGCTGTGGCACCCCGCCGACTCCTCTCGAGCCGGCCCTGGAGTGCCCTTGGCCCTGACCCTCTGCCCGCTGCTGCTCGGCCAGGTCCGCCATGTGTGCGCTCAGCCTGTTTTGCCGGGCCTGAGTCGGCCCCTCGGACTCGTGTTGCTGGCCAGGGTAGTCGGGCGGCGGCTCGGGGTAAGGACTGTTCCTCCCCGATGGATTGGCTGATGGGCCGGACTGTTGCGAGTGCGCGGGCGTGAGTTCTTCTAAAGAGACGTCGTCGTATCCGGGTGGCGAGTGAAGCGGCATATCGTTTTCGCCAATGTCCGCCTCTGCCGCATCGATCAGCTCGGGGCTGGATCCTGCCCGCTGTGAGAAGGCGGATCCTGTACGGGGCAGTTCCTCGCCTAGCTGGCTCCTGGAACCCGCCCTGCTGTGTCCCCCACCGAAACCGGGCGACCCGGAGCGTGATGCGGAGCTGCCTGGGTTGCTGCGGAAGGTGTCGATGCTGAGCACGCTTTGCGAGCTCGGTTGCCGCCTGTGTTGCAGGGTGTGGCTGTCGTGTGTGCTGAGCGCGATGCTCCCGGCATCACTCAGCAGGCCGACGCGCTCGCTCTCGGCGCTGTTGGCCCGCAGCCTCGTTCCATCTGCTCGCACCAAGCCCACGTCGGCATAGCTCACGCTGCTGACTGCTCGCTGCCGGCTCTGCTTAATCTGCTCGTGAGCGTCACGCAGCTCCTCGACCTGGCTGGTGGCCTGCTGAGACGCCACGCGCGCTCGGTCCCGGATGTCCTCGAGGGCGCGGTGGTCGTGTCGCTCCCTGGCCTCCCGGCGCTCCTGTCTGCGCTGTTCCCGCTCAGCGATCTGCTGTCGCCGGGCGAGCCGAATCTGGTACAATGCATTCATCTCATCCTCTCGCATGGCCTCGTCTTCTTCGGCGGTGGGCAGCTCGACGACGGTATCGATGCCGTCGCGTTCGCCCTCTCGGCCGATAACCTGTTCCGTGTCTATTGCCTTGGGACGGTAAGCAGGGAGAGTCATGACCGAGCGGACTGATGTGTTCCGGTTGACACCGTCTTGGCCATTGTTTGCCCCTGGTCCGCCCGCTATTGACCGCTGGACATTCACGTCCTGTAGTGCGTCTTCGAGATTGTCCTGGGCTTCGCGCATGCGGACTTGTCGGTTGAAACCGTCATCATCGGCGTCGCCGGTCCGCTTGTATTTAGTCTTCGAGCCGCTCAAGTTGTTCCATACTTTCCTCAAAGGCCCAGGTCGATGTTTCGAGGCAGGGTTTAGGCGCTTGCGCATTGATCGAAGTAGGACGACAAGGCAGACGAGAAGAATGACGCCTACTATCGAGCCAACGACAATCTGTAGTCTGTGTAAGCAAAATGCTGAAGACCTCCTCATAGTCGACTCCTCGATCACAGGAACGGGTCGACTGGGCTCAGACGTACCATTGCCGTGGCATTCGTGTTCCCACCCCCACCACCACTCGCGTTGGAGCTACTTATGGCATTGTTTTCGAGATCCGAAGTGTTCGGGTTCTGACTGTCCTGGCCGTTGGCGCCTTGTTGGTCGGGACCTTGCCGCGGGCCCAGGCTGGACGAGGCGTGCAGGACGGCAGACCCGGTCGAGGGGTCGACCGGAATGCCGATCCGAAATGGGCGAGGCATGTTGGATGTCTGTCTGCCTTGGGCCAGTAATTCCAAGCCAGGGTCTCCTTAAGCGCGCAGATATTATGGGAGCTATGGCGAGGAATCAATTGACGGCATATTAACAATTGGCGGGCTGTCGGAAGGCGAGGCGAGATGAGGCGCGGCGATGTTCGGATGGAAAAGGGAAGCACGAGGCACCAGACAATGCGATCGGTAGAGCAGCAATAGACACAGGCTTCGTCAGACGGGAATCCTTGGCGGCCAGCAGCAGCGTTTCGTCAGCCAGGGCTGTACGGCTTGTGTGTGGCAGCTCTGCCACTGTAGATCCTTTGGCTACCGGTGCGGATGTCGCCAACAAGACGGGGAGACGTGATATGGGATCAGGGATTCGACAGGAGAGTTCGTGGGTTGCGTAGGCGATCGACCTTGGCGCCAATGCTGCGGCGAGGAGGAAACAGAACACTGCAGACAGAAAGATCAGGAGAAACGAATGTACAGCGTGGTAGAGAGTCAGAGCTGTGATACAAGTAGCATACGAGCACACACACAAAGTAGGGACGAGAGGGAATGCGTTCCGGGGGGGATGGAGGATAGAGACTGTAGAATAGAAACTAGACTAAGAGAATAGAGTGTGGTGGGGACGAGGCACTCGGATGGCGGGTTTCTGGTGTGCTCAGTGGCCCCGTCCGTCCAGAATTCTAGACCCGCGCAGCGCAGGGTCAGGCCCAAGCAGGGAGGTGCTGTCCTGCGTCCAAGCAGTCTACAGTACGACCCGATGTCGATGTGCTGCATCAAGGTCTACATCAAGGTTTGGCAGTTGTTCGCCCCTCGATCCCTGTGTCGATGTGCTGCTGCTGCCCTGGACGCTCGCTCCTCCCCCATGTGCCTGCGATTCTGACGTCGACGCCCCCAGAGTTCCAAGATTGGATGCGTAACCAGCATGTGTACAATCTGACAGCACAGCACACTTGACGCCCATGATGTGGGCCAGCACAGTTGGACCTCGGTGGGCGATCTGCCACTTGAACCTGTGCACAACCTGACGACCTGAAACCGTGTGTGGCCGACCGACATGCCGACCCGACCGACAGATCCTTAGACAGACCCTCTCTCCCTCTCACTCTCTGTTCTCTCTGAAGCCCCTCGGTCCGACCTGGGCTGGCACATGAATCACATCACAGTCACAGTAGGTGAACTACACGATCAAACCAGCAGGCTGGCTGCTCGTACTGCTCGAACAGGACCAGCGGATTCGAGGTCGGCCCTCGTATCATCATGTGCTATCGCCGACAAGCGTAAATGCTCTGGGAAGCTGCAGGGCCCGTGAGACACGACCGCTTCAGCTCGAACATGACCAATGAATACGACTGGGCCAAAGACACCGCCCCGAGCCGCCAATCCGACCTCACAGCCTTACGCGTTATTACCGTACCAGCCGCCTGCTGCCCTTTCCGAACCGAAGGCCCTGGTCCCTGGCGACCTGGTCCCTCCTTCACCCCTGGCCCTCTGTTCCCTTGTGGCTGGGGGTGCTGGCCCAGCACCTGTCGGCGGCTGTGCCTTTTTTTCTTCTCTCCGCCCAAACTCCCGGATCTGAACTAAGCCGGGTCGACGGCGAGGCGTAGCAAAACTGTGTCTATCTTGTGGAGATGCCTATTTCATCAATTGCCCAGCAACAGAGGGATTGGAGACGACCTTCCTCCGGTCTTTTGGCCTGTGCCAGCCTGCATGTGAATAACACGGGACACGGACCGGCCACGCAGTGAGCGTATATGCATGCACACAATAAATGCTGCATTCGTTTCTGCAAGCAATACCGCCAAGAAGAGGACCGACTCCCCGCTGCTAATCAGTAGACAGTCTATCCGTGGCCCACGTCCAGAGTCGGGATGGTAAGCACACAGCAGACCTTTGTGCCAATCCTCCCAACAGGCCAAAGACTATTTTAACAAAGGACGCCGCAGTGCCTCAAGCGTGAGCTGAGGTTCCACGGTGCCTAATGTGAGCATTTAGCGCTGACGACGCCCCGTCTCTTGCCCCAAACGCCCGCTCTGCCCCATCCCCCTCCACTCTCACCAAAGGGCGCGGCCACGTGAGGTGATCCTCAGTGGTTCAGTCTCGCCTTGTGGTGTGGGTAACATGGGCAGTTTCGTGGGAGCAACGGCAGCAATGCGTCCCATACGAAGATTTGCTGTGCCCGCCGCCGGCGGCCGATCCTTCCTGGGCTGAGGGATGATGCTAGCCTCTACCATAATGTCAGCCTTATGCTGTGTCCTGTCTATCTGGCACATGGCACAGTCCGGCCGGCCAACTGACGGCCGCCGCCTCTGACCGCTGTGACAACAGCAAGCGACGGGTATTTGTAGAGCAGAGCACTCTGATACGCCGAGGCGCTCCCGCAGCACGTCTGGTGAGGCAGTTGGTTGATGCCATACAAATAATAGTACCCGAGTCAATGAAGTTGATCAGGTACTGTATTACTGGAAGAGGAGTGTGCTTCGCTATCAGGAGGCTAATTTGGAAATCCGTCTGCTCTGGAGTTACAGATGCTGAGGGGAAATCACTGGCGTTCAAGGCAAGGGAAGGGATGGGAGCCAGTCTTTCCTACATCAACTAGCCACCTGTGATGAAGCGGAGGAACCGTTCGTCACTTGATCATATTGCTTTCCCTGTCGGAACCCCATGGTCACTCTTCCAGGTATCTACTGTCCTGGTCCCGCTATGCCAGCCGGAAGACCTCAGAATCTTTTACAATTTGTTCCTGCAACTTGCTGTGTATATACTCCAACAGCTTCCGGGGAAAGGAGTTGAGAACTATGCTATCGCCTCCCGTCGTACACGGCAGTCTCACCACTCGGCCACCTCGCCCGCCTTGGGCTTCTGCATCCGCACGACCTTGTCACAGTTCAGCAAGCACAGCGGGTCGAACGCCTGCTTCATCTGTTTCGTTCGAGGGTGTCAGTATGGTGGGACAGTGGTCAATGGAGAATTCAGGGGTGTAGAGAGAACAGAAAGGGTCGGGGGTGACATATCATACCTTTCGCATGGCGTCCACGGTGGTCACACCCAGCTCGTGAGGGAGATAATCGCGCTTCCCCAGCCCAACACCGTGCTCTCCCTGTAAGAGTTCTGTCGTTAGCAAGAGTACAAAGAAAGCATTCTCTACGTCGTGTAGTGAAGGGTAGTAGTTTTCTCACCGTCACCGTGCCCTCCATCTCGACCGCCCTCTTGACCATGCGGTGGACGACCTCCTCGGCGATCTGCCTCTCTGAGTCGTTGTACAGCAGAATGGTGTGGAAGTTGCCGTCGCCGACGTGGCCAACGATGGTGCCGTAGAGCCCGCTGCCCTTGATGTCCTTCTTGGTCAGCTCGATGATGTCTGGCAGGCGCGAGATGGGGACGGCGACGTCGCCGGTCCAGACGCTGTCGCCGTCGCGCTTGACGGCCAGCGTGCTCCAGAGGGCCTCCTTGCGCGCCGACCACAGGTCGTGCTGCTCGTCGAGGCTCCTGGCGAAGTCGAAGCCCGTGCTGCCGGCCCGCTTCGCCATCTGCCGCACCACGTCCACCTGCTCCTTGACGCCCTTGTCGGTGCCCGCGAACTTGAAGAAGAGCGTCGGCGCCTCCTGCCACGTGCGCGCCGTCGACCCGGCCTTGTTGATGCAGCTCATCATCTCGTCGTCCAGGATCTCCACCGCCGCCACGGGCACCCCGGACCCCACCACGCTGGCGACGCAGTCCGCCGCCTGCCGCACCGTGCCGAAGCTGCACACCGCCACGCTCGTCGTCGCCGGCTTGACCGTCACCTTGAGCGTGGCCTCGGTCACGAGGCCCAGCGTGCCCTCGCTGCCGATGAACAGCTTGGTCAGGTCGTAGCCGGCGGAGCTCTTGCGCGGGCGCTGCCGCGTCTTGACGACGGTGCCGTCCGCCAGCACCACAGTCAGGCTGAGCACCCACTCGCGCATCGTGCCGTAGCGGTACGAGTTGGTGCCGCTGCACCCGGTGCCAATCATGCCGCCGATCATGGCGCCCGGGCCCGGGTCGGGCGGGAAGAAGAGGCCCTCGGCGGCGAGCTGCTCGTTGAGCCGCTCCCAGCCCACGGCCGGCTGCACCACCACGTCGAGGTCGTCCTTGTGCAGCGCGAGCACCCCGTCCATGCGCCCGAAGTCGACGCAGATCCCGCCCCTCGTCGCCGCGAAGTGGCCCTCGAGGCTCGTCCCGCCCGAGTACCCCGTCACGATCCGGCGCGCGTGGCACACCTTCATTATGCGCGACACCTCCTCCGTCGACGCCGGGTACACGACGCAGAAGGGCCGCTCCGACGGCAGGTGCTTGTGCGTCGACCACTCCGACGTCGCGTGCGTCGTGATCACCTCGTCCAGGGTCGACACGTTCTCCTTGCCCACGATGGCCACGAAGTCGGCCCACGCCGCCTCCAGCTCCTTGGGCGACGTGTTGTGCCTGGGCGGCTTGGCGATCGCGCCCAGGGGCAGTGTCGAAGACGGGTCGACGTCGCGCGGGTAGTTGAGGCCGCAGTAGAAGGCGATCAGGCTCGCGCCCAGGACGACTGTTGCAGGCGGAGCGTTAGTGGCCAGCGGGCGGGTGAGGAGGATGGATGGGAGAACAAGATAAACAGCACTTACATATCGTGATAGGGAGAGGACCGCCCCTGCTGCGCGCCTCTCTCTCCAGGGCCGATCTCCTCAGGTCCTCCTTCTCCCTGGCTATCCGCGCCGTGATACTCTCGAGCATCTGGCCCTTGAAACTGGGCTCATTGGCCCGTGGGCCCTTCCCTTTCTCTGAGGCCATCCACCTCGCCTGGGAGCTGGCGACGCACGGTATGCGCCGCGCAGCCCTGGCAGTTGCTGCCGTGGGCGCAGGCGTTGCCGGGGCCCCCAGGCTCCTTTGCAGAGCCCTCCGGCCGAGCTGGGACGACATGGTCGGTTTGTCGCGAGGTAAGGGGATGATGAGGCGGCGTCGTGGTCGTGCCAGGCGAGCTCGGTGTCTGCCCTCTCTTTTTTTTTTGGGTTGCTCGTCTTGGCTGCAGAAGGAGATGCGATGCGACTATCGCGCCACCTAGGCCGTCATCGGCAGCTTGCGAGGTAAATATATCTGGCTACCAAGGGCAGGACACATACATCCGTCTAGTCCAATAATAATTATCCCGCATCGAAGTCGCGGGTTGCTGGACCAGGAAGCTGCAGGTAGCACGACAACCGGCAGGGAATGACGAAGACCCCACCTGTCCCGCAGCCGCGGACGAGTGCCGCGAGGATCTCTAATCCCGGGCTCCACTCATCCGGCCGGCTTGCTCGGATGAGCAGAAGGCGAGGCATACCGGAGCAACCAGGACGGGGCATCGTATGTCACCCCATTGGTGAAATTCCCACCATTCTTTTTTTTTTTAGACAGCACACGAGTGTTTTATTTGCAACATGACCCAGACCCCGTAGCCCTGTTGCAAATTATCTTCCAAGGGAAAGGAATGCGCATGTCATGGATGAAATCAACAAATAATCCGTGTTTCTACCAGGAGAAGGCTGCTTTTTTGGTAAAGCCATTGGAGAGTATCCCGGAAGCTGCATCAGGCTGGCTCAGTCCACTGCTTTTGGTTCACGTCTATAATGATTATCTCTTACGCAGGGCTGAAGCCTACTGACGCTCGCCACGGTAAACACGTCTACAAATGCCAATGTACAGCTGGCTGGTGAGGCATCTCAACCTGGCGCACGCTCCCATCTTTCCAACCCGTAAAAGCTTCGTCTACTCCACCTTCAGGCTCTGTAGCCTAGCTTCCGTCTGGATAACCTGTAGTACGAGTGGCTGTCAGCATACTATTCTGGGTAGAGTTGTGTTCTCAATAGTAGACTTACCTCCAAGGCCTGCCTCACTTCCAGCACCTTCCTCACCTCACCGAGCCAGTCCCGGCTCAGTGTCTTTGCCCAGCCAGTCAACCCGTTCATCTCACGCGCAGCATTGTCCAGGTCGCCCTCCTCGAGGAAGGTCTGCGTCCGCGTGAGCACGCTCTCGACGTCGTCACCGGCGGCCAGGCCCTGCTTCTTGAACATAACCTTGCTCAGCAGCAAGCTGGATGCGTGGCTGGCAACGCCGGCGTCCTCAGGCAGGAGAGATGCCTTGCGCACCTCGGTAGCCACGCGTCGGAACCTGTCGGTGAGGTCCTGGTGCGAGAAGATACCTCTTTGATAGGCCGAAGGGTTGATGGACGAGATAGCTGCGTTGACAACCGTGTCTTCCGCCGCGATCTCTCTCAGGGCGACCAGCTCCTTGATGAATGGTCGCGGGTGTGCCGAGTCCTGCAGGCTGGCGCGGACAGCCTCGACAGCCACGTGGAGCTGCTGTGTGCGCAGGTTCGTGTCGATGACCTCGTTCCAGCCGCCGGCCAACTTCTCGAGGTCCTTGACAGACTTGGACAGCTCCTCCAGCTTGCCCAGCCTGCCGTCCCGCTCCTGCTCGACTCGCTGCTGGATCTCCTTCGCAAACAACCGCTTAAGCTCGATGGCCTGCTCCAGGAGCTTGTTGTTGAGTCGCTCCTCGTTGACTTGCCGCTCACGCTCAGTCATAACCTTGATGCGCTGGTCGTGTACCTCCTTCAGCTTCTTGATCTCCTCGTCAAACTCGCGCTGCCATCCAACTTCCTGCGCAGCCATGGCAGACTCAACGCGAGTCACGAGATCGTTGGCAGCCTTGTCAAAGTCTTGGACGCGCTCCTTGACACGGGCGGCAGCATCCGACTCGACCTTGGCCTTGATCTGGTCGATCTCCGAGGTGACCTTCTTCAATTGACTCTTGGCCTTCTCGATACTGGAGCCGTATTTGCTGTGCGCACCGTCGGCGTTGATCACGGCAATGATGTCGTTCAGCATGTACGCCAGGTCCTGGACCACGGGCTCGTTCACATCGGGGAAGTAGATGGGCGCGAGAGGAGCTGTCGGAGGGAACCGAGAAGGCTCGTTGACCTCTGGCGGCTTGAAGTCAGAGGTCGCTGCAACAGGAGCAGCAGCCACGGGGGCAGCCTTCTTGGGTTCCGCGGGCTTGGGAGTTTCCTTCTTGGGCTGTGCCTTGGGCTGGGGCTCCTTTGCTTTAGCCTCCTTCTTCGCAGCGGCCGTCTTGTCAACAGCGCTGGATTGTCTACCAGCTGGGTCGCCGCTGTCGGCTACCCTCCATGACATGCCGCTTTGAGCTGGGATCCGCACCGCCTCGCCAGTATCCCGTCGCGCCCCGGTGCCACGGTTTGAGATGTTGGGGAAACGCTTCCGGAATTCGGCCTCCTCCAGGTAGAGCACAGCCTGCTCGCCGTAGGGGATATACTCTGTGAAGAAGTCGTGGAAGCTGTCGTTGATGCGGGAGTACCAGACACCACCGCCAAAGGCGACGGCGCCGAGCAGTACCAGAGTCAGGACATAGTTTCGCAGGCTCCTGAAGAAGCCCTTGCCCGCAGGAGGTGGGGGAGGCGTAGGCGACGCGGACTTCTCTTCCTTCGTAACGGCACCTAGGTCTTCGGGAGCGGGAGGGGTCAAGGGCACGTTCTCGGCGGGTATGCTTTTGGCGTCGATGTCGTTCTCGAGCGGTGGAGAGGGCGTTTGGCTTGTAGACGCCGTGTTTGTCTCTGAAGCAGGGGGTTTAGGGACTTGTGAGGCTGGAGTCTTTTCGTCGGCAAAGTATCTCTGTGTACAATCCACAAGTCAGACATGGATTCCAATTGGTGACAGCTCTCGTGCTCCAAGGCAAGACTCACCCTCGCGACGAGCCCAGCAGGCCGCGCCGCCGCCGCCGCTTGCCATTGACGGCCAGAAGCAGCAGCGACAGACCTGCTGCTCAGGCCCCTCACGGATCGAAGCGATGTCCGCAACATGAGGGAAATCGAGTGGCCGATGGATGGGGTTGGGTATGTTAGGTGGGTTGTAACAACATCCAGTACACTGGGTGGGAGCAGACAGCTGCGGGAAATTTCGCGACCTGCCCAGGTTTTGCCGAAGCTCTTCTGGCGGCCGGCAGGGGTCGTCTCGGGTGCCGCCAAAATCAAGGAACAGCAACGTCACCGAGCGCTCGTTTGCTCCTGCGTGCACAGTAAACGGCACCGAGTCCTACTAGCGGCTTCTAGCATTTATCGAGACAAAGACGCGAAAAAACGATACCTCAGCACTCCACATCTTACGCCGTCGTCTGATTGCAAATTAGTGGTGAAATCGTAACAGTAACAGCACTAGGGCAAAATCAAAAAGGCCCAGCCCCTTCGCCTCAACCCTCCTGAGGTGACGGAGGGTCATGCGGCTTTTGGGGGTGCTCTCTTCATCGATGCAAACACGGACTGGCTTCCTTAGGACAGATTCTCTCATTCCTTTGGCGTCGTCTATGTTCGCGTAGTGTACAGCTCCGCATGATGTTCACACCGCCCTTACTGCGCTCCCGAAAATGATATCCTCCGTCTCCTTTCCCCCAGTAATATAAGATTCGTGGAGGCTAATCAATCTCGTCACATCAACATCATCCTAAGACGCCAACCGTTGCCTGTTCTTCCCTGGACTATGCCAACGATCGGTCATGAACAATGCCAAAACACCACCAAGAAGCAGCGTATCAAGAAAGAAAAAAAAGGTATTAAAGGGTTACCGTCCTGCTGCAGGGCTCTCAACCCGAACAAAAGTGCCGACTTCACTGGTATCGTGTCGTGTCCAGGGAAGAGCCGGCAATCCTCCAATCTATGCCTCAGGCTCGTGGCCTGCTATTCCACCGCATCTCCTCTTACCTCGCAGAGCCGTATCGCCAAATGATCCAAGAAACAGGCTTGGCTGAATATCATGCCGTGATATGCAGACCTCTTCGGTCGTATTTAGACTGCTAACGTGCATGGCACTTAGCACGCGCATGGTCCGGCGCTGTTCGTGTCCGACCTTTCCGGGGCTCCAAGGCTGACGCCTGGCCGCTGTCCTACCCGGGAGTGTCGTGGCCCAGCCTGGTCCAGGGGCAGCTTCTTAGCGATGGCCGTGAACAGTTCCCTCACATTCTCGGCAGTCTTGGCTGATGTCTCGAAGAACAAAAGTCCGGCCTCGCGCGCGTACGCTTCGGCCTCGGAGGCGGGGATGGCCCGCTTGTCTGGCTGCTCGGTGACGAGATCCAGCTTGTTTCCGGCCAGGGCGATGATGATGTTCTCGTTGGCCTGGCGCTGGAGCTCCTTGACCCATGCCTTCGCCTTATCCAGGGATGACTACGACCGGGATGTCAACAACGCTTCGCGTTTTGCTTGGGTGGAGGGGAACAACGTACAGCTTGTGTGATATCGTAGACTACGACGGCGCAGTTCGCATTTCTGTAGTACATGGGCGCCAGAGACTTGTACCGCTCCTGCCCGGCTGTGTCCCAGATTTCGAATTTGACTGTCGTGTTCTCGTCGAGGGAGATGGTCTGTGTGAGGAAGGCGGCGCCAATAGTCGATTCTCTGTACGAGTCGAATTGGTCCTGGCGGTCTGTCAGAGGGAAGGCGATAAGGGACCAGAAGCGCTTTAAACCATGCGTACCTTTACAAATCGCAAGACTATCGAGCTCTGAAATGGCGTGTTAGCGACGACGATGTTGTGTGGTGTTTGATAGCAACGGGGACGGGCAGTACCTTTCCGACAGCAGACTCTCCTGCGGCGTTGTTAGCACACGCACGCACCCAAGCTTCGGCCTCCGCCATTCTGGTTGGAGAAACATACCAAGCAAGACCAGCTTGAACTGCGCGAATCGGTTGCCCATGCCTCGGGCGCCAGGGGGTCCTCGTGTAGCCATGTTGAGATATTCGGTGGTATGCGAGGAGGTTGTTGGTTGCTAGAGAGAGATGTAGCTCTTCGGTAGTCCGTCGCTGGGGTTGTTGGAAGGCCTGGGATTTCGTGATCCACCTGTGCAGGTTCGCGGGTTGGGAGGTTGACAGTCTGGGCTTGGAAAGAGTGCACGTCCGCAGGCGGCGACCGGGGTGATGACTGCCTGAAGGATGACGAGGTCAGGATACCGTAGGGTATGCGGTAGGTATTGGGGTTCGAGGTGATGGAGGTGTGGATGGTGCCACGGGTGATGAAAGAAGCTTGGGCGGAGGACGATGATGAATTGGGCTGGGCTGGGCTGGCTGGGGCCGGACTGGCAGAAGGGGCAGGCTGCAGACGGAACCGACTGCACACGTCAGGCGCTGCATCACAGTCTTGGGGCCAGCCTGCACTGCCCTGCCGAACCAGCAGACCTTGGAACACACAGGCACAGCCGGGTTTCCCGCTGCCCGTCCAGCCCGTCCTAACCGGCTGCAGTTGATGGGCCCAGGCCTGGGCTCAATGGGGCCTAGACACTCCTTAGGTAATCTGCAATCTGGGTCATCTCTGAATGAAACGGGATAGCACAGTCACCGTACCGATGGAGGGGCTAGAGGGGACACGGAACAGGGGACGGCGAGATCAAGCGGACCCTCATTCACAAGCCATTCGTATGCTGCCTGACCACTGTGACATGACGACACCCCGGCCGAAATTAGAAGCGGCTCGGTTGGGGTCAGATTGGATACTGTAAGCTAAAATAGGTACCTAGGTAGCTCACCCCTACAGCAACGTGGTGTAAATATCACTGTCGAGACTGTCCACCTCAACCTCCCTTCCCTTGCTCGCACCCACTGCCTGCTCTCGTCGCGCTTCTCTCCTGCCCAACAAACACTGCACAGGGACTTGAACGACATTTCATGTGCCTAGACAACTAGCCTCTACCAGGAATCCAAGTAGAGAAAGACCCGTCTCGAGCTGCAAGCTTCGGGCTGTCTGCCCGCTCCCCCTGTTGCCCAGCATGGCCCTGCCATTCAGGGATATAAACGTCCAGGTCGCCTCCGACTCCTACATCTTCACCTCGCCCTCCTCCCCTAATGCGCCGGCTCTGACCATCGACCGGCCAAGCGGCGACATTCGGTTGAGCGACGGCGCGCTGGTGGCTGGGAAGAGGGTGTCGAGAGTGACGAGTGTTGCTGGCATTCTGGGGATCATCCAGCTGCGACTTGGTACGTAGCAGCTCTGCGACCTCCCTGCACTCGTCACAATGGCTTCGCTAACAGCTGACCCCGACAGACAAGTATGTTATCGTCATTACCAAGGCCCAGCCCGTTGGCCGGCTCAGGGGCCACATGGTGTACAAGATCGTCTCGACCGATATCCTTCCCATGCGCGAGCGACAAGTCCACGACCCAGATGAGGATAAGTTCCTCCTGATACTGAAGTCTTTCATCAAATCTGGTCCCATGTACTTTTCCTACTCGATAGATCTCACCAACAGCTTCCAGAGGCAGTCACAACATGACAACTCCAGACCGTTATGGCAGAGGGCAGACGACCGATTCTTCTGGAACAAATTCGTCCAGTCCGACTTGATCGAGTTTCGCACCTCAGGCGCGAGAGGCCACCCAGGCCCGCAACCTGGCGCTGACCCGTACATACTGCCAGTCATCTTCGGCATGCTTGAGATTCACCCAACCACATTCAAGGGCACTCCCTTGACCATCATCCTGATCACCAGGCGTGGCCGGCACAGAGGCGGCACAAGGTATTTCTCGCGAGGAATAGACGAACAAGGTCATGTGTCCAACTACAACGAAACGGAGCAGGTTGTGATACTGAATGACAGCGGCACCGGTATGAGCGGCTTTGCCGGATCTGCCGACGTCCACGCGCGTAAATCGGACGGCCAAGAGACCCAGATCTTGTCCTACGTCCAGACTCGAGGCAGTGTTCCGGTAAATTGGGCCGAGATCAACACCTTGTCATACACGCCGAAGCTGCAGATCCGTGGCATCGACTCTGCCGTCAATGCTGCGTCAGCACACTTCGACGAGCAGATCCGCATCTATGGCGACAACTACCTGGTCAACCTGGTCAACCAGAAGGGCCGAGAGAAGCGCGTGAAGGATGCTTATGAGCAAATAGTTGAGAAGCTGCAGTCATCGCCTAAGGAGTCCGTGACAGGCGACCAGATCACTGATGAGAAGTTCCACGTCATTGAATCTGGATCCTCCAAGCGTGCGTTTGACCGCGTTCACTACATATACTTCGACTTCCACTCCGAGACGAAGGGCATGCAGCTGCACAGAGCGCAGCTCCTGCTAGACCGGATGCAGGACGCACTCATTGCTCAGCATTACTTCCGCGCCGTAGACATGCCGGCCGGCATTGACGGACGGCTTGAGCCTAGGAACTTCCAGACGTCCGTTGTGCGGACCAACTGCATGGACTGCCTGGACCGCACGAACGTGGTGCAGAGCATGCTGGCGCGGTGGACGCTCGACCGCATGTTCGTCGACCTCGGCCTGATGCAGCGCGGGACCACCTTCAAGGACGAGGACCCGGCCTTCGAGTTCCTCTACCGCAACCTATGGGCCGACAACGCCGACGTGGTCAGCAAGAGCTACTCTGGTACGGGCGCCATGAAGACGGATATGACCCGTCTAGCCAAGCGCACCAAGGCCGGCGCCATGCGGGACGGCGAGATCGCCATCACGCGGTACATCAAGAACAACTTCCTCGACGGGCCCAGGCAGGACGCCTTCGACCTCTTCCTGGGAACCTACGACCCTGGCGCAGTCGCCGTCGGGCCCAGCCAGATCTTCGCGGACCGCCGCCCGATTCTCATCCAGGCCATCCCTTACATCATGGCATTCAGCATCTTCTTCGTGCTGGTCGGTCTGTTTACCAGACGGCTCCCTGACTCGGCCGTTCTGCCGATGCGTCTGTTCATCATCTTCTGGACCCTCGTGGGCGCCTGGTCCGGACGGTTCATCCTCAAGAACGGCATGCTCTATGTAAGTCTCACCTCGTTTTCCGACAGGACATGCCAGCGCAGAATGACTAACAAACGTCTCCCAGGTCAACTGGCCCAAGCTCAACCCTCGCCCATACGTGGCCGAGGGCTACCAGGAGACCATCAGCAAGGTCAGGAAAGACCCGCTGCTTGGCCCTCTCGTGGCCAGGCACGAGCGCGGCCTGAGCGCGGCGAGATACTCCAACGCGGAGGAGGGCAAGAAGAGGATCGAGTAGAGTGTCTCGTGGCATACTGTAATAATAGACTTGATTCCTTTGTCCCCGGCTGGAGTACCGGCTGTTCTTCTTGTAGTTGGTATTCATATCTCGCCCCTGGGTTGCTTATTCTGAGGCTCACGTGGGAAGGCCGGGCTTCTTCTGCATCTTCTTCTTTCCGTTCCATCCTGTTCGTATCATGAGTCTTAACTGATTCTCCTGTTGTCTTTTCTTCTCTTCCGCGTGCTGTGCCCCGCGAACATCTAGCAAGGTTTATAAGCTCATACTAATTCAATTCTCCAGCGTGCGCCGCCACCTGCAGTTCGAGGCTCTCTGTGCAAGAGTGTATTTTTGACACTGGTTGATAACCTGCATATCTTTGGTTGTCTTTTCCAGAGACTTCATGGACGGACTCTAACGGTGGCCCAGACGCCAGGAGAGTTTGTGCAAAATGACACTCATTCGCGTGGACAGTCCTGATCAACACCTTGCTGAATTCACCTCACCAGATCATTCTGTATCTCACGGCTGTCCCTCAATGCCTATGTCTTGTTTCTGGTCTTTCCCTCTCTCCCTCTCTTTCCTATTCAGTGTCCTACGTGTCAGTTCACGTATCCCTCCCTCGTCACCGAGGCCGACGCTGCGGCATGATTATGCCCAAATCATTTTTGATGGTATTGACCTGCGCCGGACTGTCACCCAAACAGAGCCGCACGCGCTTGGTATAAAATCTGGATCCCTTCATATCATCGTCCTCCGGAAACACAACACATTCCTATTCTTCGCACCAAGAACAGACCAACACCTGCCCTCCTAATTTCCTTCCCAACGATGTCTAACCCCCCATCGCCCCGGTGTCCACAGCCAGCCAGCAACTACTCAAGCCGCCACGAAGTCGGTCCTCACCCCGTGCCTGGCAGACACGAACGCGCCCTCCCCCGCGCGCCAGATGAACCAGTCGTCAAATGACAGCGACCAAACCCACCCCACGTTGTCCTGCGGCGGTAGGATCCCCGAGGCGCGGGCCCCCCGCTCGACCCCGTCCAGCACCGGCTTGATGAACCGCGTGGACTTGACCCCGGGCTCGACTTCGAGCAGCGCCGCGCGCACGCGCTCCACGCGGGCCAGCGCCTCGGCACCCAGGCCTTGGCCGCCGTTGTTGCTGTTATCGGCCGGCAGGAACGGCGCCAGCTTTCGCTCCAGCTTGTCCATCTGTGCGTCGAGGTCCCGGATCGAGGGGGCGTTCGAGAGGGCGGTGGGGATTTTCTCCTGTGCGTGGTTGGTCTGTGTGAGCCAGTGTCGTTTGTAGTTCGCAAACTGAGTGACTTGATAGGTAGGTGGGTAGGTGGGAAAGACAAGGGAAGAGCATTGCGTAAGGGGGAAGGGTGGAAGAAGAGCGTCTGCCTCCGACTGACCGGGTCTAGGGTGCCTGTCCAGCCGATGACAGAGTACCTCAGAGCCAGGCGGCACTCGCTGACCTGATTCTTGAAGGAGACGGCTGCTTCGCGGCGGCGGGCCATGGCCTGGAGCTGCTCCTGTGTCGACAGAGGGAAACGCGCGGGTCCTTCCTCCTCCTGCAGCAGGTCCTCCTGCAGAAGGTCCTCCTGTACGGCTTGCTCCTCGTTGGCTGGGTCGCTGGTGCTTGCCTTGATGACCACGTCGTCTGCGGGAGTGGGCGTGGCCATCGCGTTGGGACTTGGGCGAGATAGCATGCGAGCCGCAGGAGAGACGACCTTTGGGATGGATTTCGATCGATTTGGATCGGCTGGGGTAGATTGAAGGCGCCGAGGATCCCCAGAAGATCTGGTGTTGAGAGCAAGAGATCTGGGGAGCGGGGCGTGGTCGAGGCAAACGGGAGGCTTGAACGTCGCGACTGGACAAATTGGGATGATGGCGGGTCACTGGGCTCGAATGACGGGCATGTTCATCCAGCAAAACCAAACGTCAGTGTCAATATGATTAGAGTGCAGGTGCGATTCACGATTGCAAATATATTATGCGATGTCTTCCATGGCAGCCGCAAGTTCTAGTCTGTATGAACGTTCATACAAACGTAATCAGGGTGAGCAAAATAAAGGAAAATCGACAACGTAGGAGCTAAGAATTACTCTGGGACATCAGGGAAGTAGGCAGAATAGGGTCCTACACATTATGGACTGAACATGACCCTTGCCATAATTTTGTCATGGACCATACGCAAATGGCGATCACAGCAGATGACAGCATCATCCGATGGAGAATGTCTGTATGATATGTGCGTGTAGTAAAAAGTATAGACAAAGCGGAAATAGCGAAAGCCTCGGGAGGACTCTCTCTGCGCGGTCATTTCCCAAACGACCAGTGTATCCCATCCCCACATGTGAAATGTCCAAAACTCGCTTTTGGGAGAGCAATACAAAGTTGTAATCCCTTTCCATAATCGCCCTTTCCCAGTTCCCAGCTGCCCCATGCGTATACAAAGAAGACGGTATTACTAGATTAAAATCAAAGAATGTAGACAGGAGGATAACCCTTCAGCGGGGGTATCAATGTGCAGTTTAGCCCGCCATCTTTCCTCCTTTATCCAAACCATGGCGAAGAGGGAACGCGGATCTGCTATGCTTTCGACGGGGGGAACAAAAATGACAGACAGAACTCCGTATGCTATGCCACATATTAAATAGGAATCACAGGATGAGAAGATGAAAGGTGCATGTGGTTGAGGAGGTGCTCGTGGTGTCGCGACACGCCCTACAGCCACAGCAGCCACCTCACGCCCCGGACGAAGCCCTTGCCGACCCCGAGGAACACCCTCGCGATCATGACGACGAGCCAAACGTACCACATGAACCCGACCAGCGCCCACTCGAGCGCCAGCCAGCCCGCGCGCCGCGCCCAGCGGAAACGCCGCCTTCGCCGCCGCGATAGCTTGTCGATGACGTCCACCACAGCCTTGACCTTGCGGCGCTGCCCGTCCACAAGGTCCCCGCTGACCTCGTCCGCCTCCTCCGCTGCCGCACGGGTCATCGCGCTCAGGTCCAGCTGCAGCCGCGTCCGCAGCTGCTCGATCTGCCCGTTGATGTCGCTGCGGGTCCTGTGCCGGAACGACTCGGCCGCAGACTCCCACCGCTGCCTGGACGTCTGGATCGCCGTGCCGAGCACCTGTGCCGTCACGGGGAAGAGATCTGCCTCCGAGATGGGCTTTCTGAGGAGCTCCTGCCGCTGGTCTGCAGGCGCAAGCTGAGTGATCTCGGGCCACGAGACCCTGTTGCCGAGCGCCGAAAGAACGTCACTGCTCTCGTTGGCCGTCATGACATCGAGGACCTGGGCTTGGTGGGCCCGACGGGATATATTCATGGCCATCACGCCAGAGCTGAGCATAAGGGCCTTGACACGAGCAACTTCCCGCCTGGTCAACGGCGCACGTTCGGGCACGGAAGTCTGCTCCGATAGAGAGAAATGACGGCTGTCCCTGTTGAAAGCTGCCGAGAACCGGCGGGTCTTGGGCGACTGTGCAGACAACGCTGAGCCTGGACGTCTGCCACCAAACACCGGCTCCTCGTGGATATTACTCATGCGCATTTCGGAGTCTGAGATATCGACTTCTGGGTCCTTTTGTGTGTCCGCGGACGAGTCTGCAACCGAGATATCTATCCTGGGAGGCTTCAGGAGCTCAAATCGGGTCGACCGGCGACTAGCCGGCCTCGAGAGCGACACACCTGGAGGTGCATGGCGGCCGTCCGATGCAGACACGAATGGAGGCATGACGTCGAGGAAGTGTTTCGACTCTTGTTTGACGTGCCCTGGACGGCCTCTGATCGAGGCAGTCGGAGACAGCGATTTGCCCTGCTTGCGTCTACCGCGCTCCTCGACATCCGTGCCGTCGGAAGATGAAGTCGAGGAGTCAGAATCTTCAGCCTCCGACTCTTTCTTCCACAGTAGCTCGCTGACCTTGGAGACACCTGACTTGAGGACGCTGTCGATCCGCGGCCCCTTGAAAAGACTTCGCAGGCCGGCGCCGGGGTCTGCCAAGCGCATGCTGTTCGTCTTGCGGTGCGACTTTTGGCTGTCACCGGTGAGCCGTGATGTAATAATCTTCGGCTCTGGCCCAACGGAGCCATTCCTCGACCGCGATCGTCCTCGTTTGTCCACCAGTTCGGGGGTACTAGACAGCCTGTCGGAGGACACAGCGGCAACTTCAACACCATCCTCCTTCTCACTCGATTGGATCTCGTGCTGGCGTTCCGAAGGTCGCTCCCGGCTACGGTCGCGGAACATCTGCTTGACTTTGGAGAATGGATTCCTGGACGGCGATCCAGTCCTACTGGAAGCTGGCGACAGGTTTGTGCCAATGCCAGGTATGAAGTAGTTATCGCGACGCGAGGTGCGGGCTTCGGGCGAGTCTGGAGGAGAAGACTCAGATTCCATCGACGGCCTTCCCCAGAATGGAGGAACTTCCAGGCTTTCCCGACTCGGGCGCTGTGACGAAGTGATCTTGGGTCGATCGGCGTGATTTTTCTCCTCAACACCGCCAACGTTGCTAAAGGATCCTCTTCGGCTGTGCTGGCGACTACCTCCAGTTGAATCCGAGTTCTCCAGACGTTCTGGTCTGATAGAGTTTGACGGAAGGGACTTGGCCTCCTTTAGCTCGGGCTCCTGTGACAATTTGGCCTCGCTTTCTTGAGCTTCCTCCCGCGCTATCATTTCCATCATCTGCTTCTCAAGAATATCCTTGTCGATATCTATTGTGTTCTTTCTGCTGCGTTTCTTCTGGCTGTCCGAATCAGATGAACTTGAGGAGGACGAGTCCCGTCGACGGAGTGGATTGTGCGAATGACCATGTGAGGAGTTTGTGTGCCGATGGAAGCTCCTAAGCTCCTGCAACTTCTGGCGAGCTCTTTCACGCGTACCACCTGAGGCATGGTCATGATCGGCCTTGGTCGCTTTAGCGTCCGCAGTTGACTTTCCTGGCCCGTCTTCCGCCCCTGATAGTTGGAGCTGTGCATGCTTAGATGGAACCGCAGGTGAAGCCTCGTTTGTGGCTTGTGAAAGCGGCCGGTATAACCCCGAGTCTTGTGGGAAGACGCGCCGCCAGTTGCGGTCTTCAACCAGTCTTTTATGGTCATCCTGTTCCAGCCAATAGATATCTGCCACAAGATCAGCCGGCTCGATGGTCCAGTCGTTCCTAGGTCGTTTCGGCTTCGTGATAGCGTTTGAGGTCCGGGACACGTGGGACGGCGGGGATGTCTCAACCGTGAAGACGTCTGCGCCAGCAAATGGTGGAAGGGCAGAGCTGCCCGGAGTTCGAATTTGGCGAGTGGCGACCCATTTCGCAACCTCGTCCACCCAGTCTGTGACCCTACTCACATCGCCAAAGCCTTGGCTCTCGCCATCGATGGTCTTCCTCTCCCTAGCCCTGACCTTGCGATTCCTGATGTACTGTAATGGATCGTATGGGCGGCCAATCTGACCGGCGGTGTCGAAATTAAGCGGATTTGCAGATGTAGAGCCCGAGAGCGCATAGTCACTGGTGGTCGACGTCTTGGATAATGTGTTTGGTTTCAAGGGCGGTAGCAGCTCGAGTGCCCGGCGGTATTGAGCAAGAAGATCCATGTAATCCTTCGCCTTCTGAGCCCTCGCCAAAGTCGAACTAGAAAAGTGGTACCTGTAGCCACCACCGTCGTTCGTAGGGTCGAAGGCGGGCTGTAGGGAGCTGCTTCTCCCGCTGGACCCTAATCTCGACAATGCTCCACGTTCTGGCTTTGGTGACATGGTACGTGAGACCCGCCTCTGTTGTTGCAGCTGCTGTCTAAGGCTTCCTGCCACGGTATTATCTGTGGCCAGCGGTACTAGTCTTGGCGGCAACGGCTGCGACGCATTCCTTCTCTGCGCCATGCGCCTCGACTCGCTCAGATTCAAGGCCATATTGACAATTTGCGTCGATTCCATATCCAGCGATGACGTCGACGTGCGAGGGGATGGTGCCCTCGGACTCTCCTGCAGCTGATCTTGCCTGGTATCGCCCCCCAGGGCTCCAGGGGAAGTACGTGGCGGTCTTTCTGCAGAACCATTTCCCATGCTCCCTGGGTCTGGGGATAAGCCTAGGCCCAGTCCCAGGCTTGAATGCCTGCCATTCTGTATGTGCTCATCGCTATGTGTTGTTGATTTGCGCTGACTTTTGCTTTTGCCTTTTTCAGCTGTGCGCCGCGAGCGGTGCTTGTGCGGTCGAGTGTCCTCCACGACTGCGTCTTCAAAGGGGTCGGAAAGGAGGAATGCGCCGCTGGATCGTGGTTTGTACGGTTTCGAGTGGTGAGGCTGGCGCTTGTTTTCTCTTGCGATATCACTGCTCCTCTGTTGCCCGCCTGCGTGGCCGTTGACCGGAGCGTCGTCGTGGGAGGGCCGCTGTGCCAGGGTGGCATCGGTGGTCCAGGTGCTGTTCATGATGCTGCCGGAGGCGCTCGACTCGCCCACCTCTGGGCTGGCTGGGGCAGCATGGCGGTCCTGCGAGGCCGGTCGGTGGCCGCGAGGCGGTTGGAGGAGGCGCTGCTGAGGGCTGGCATCCTGTTCCGTCATCTCGAGCCGTCGTTGTTCACATGCCAGGGGCCAACGAGCTGAGTAGGCCGAGTTGAAAGTGCTTCAGAGACGGTGGACTGCAGGAGGGTGAAACATCTTGGTGCACGCGGCCATCGACGGGGAATCAGAGGTTCGGCTGGTTTTGGGCATGCGATGATGGGCGGACGGACATGAGTAGGGTGCTGTAGATTAAAGGCGCGGGCGGTTTAGCAGGGCAGAGTCAGCGCCTCTGCTTGATTTGTCGGCGGCCGCAAGTCGTCGCAGATCGTGGATGGCATGTGCTCGAGTCCCTACTGGCTGGGTCGGTGAGGGAGTGTGTGAGTGGTGTGTGTAACGTCCCTGTTTTCGCATGTGCCTCCCGCCCTTCGGACATAGGATCAGGGTCGGCAGGAAGGTTGGTGAAGGGGAGGGTTGGCGTAACGTCGGACGCCATTCGGACGGCCCAGGCCCATGAGGCGCAGTGCGACTGACCCCTAAGGCATGTACCAAGTACCGTGCCTAGCACTTGCAGTAAATTGGCAAGCTTGGTCGGCTGCCCCACCTTCCCATCTGCAGCTCAAGATCCAGTCCCACGTTGTCGTCTCGTTTTAGAGCTTTTGCTTTCGGTAGTGGCGGCATGGCGCCCCACCTGGGACCACCTTTGGGCCACTTTGGACCCAGATCTCCAGGTCCTCGGCCGGGCAGGCGGTGGTACCCTGATTGCACCTGAGACCCTCTAAATCGTATCTGGCCAAGATCCCCAGCCCGAAGCGTCACCGTCTCGTCGGAGAGCGCGCTTGACCACAGTGCATGAGACTAGACGGCCGTCATGACTATTGCTTCAGTCATTCCTTGCTCCCCAACTCTGACTCTCTTAGGCGTAGAGTCTCAGACCACGTACAGGTAAAGATTTACTTAGTAGCCCACAGAGCATGTTTCGAAGGAAGGGGTCCTTGATCTTGATGACGATGTCTCCCTGATTTAAAGTTTTGACAGCTCCAAGAAGCCTTAGAGGAACTCTTGGTACGTGGGCAGCCCCGGTATGGTGTGTGCTTGAGCAATGCAGCCGCCTACACCTTATGCAATTGCGTGGCCTCTAATACACTTGTACGCGCTCAAGACTGCATCACAACTCAGAGACCAAGGGGCCGCCAGTCGGCTGAGAACAGTCTTTACGCTTGCCTACCTAGATATGTGCCTAGGTAGGTATTTATGTAGGTATTCAAAGCTGGCAATTTTGACCCTGAGGAATAGCTCATATAGGTTGGTCTTAGCCCGAGTGTTGTATTGATGTGTCTGGAGGGAGAAACTTCCTACCCAGGTTGCTAACAAATTTACTCCTCAAGCACACTCGGCCCTAAACACCGTTCCTTCCCGGTATCTCAACCTCCAAGTCGCATGCTCAACTCAGATGATTTTGATCTGCTTCTGGGAAAATCTGGCGCTAAATGCTCGTGCATCTTCCTTGTCATCAAATTGGCAGCTTGCCATGCCCAACCCGTGATGCTTATCCTCTTCCACGCGGGCGAGTACCAGGTCATGGCCAAACCATTTCTCGTCATGGAAATGATGAGCACACACCCATATAAGAAGAGCATCATCGGTAAGATCATGCAAGGCATCAAAATAAACTTTGACTTTGGTCTCGTCCTTCTCGTAAAGGTTACTTCCATCGTCGCCTTGGATAATTCGAACGTCTTTCTCGTTCTCAAACCACTGGTGACTCCTCTTCTCCATGTCTATCTTGGCCAAAGCACACGGCCCTGCCAATGTCAGTATGCCGCCATCAACCTCTCCTGTGCCCTCTTTGCCGAGGTACCTCATCTCCACGGAGACCATGGATGTGAAGGAAATCATGTCCCCATGCTTGCATCCTATGAGGTTGAGATATCCATCGAGGCATGCCCAAGACCATGATGGTGCCCGATACTTCAATGCTCTTCTGGCCGGGGCCCTGACGTTCCACACAAGTGTGTCAATCAATGTCTCTTCCCAGAGGCCGGCGAGATACCGATGCGGCCCTGGTCTCAATTGCTGAAGTCTGGCCTTCATGTTGTTGGCTAATCCGGACAGAGCAACCAGGTTGTCGTTGGGTACAGTCAGTTCCCGACTGGCGTAGTACTTGGTCAACATGTTCCAGTCGGTGAAGAGCTGTTCATATGGGTCGCAGGAATGCCTCCGGTCCGGCGCATCTAACAGCTGCTTCCAAAGGAAGGGATGATTGGGGTTTCGATCCGTCTCTTGTGTCCCGCCATCTTCGTCATCGTTGTCACCTCTGAAACAATAGACACCCTTTGGGTGCATCTCACAGCAAGTCGACTCACGGCATTCCCAAAACACCTGCTTGGACCCAAAATGCAGGGTCCGAGGTGCGAGAAGTCGTTCTCAGACAACCCAGGATCTTTAGGCCAGAGGCTCGTTCTGAAAGAATAGACACCACGACCAGCCCTTCTCAAGACCGAATCTAAACGCCTTCTCCTCGCCGTCTTCTGTCAGCTTGAAAGAGACAATTGTTGGCGCCGCCCTTATTGAATCCCGCTCAAAGAAGTACCCGTCTTGGTTGTCTTGGGCACCAAGTGTTGAAGGATATATAAGGCTTGATCCGCTGACGGATTAAGCGTTCGCTTTTTCCACGCCAAGTGCTGAAACACTGAATAGTGCGTTCCTATACACGTCTTGCATTGTTGATGCTTCCCTCTGCCAGTCCTCGGTGGAGCCTTGGAAGATGCATAGTCGATCAATCCAAATGTAATCGACGCCAAAGTGTTGAGAAACATCTATAGCATCCCTGAAGGTCTTTGGGAAGTTGTCGACTGGCTGTTCCTGGCTCAAGTCTTCGACAGTTGATTGTAGTAGTCGTAGCAGATGCTCAACAATCTTCGTACCCCAGCAACAGCTCAACGCTTTATCCTGTAGGGTCTGGGAACGCTCGGTCCCTGGGACAAAGTGGAATGTGTGTGGAGTGTCCAGCTTGAGCAAACGAGTTGGTCGATACGAAGTGAATGTCTTCGACAGGTTGCATTGGGGATGAGAATCGAAACGTGTGCTCATCCAGGTCTCCATGGTGGACCATGCCTTAGGATCGTGGTTGGACAGTCCGAAGTTGAAGTTCATGTTGTCATCTTTCGGGTCTAATTTGTGTTTATCACACTATTAGTCTCTGCATCCCTTCCCAACGGTTAACCCTTTAAACAATTCTCTCAAGGGTAACATCTTATAAAATTATAAGAAGAAAGAAATATAGGATGAGAGGAAAAGTGAATTTAATGAGACACGTAGAGAAATTCCACGTATTAGTGTTCTCATTTGCTAGTTGCTACACTGCCTGCGTGTTCCAACCAAGCTGACGACATGTAAACCGTCCAGCGGCTGGATTAGATAGAGACCCTAGATAGGTGGCGATAAATCACCTGCCTCTTTTATTTGATAGCCTTATCTCTGTAAGAATTCTTATAAACCGTCTACTCTGCACCCTCCTAGCATTTTTGGATTCTTAGAATCTCCGACCGCCATTGCCCCTGCCATTTCCAGCACTGGCAGCAGCCTTCCTTGCTGCAGCCTCAGCCGCCAGCTTTTCGCTCAACTTCCTCAGCATGAGATTCTTCTTCTGATCTTCCTTGACCTTGGTTTCTAGCTCAGCATTGCTGGGTATCTCCGGCGTGACCAGCGTAGCGGCGCCAGTTTTGTTGCTGAAGACCGCATTGAGATAACGCACGTCGCTCGCGCCATCTACCAGGCCATTGGACGTAAACTCTTTGAGGCCTTGGACGGTCCCTGGATACTTTGTACAGTCGACATCGGATCTTCGTGCGGCTAGCACGAAAGCGATAGCCAATTCCACCCAAGTGAGGCAGCCCCGTTCGCTGGTCATGGCCGCCGGCTGTCGCCACTCTATCGTACCTGTCTTCAAATGGTCCTGATCCAGGTTCATGAAGTTCCAAGCGAAGTACCTGTTTCCCTCGTTCATGAGCATGATCAAGTCTTCAATGCTCTTACAAGCTTGGATGAGCTTAATACAGCCAGCCACAGTCTTGCCCATGAACTTTTTGACGTTGTTGCTGTGGGTTTTGGCCCAGTAACTCCCAGTCCGGTGAGGTGGGAGCAAGGCAGCCATTGCGCGTTCGAAGTGGATGATTGCTCTGCATATGCCCTTGAGCTCTGGCAGGCTCCAATATTGGCCGTAAGGAGAAATGTGGACGTGGAAGCCACAGCTTTGATTTCCCTGGAACGCGCAGAGGGCGGTCAGCCCGCTGAATAGTCCACTTATCTCATCACGCCACTCATTTGAGGCGCGAAAAGTCATTATAGGCGAAACAAATTCAACCGGATCTGGTGACAGGTCAGTTCGCGACTCCCAGGCAGTGGTTAAGGGAAAATCGAATCAGTCATCTAAGGATGCGAGGATTCCACGCGAAGATCTCTCATCTTTTTTTGCAACATAATTGGAGGGTGTGGGCGTGGAGTATAAAACAAAATACTTACATAAACCCGGTTTACGTCCTCTGATAGTTGAATCCCCGGTCAAGATCCAACTCCTATACATAGGACCTTGGTAGGGGAGGTCTTCGAAGTTCGGGTGAAGAAGCGAGCGAACTGCGCCGTTCCTCTGGCAGTCTTCCGTACGAGTCGCAGACAACCTTGGCAACCTCTAAAGTCCTCGACCACGGTTCTTTTGGAGGTGGAGGAGGAGCATTCACTAGAGACATAAGTGTCTCTATTTCGCAGCCGACCCTCAACTCATTGCCCGCTACCTGCAACTTCGATGAACTGGCCATGTCGATATAATCTGTTGTGGACTTCTTCTGGGTGTAGTTGGCGAGTATCTAAGGCTTTGAGAACAGATGTGTTGTAGATGATGAATCGTGAGACAAGAGGTAATTCTGATGGAAGAAAAAACCAATGCTGGAAAGGGTTCTATACTGTTTAATCGCTTGAGGAGCTGGAATGCTTGAGTGGTTTGAGTGCTTAAGCAGTTAATGTTGATCAAGTCTAAGTATGAGGAAGTACTTCATTCAGATCTGAACTGGACGTGCCTTCTTATATCACGACCATACTCACCAGAGTCTGGCTTTAGAAGGCTCCCTCGTCCAGATGAAGTCCCACTGCCGCGCGAAAGTGAGGCGATTCTATGCCATAAGGCTGCATGTGTCGAGGTCAAGTTCAGGAGGCGACCTGATGGCGTGAACCATGGCCAACGGCCCCGGACTGGCAGGCGCGCGGCTGGCCATGTCCCATTCAAAGTGATTTTCCAACGTGAAGGTTTCAAAATTGACCAATTGATGCTGGAGGCTAAAAGCATACATTGCTGTGCCACTGGTGGACATACCCAGCAAGGCAACTGACCACCAGCCCAGCACTGCATTACGGCCTCGGTTGTGTGATACGTCTTCATTCAGTGGATGCACATGGTCCTTGAGATGATAGGTGACTGCCAATATGCATGTTGGTGATTCAAAGTCTTATAACAGGTACATTCAACAGGGGTACGGCGGAATACAGCTGAATGAGGGATAGGATGGTTTTGAGGTCCTGACCTACGCCCAGTTCCAATTGGGTAGAAACGCGCCAGGTTTCTGGACTTGGAGCAAAGAAATCTGTACCTCTAGGCTTTGATTTAGATAAAACAAAAATAACATAGAGCTAAGCAAGATTTGTCACAGAGAGAGTCAACCTAACAACCTGGGAACATGTTGGCACCCATTCAGCTGTGTTTCGCTGCATGGGCGGCTGGAGATGCTAGGCCTAGTAGTGGATACACGCATAAATAGTAGACTGACCAGTAACCCAAATACTGGGCCCCCACACCCGCTACCAACACATCAGACTAACTGAGACCCCTCAGAGGCCCGTTGACTACCCCTTACGCCGGTGGCTCAACAGGAAATAGTACTCCCTGATTGCATCACCTGCAGCCATCTCGGGTACTAATAAAGTAAACCAGTGACCTATCTGTGGGTCAAGTTTCACAACTCCCATCAGCAGCAAACGTACAGAACTTGCTTCAACGGCCCGACTTCCAAATCGAGAGCAACCAAAAATCAGCCAGAACAGTTCAAAACGCTAATGACAATTTTCTGACACGAATCAAGGCAGCTGTTTCTGACTGCCTCTCCGTTCTCAACACAATGGAACCCGACAAGCATTTGCCCCAGGCTAATCTTGGCACAGATGTTGCAAATAGGATGATGAAAATCCACCCATCCCGACAGAGGCACCTCCCAAAGATTCCGAACCTCCCAAAGAAGAGTTACGCGGATTTTCTGCGTCGTACGCGTCCTTTCTCAAGGATCAAAGTGAGAACCCGGACCGCGACATCCTGGCCGAGGATTTACGTCAGAGTGAAGAGCGCCAGGCGGTCAAGATCAAACAACGCGAGAGGAAGGAGACCTATTTCTTCTACGGAACCCTGGTGGATCCAGGCATCGCCCAGAAGATCCTCAGCTCAGAGGCACCACCTGTCATGAGACCAGCAGTCCTCAGAAATCGTGGCCACCTCAAGATGTGGGGTCCTTTCCCTCTGTTTGTTGCCGACCAGGACCCGAGGGTTGAGGTGAAAGGGATGGCATGCGAGATCGAGGGAACTGCGAGGAAGGACCGGCTTGTGGCGTACGAGGCCGAAAAGTATGTTGAGAAACTGTGTCTGATCCATTTCCTCACCGAGGATGGTAGCACGGTCACTGGTGAGAGCGTTTTCGGCGTGGTATTCGCATGGATTGGTGATGACGACGAATTGGATGATGGTGCATTCGATCTGGAGGCGTACAAAACGGCTAAGGCAGAACTGGAGGTTACTAAGAAGTAGTCATAGTTCCTTGGGCTGCTAGATGAGGGCTCGCACTTCCTCCATATTGTGCTTGTAGGACCTCCTCGTACATGGAGAATGTTTCATTAAAAGGCCTTGAGGTAGCTGGTCAGATGTTGGATCATGCCGAGTTTCCTGATTCACTGTACTGCAATAATATAATTCGCCGCATGACTGATTGCCCGACTTCTTGGGCTACTTATGTCGACGGTTCTAGTCTATGGCGCCTCCAGAAGCGGTTCTTGCTAGCCTCGTCTGTGCGGCTGTCACAAGGCTGTCACTGTTTTCTTAGCCACAAGCTATAATCGTGTTCGAAACCTACTGTTATCGGCATTGTATTTTTTTTTTTAACGCTGGGTGTTTAAGCGTTTATCACTGTACAAAGGGACTGGATGCATACTGCTTAAGAAGCATATGTGTACAGATTAAAAACGAGACCACTCAATAATATAGCCGATCAAAATGCACGGAACATCGGTACTGTGTAGAATTCCCACCAAGGTGCTGTAATTGTTGCCCATGAAGTCTGCTAGCAGCGCAAGCCGCTTGCTGCGACTGGCATCCCACATCCCCTCAAGTCCATCCTTACACACGTTGCAAAGCATGACGATTAAGTCGTCACAGGGTAAGAGATTGCACCGGTTAGGTAGAGAAGCAAATTGTCAAGAAGCCTGGGGCGAAATGATCCCATGCCTGCCAAGGATCTCTGCTTACTTTTGTAGCTGTCGAAACCTCTTGCTAACCCATATCAAGGAGATCACATCTCAGCCTGCCGAAAGTCAAATCACGATTCCATAATAAATCATACCAGAAAAAAAAATTATCGAGCAGCCAGAATGGACAGTGTCTGATGGCGACGCCGTGATGTCTTGATGGCTCCTCGACTCGGCTGGCATAGCAAGTTGACAGGAGATGCTGAACTTGCTGAACTGGAGAAGGACGAGCCCATCATTACGAAAAAGAAATCTAGCCATATTGCTTCCACTTCTGATGCTATTCGGATCCTTTCCTTGCCAAGTTGGACGGTTCAATGGGAAGGCCGCATTCAAGAACATGTAACCTGGTCGACTCAGGGAACAGGTGATGAACTTTCGAGAGCAGAGTACTGAGAAGATAAAGACACAACGAAGATTAGCCTGTGGTGAGACGCAGATTCTGTCACACCAGACAGTCGAATTGCAGTTTTTGCATGGCGCACACATCACCAAAACAAAACGCAAACGGCCCTTCGAGCTTCAACGAACGGTCGATCATTGCAGGCGTGCTCTCCTTCGCTAGGGGAGCAAAACTGCACAAAAGGCCAAAAAGACCCTCCGAAGAGTCAGAAAATACCTCCGTCTTTTGCAGACCGTCGCTGATATTTTACTGGTTGCCGGCTCGGCTTGAACGTGGGATCATCGGCGTAGATCGAAACCTGACGCCTACCCAAATCGGCCACCTCGCCGGAGGTGATTGCCTGGTGAATTCTGTTGTTTATGTAGTTGATTGGTGGAATGGGACCATAGCTTCGAGTGAAGTCTAGCTTCAGTATGGGTACTGTTATGAGGCGCCTTGAGACTCGCCTGCATCGAGGAGCCTCGCGTCTGCTATCCAATATGACATGATTCTCCATCACCATCAAAGAACCCAAGGAGAATTGACCCCGCGTCATCGCAGTCAGAGGAATCTCTCAACCTGCTTCTCACTCCAATCCCAAAACTTGCGCGTCAAGTCGACACCACCCTCGCTCTCCGGCCTGGCTGCCAGCTGCAAGTCCTCGCAGATCGGCCCGATGCGCCCCCAGGGGAGGACATAACTTCCAGGTTTCGCAACCTCTGGGGACAGGCCAGCAAACAGCTGGGTATACGCACCGTTGACCGGGTGGTAGTGCATAAGACTGAAGCCTGAACAGGAAGCCCTGCTGACTGAATAGATCCGTCCTTAGGCCGGGGTTGAGAGGCACGCCCAAGACGCCGCTGGACCGCTTGGAGAACTCAACGCCATACGCCCAAACGCCCACTTTGGCAAGGCCGTACCGCTCGATGCTCAGCTTGGGGCGGTGGTAGTACAGGTTCTCGAGGTCGAGAGGAAGCACTCTGCCGATGTCTTGACAGAATTTAGATCGGCAAGATCCAGATGCAAAAAGACAAGCTCGCCCTTGGAGGCAGGCTCGGCTTTCTTGATGCTCGCAATGGCGTCACCCTTTTCTCGGGCTGCTATGTAGACTTTTGCATTCTTCGAATAGAGGATCCGGGCAAGCTCCAACCCCATTCCTGACGTCGAACCTGTCACTATGTAGACCTGTCGAGACCTTGTCAGCTCCCCGTTTTTTTTTTATGGGCTCAGTAACACAACTGACCTTGCCTGTTAGGTCAGGCGCATCCTTCTCTGTGAAGGCGGGCGCACGAGGGAACATCTGCGCCCAGAGACTGGCAAAAGAGGGAGCGATTGTTGGTCTGCTCTAAGACTGAAGCAAGAAATAGAAGCGGGAGAAGTGTGGGGGCGCCGGCGTACGGTCAGCTGACTGGAGCAAATAAGTGACGACAGAGTTTCCAAGTTGACTGAAGGCGGGCATATGGCGATGCAAATACTCAAGTTTATTCATGTAGCCCTCGTGTCCAAATCTTTCGTAGGCGAGATGGAATTAGGATTTTTAAAAGACAACCGTATTTTTATAAATGATGGAAGTAGTAATCGGAGAGATCTTAACTCTACTATGGGCAATTCGTCAGAGCCACAAGAACTGTGCAACAGACGATCCAAGGACCTTCCTGACTCCTTGACCGTCGTCTTGAGTCTATTGCCATATTTACTGTAAGGTTCCGTATCCACCGGCGTGGGCCTACTGTCTGCAGCTGGAATAAATACTACGGCAGGTTACAACTCGGTGAAGCGTTGGTAACTAGAACAGGAACGCTGAACCGACGCGGACCTAACATTCTCCATCGTCTTTCCGAAATTTGCTTAAGCCATCCTGCGCTGCAACCAACAAATCTCTCCAATAGATGTGTGATCCACGCAAAAATGGCACCATGTCCCTGCTTAGCCTTGACTGTTGGTCGTGGCGCAATGCCGGGCCAATTAACGGGCAACGTAGAAGTGTTGGTTCCCACTCGCGGAGGACCAACAACAACGCTAACTTTCAGGTCCCTACCCCGGTTCGCGCCTACATATATGCTACTAAGTACAAGAAAGCAGTTGAGTGTATCCGAGTACATATCTACCGGTGCCATCAGAGTGGAACTGCTTCGTGCCGATGCTGAGATGCATGTGTCTATTTACAGCATGGAACTGCCCAAAGCTGTCTCCCTCTTCTCCGGTCACGTCCCATGCGCGCGTGTAAAATTCTCTGTGCTTTAGACTAAGCTCACGGCCGTTCTCATCCAAAGAGTTCCCTAAAAGATCGTGCCCCCGAATTGTCGAGCGAATTCCGAGGCGACGACCATGGCCGACTCCCTTTCAACTGGGCCCGATCTTTGCCAAGTTCCTTCTGCAACACCTTTCGATGGAATCCTGCCAAATCTTAAAGATCCACCGTCCCTAGCTGCTGCCTTGATTGTGGTTACAACCATAATAATGGCTTGGGCTACCGTATTCCTCGCTGGCCGACTTTGGACTAATAGGCGCCGACTTCAGCCAGCAGATGGTGCGTGAATCGACATTGGTTGTGGGTTTGTCGTGAGGGCTAATCATAGACTGCAGGATGCGCTGTACTAGCTCTCATCATGACGGTTGCCTGCTCGTGTGTTATTTTCGCTTGTGAGTTCTGAACAGATGCAAAATTACCTAGACATCAGACCAACTTTTCTTGGGAGAGGGGCGGAAGCACTCACAGCACATTTCTCCGCATAGTAAGAAAATACATGCGACACCAGTATGACACCCCCGTCTGCTGGTTCAATCCCACTTATATCAAGGCAAGCGGAAGGCAAAGTTGGTTATGGGTGTCTGTGCTTACACAAACGTAGTTGAACTTGGCTTTTCAGATCCTAATGCCGTTATCTTACATTTTCTCGAAGGCGTCTGTGCTGCTGCTGTTTCTGTAAACTTTTTCGGTGGACAAGAAAATGAGGTTCGCTATATATGCTGGCCTTGTAGGCATTATTACTGACTATGGCCCAAACTTGATTCTTGGTCCATATTACTCAGTCCCGCATATTGGTGAGACATGGACAGACCTCCTTGTGAATCGTCGTCCATACCAATTGGTGAAAGTTGGTTTGGAACAGGCAGCTCTCGCTGTGATATTGGATCTTTACATATTCATACTTCCATTTCAAATGCTCTCATCACTCAAATTGGGATCTCGCAGGCGCCTCCGACTCTCGATCGTCTTCGGGACCGCATTGATGTGAGTGCCGCTTCTGTAGTGTCCAAGGCAGCCTCCTCTGGCTGGGGGAGGGAAAGGGAGAAGGCAAAGGGCATCGGCTAACCATGAAAACTTAGAGGGGCGTGATTACTAGTGTCATGGGACTGGCATTACGTGTGCCCCTTCTTACGACGAAAGATCAGACGGGGGTACAGGGCCAGGTTCTAATTTGCGTGTAAGTTGATCCGTCATATTCGACGGCTTTACGGCCACCGCATGCAAAGCGTTGTATTGACTCTACTTTCTTTAAATAATATGGTAGAGATCTACATCGCAATCATAGTTTCGTGCATGCCTGCGTGCGCGGGCTTTGCAAGGACGTACATCGGGGAATCAGGCTTCTATAAACGCCTCACTTCCCTCTTGCGCCATCGCAACAATACCCACAGGAAGCCTCCAGAAGCTTTCGAGGCGAAAGACATGCCGGACAACAGTACTGAGAAGACAGACCTCGATGACACTACTGGGCTCGACCCCTACTGGATTCCAAACAGGGCGAGTGAAACGGGCTTCTTCTCACAGGGTGGTGCAGAGGATTGGTCATCCGAAGGACTGGGGCCTGGAATTGTGAAAACAGTTCAAATTGCACATTCATACCACCCTCGATGGGATCAAACGGATTACGCTTCGCAAGGACAGCAGTCACAGAATCTGATTTGGACTGAGACCAAAGGCTTTAGTGGCTGAGTCCTTGAGTCTTGGGCCACCAGCCATACATAGCGCCCGGCAGACCTGTTCAGAGGATATCAGATATGAAATCACTGGCTCGAAAGTACAACCCTATGAAGCAAGCACCATCACATCTGATTGATATCAGTTCAATTCCTTTCGTGTCATTCAGACCCGAACCGTCGCGGAAGGTTTCAGAGCAGCGTATCTTCTTGGATCCCGTTGGTGAGTATCACTTGTTTCTCAGACTTCAAATAAACTGCCAACGTGACCGTGGTCCTGGAAATGGTGGCGCCGTCTGCATTATCGATGTCAAGCAGTCCCTTGTAAGTGGTGTACTGCCAGTGGGGTCAGGCGGCGTGCCATAGATACGAGACCATTACCAATCAATGGACAACACTTGAATTCTATGGCACAACCATCCTCAGGACGAACGGATGGTTGTTGGTTGAGAAAAGGCATCAACGGCGAAAATACTGATGGCACGACGGTGTGCACACAAAGTAGGGGGTGTACGACATGTGCGGTTCACTAGCGTGTTTTTGGAACGATTGATTGCATATATGCAATCAATCGTTCCAAAATGGAATATGCATTCGATCGTTCCAAAACTTTCGTAGTTGTGTACCTGATAAAGTTACATTGGACATTTGCAAAGCAGCACAAAAGACTGCCAACACACAGAGCGGTTGAAACCAGTGAATCTTCAGAACGACTGATCACTTTCTGGGCAACCGATTTACTCTCAGTCAGGAATCTGACAGAAACAACACCTTCAGTCACACCAGCTATAGGAATGCACGTCTACCAAAGTCAAAATACAACAAACACATCCAGCACAATACACTAGCAATTTGCCCTCCAACTCGGCTACCAGCAAGTCTTCAGCCACATCGACGCATGGTCCCACCAGGGTGACCGGCGGGCTCGTTTCCAAGCTCATTCCCCGACCTCGCTGTCGCTGTCAACCCGGGCAGCAAACCGGCCACGCGGCTGGTGGTCACTATCGTTGCCGCCAGTGGGCGAGCAACGGCGGCATGGCGTATCTGCTGACGATTGAGTGGTCCTCGGCGCGTGAATGAACGGTTCGGTCTGGGTTCCGGTTTGGTGCTGGTCGTCCAGATTGCCACAGCCTACTCCGTCTTGATCTTCGGGGGCGGGAGTCCCGCCGGTGGGGGTTGTCGTCTCCGAGTCCCGGGTCGCTGGCGAGGGTGCGGGTGCGCGTGGGAAGCTCTGGGGACGGCTGTGCCAGAACGCAGTGTACGCCGGCGGCGAGACTGCCGGGGACCGAGCCCACTGATCGTGATACAGACTGGGTATAGGGGGCTCTCTGAGGGGGCCGTGGGCGGTGATGGTCGTGCCCTCGCTCTGAGAGTGAGATGGGGTGCTGGACCCAGGGACCCAGCTCGTGGTTGGTTGCGTGAAGTGCTCCGGCCTGTTAGTGTCGTCCCTGCTCGCCAACAAGATGCGGATTAAATCGAGACATTCGCTAATGTTGTCAACGATACCGAGGAGAACGAGGAGCAATGCGTCCTGGCGAGGTGAGGCGTCCAAATTCGAAGATTCATTTAAAAGGTCAGCCCAGGGACAGTCTGGGTCATCGCAAGACAGAGAGTGGGCGGCGCTGTACAACCGCCTGATGAAATCCTGCTCCTCTCTCATCGATTCTACAGTGGAAGGAGTATCCATCGTGGATAGACTATTGCGGCTTGTCCAGCGGTGAGTAGTATCCGTGTATGGCGTAGAGTTGTTCGGGGAGGGAGATTCGTGGAAGAGCCCGAGCTGGATCTCTTGTATTTTAGTTGGGCAAAACAATCAAATGAATAAGACAAATCGAGAGGGAGAATCTTGTTTGTGATGAAGCATTTGTAGAGGAGTAACATGCTCTCATCCATACTTTTTGTCATGAAGTTTGTGGGACTCTGTTGAATGTGAAGGAGTCACAAACACTCAAGTCAATTTTGCTTCCAAATCTGGGCGTCATTACAGGAAAATAAGTTTTCCCTCGTCTTGACAACACTTCACTCGACACGTCAAGCAACTTATTCTTGGATTTAAGCAGAAACCTCAGGCAGTCAAAATATTCCACACTCACTCACTGCACAGATTGCATACTCCATTTGATTCACAATGACACCCCAGTCTTGATAAAATTCAAGGTTTCATATTCAGTTGAGATCTCACAACGCCCTGAAATATGCATTTCCCGATCAATGAGTTTATGAGTCATTTAACTCTACAGTGCTCACTTGATGATCATAACTTTGCCGACTGTTGGCGGCGTTTCTAGCTAGAAGTTGGTCTTGGTTCACAGGCCCAGTACTCCTCATAGAGCGCTGGTCGTCGAAGCCTGAGAGGGTTTTCTGACTCCAGGTCATTATGATGAGCATGGCTTTTCACGTATGGCCATAACAAGCTGGACTGGTGCTCGAAGTCATTGCTTGTGATATGCTTGAGCCTGGATGTGCTGCCGGGTCTCGTTGGTGCGTCGTCAAGTTCTGGGGTCTCTGGGGTTATCAAGTCATCGCCCGAGTTCATTGAGACTTTAGTCCCTGCGCTGTCGTAAGCCACGCAGGGTTTTGAACCAATTTGTTTAGCGATCTTTGAAAAAATGAAACCCATCTTGTCTTGTGTCTTTTCTGGGCTGGCGTCATCTCCCTGGCTCGAGGTCTCAGGGTTCTGGAGGAATCCTCTTGATGCTTTCAATGTTGGCTTCTCAGGATTTTCTTGGTGATCGACTGTTCTCGATTCTATCGACATGATTGTGGACTCCTTTGGTAGCTTCACAGCTGGGTCAAGGTTCTGTAGTGATCTCCCATGATTTAGTATAAAATACGTCTGACCTGATCAACAAAGGTGCTGTCCAGAAACACTTGTGCTCCAGTCTAGGCGCTCCCAAATGAAATGAAATCCTCTGTTGCCCTTGAACGCAGTCTTCTGTTGGTGATTTGCAAACGAGGCATTGTGACTTGGTCTCAGTCGAATTGATAACCATGGAATTTCTTTGACCTGTGCCAATGCTCACAGTAACCTCACAAAATCAGCACAGCCATGCAAAGATTCAAGTGTCGGGGAATCAAAATCAGACAATGACGTTGGAACTTTCAACTCAGGCAATCGAGTTAGACAAAGTAAGGCAACACATTGGTTCCTGATAAATAATGACAAGCTGTGGTTGACAGCCAGGGTGGGATGCCTTGACAAGATCCAGAGTCTTGCCAGACTGAAGGCAGCAGCTGGAAGACAAAGAGTGAGGGTCGAAGTGCAATCACAGGGAAAGGGCCCTCGCATTCACATTTCACACATGCAACTGGGCTGCCTGAACAAGACCATCCCATTTAAGACCACAACATGCACTGATTTTCCAACCCAGTAGCGTGATTGTCAAGGCTGCACGATTTCAATCGTACCAAACTAACAAAATCGCAGAGCCGTGTGTTCGAGTGGCAAGTGGTCGAAAAAAAAAGAAGGTCCGAGGGGAGGGGCATCACATTGGTGTGACTGAGGGGAGGTGATGTCGTGGGAGATCCTGCGCATCTTATAGACAAGAAGACAGCTGATGATTCAGCATATTTCCTGGTCGGAGCAATGACTCTGATCAGTGTGGGTGGGTTGAAAGAGAACATCGCGCAGAGAGATGTGAGGGAACAGCGTGGGGAGCCTGCGGGCTAGAGTGGTATAATTCCGGCTGAAGTCCTGTGAGTAACATCCCTTCCGTCCGATGTGCTGCCTTAACAATCACGATCTGGGTTCTTTTTTTGTGCCCCGTTTGAAATCTGTCCAAGTAATTTCTAAGAAAGACTGAGCCAGAAGGTGGTCTCATTGGGGACTTGATGGATTTCTACCTAGTCCTCCTGCCGTTGACCTCCCATCTTCAGAATGAACACCTGAATATTCATGATCCATCAGCGCTTGAATGATTTCAAACCATGTAGATTTCTCAGGGGCCGCGATGGCCAGACGTTCACTTGCCACCATAGGGTATCCTAGATGCGATCGCAGCTACTTGGAGATAGTCAGGAGAGCTGCATCGCATGCCATACTAGGCAGAGTTGCCGTGTAGGAGACACAAAGTCGAATAAATACATTCTACCCGGACCTTCCCAACATTCCCAGTGTCCGATGTCAGTGGTCACAGACGGTCCAGATGCTCAAGCTGACAACACTAGTGACTTTGTTCTGGTTGATGCTACCAAAACAGCAGATGGAGCACTGCACTGTCATACCAAGTAGCCTTGACAGTCCCCCAGACAACCTAATCAGAGCCTCTGTCGCCAGTCATTAGGACCCTTCTCAAATTTCAGGCGATAATTGTGCCCCAAGAGATACCTTTTTGAGCTCGTGGCAGAGTGCTGCTCAGACACCAGCCTATCGAGACACCTTTAGCAAATCCAGGAAGTCGGGAGCATTGCTCTTGAAATCACCGATTGCTGTTGGACTTGTCAACTTTCACTCGTGTCCTGATGGACAGAACTGCTACGACATGGGCAACAGTCTGTGGGAGAGGAGGGAAGTGGAATAGACTCGTGGCCTGTCGAAATAACACACACAGGCAGGCTAGGACTCCAATGGCTATCAAGAAGGGCCCCAAATCATGCAGGGGAGCCCTTTGTGGTAGCATACTGGCCTCTTTTGTGATGAAAGATGCTATACGAGTCTATAGACATGACTGAGATCCAACTTCGGCGCCCAAGAGTCCAGCCCTCAGCCGATGTTGGCCCAACATGCGTGAATCATCGCGGTGCTTTCCTCAGGAGTGATTATATCGAACTGGACTCCCACCTGGCTAAACAAAAGTTTAAGAATTTGCATAGGGGCCTGTGTAGTTTCTGTTTCGTCTTGAGATCGACTACGAAAAGGCGCAGGTGCCTCTGCATGAGAGTGGAGGCAACTCGAAGCAAACGTGACCTCTCTTAAGTCATGATTGTAAATCCGACATTCATTACGGAGGGCCTGGAAGACCTGAGAATAGAACTCAAGCGGGCTCCAGCCGTCTGGAAATTCGGGGTAGAACTCGGCCGGATCGGAGTTGCCCCAAAAGTCGGTCAGGTGCAGCCGAGCAAGAGACGGCGGCAGGAGATGCGGCAGCTGCAGGGCGACGGCCGGGTCCGCGGACCCAAAGAGCCAGATAGACTCCGTCGTCAAGTCCTTCAGCTTGGTCATCTGCTTTAAGGTCGACAACGAGGACGGGTACCTTTTGGATTGCCAACGGTCTTCGGCCGGGTAAGTCTCCGGAGAGGTCCTCAGGGAGAGAGTTTCTAACGTCTTAGAGACATTGAGGAGAGCCCTTGGGATTTGCGGGCGCGGGTGCGGAAAAGAGAAAAAGTCTAGGAAGCTGGTTGGTCCGTCCCGAAATTCAGCCCGGAGCGATTTCAGCTTCGGAAACGCCACTACGGCTGACATGTCGTCCTGTGGGTCATCACCGCAGAAGACAAGGACCTCTTCTACGTTCTCCGCGAGAGGCTTTGAGTCTTCCCATAGCGTCCGGAGGTTGCCTTTGATATATGCGAACTGTGGAGGATGCTTCACTTCGAGGCGGCGAGGCAGGGGTGAGTTCATGAAAAGACCAGCCAGGATGATCTCTGTGCGAAGGCGTTCACCCTTACCATTATAGTCGTCAATGGTAAGGGACTCCAGACCCTGGAGAAAGTGGTGTCCGTAAGGTCGAACGCTGCCTTGGGATTTCTCCGATTCGCCGAACACACACCTCCGAAGAAAAGGCATTACGGCATCGGACTCAGGGCAGACATTAAAACCGTCGAGGGGAATACCTTTCCGACCCCCACTCCGCATGAAAAGCCATTTGATACGTGGGCACAGTGCTAACACAGCGCCAAGGAGCTTCGAGTCCTTAAGAGTGTCTGGGCCACCGATGAGTTTACGAGTTAGCGACTCCCGAGACCTTGGAAATTGCAGTCGAGGAACAGATACCCCGCTTGTGCTGCAAACATGGGCATTTGACTGTTTCAGTAGGGTGAAGAGATCGCTGGGCAAGAGGAATTACTGGAATAGGACCGCCGGTCTCACAAAATCGAAAAGAGTTCGGCCTGTGGGATGAAGCCTGCAAGAACAGGCCTTGCGAGTAGAGGCCCGAACAAGGTTGTATGGTCAAGACTAAGAGCAGCATACTTACTGAGCTCAGCTATGTCGTGGTCGAGGCGATCACATGGCCACTCGTCCCTGATTAAATCCCATCGTTCCGCAACCATTGTAGCTTCCTCGTGTAGCAAATCTGCGCTTGATCCCGGGCTGACAGGTTCTCCCCGCAAGATGCCAACCCAAGCGAAAGACCGGACCATTGAGCGGCGATCGGGTCGTTTGGCGAGCGTGCGGAAGAAATGGAACAACTCACTCCGGTCTTTGATAAGTGAGTTACGGTAAAGGCAGGGAATGACAAGGCCATAGAGCTCTTTTGAAGCTAGGCAGGCGTTCAAGAGGCTGGTCCGGCATTCCACATGGCCCGGTCTGACGACGGGTCTGTGGGCGCTGGATTCGTACGTGGTGAGAGGTCCATCCGGGCGCAACTGATCCAAGATACCCATGAATACGTCCTGGGGGAGATCTGAGAGGGATATGGCGCCTCCGCCGTCGTTTCGGTGTTTTGGCGGCTGAGCACCTGTACCTCCGGCTTCATCTGGGGGCTCTGCCATCGGCACCGCGAGCGGCGCAGAACTGCTCTGCGCTGTCCCCAGGGAACGCCTCTCTCGCTTCTCCTGAAGTACGATGGTATCTAAAGTTAAGTAGTCGGTTGCGGAGCTAGTGACTGCTATATACAGAATTTGGGAGACGGCAGGAGTTGACGTGAAGTCAACGTCAGGAGCTATGCAGGGTTTGGTTGGGCTTGGGTGGAGAGGGGGCTAATTGTTGCCTATGGTCATCTGGCCACCCTGAAAATTCCACGTACCATTAAACGCCGCAAGTTATCTATCTTCATTTTGTTCATATGAGAAGTAAGAAGGGTGTTGTCTTCCATTATTGCATACAAAACAAACCAGGAGGAAGTCTTTGAAACTTGGGCAGTTATTAATATTTTCTACGAATAATATGTAACGTCCCCGGCCCCGGTATGGGCCACCCCCCATCTGGGCCAGCCAATTTCCTAGCAAACGCACCTAAAGGCGCCCACTTTTAAAAGTCCCAATATTAAATCTAAATTAAATCTAAAAATAGCCAGAACTAACTTATATATATTATATTATATATATATTAAGGATAAAATATTTTAAAAAAATTATATAAGCTTTAATATTTTCAAAAGAGTTTTTAAACTTATATATATTTAAAATATTAAGGAATATTAATAATATTACTATATATAAAACATTATTAATATTTCTTAAAAGAAATTAAGTAAAATTATTGTTTTTTAAAAACATATTAATTTAATATATAATATTCATTATTAAAAAATTATACTTATATATATTAAATGTATTAAGTAAATTAAAGTTTTAAATTTTCTTTAACAAATAATTTATAAAGAAATTATAAAAATATAATTATTTCCTTTAAAAATATATTTATATTAAACATTATAAAACTTATGTAAACTTTAAATAAAATTTATATTAAATATTAAAAATATTAATACGTTAAATAAATGTTAATATAATATTATTATATAATTTTAATATTTTTATGAAATCCTTAATATTTTAGCAACTTAATATTAAAGAATTTATATATAAATAATTATACTTATTATCATTTAAGCGTATTTTAAAAGATTTAAGATCATTTTTTATAAATATAAATGTAAAAAGTAAGTAGTTACAAGATTTAAATAGAATTAATGAAAGGGTATTAAAAAGTGGGTATTTAGTATGTAAAGTGGTGGCCCAGATGGGGGGGTGGCCCAAACCGGGGCCGGGGACGTTACAAGACATTACCTATATACGAAGAGCTGCGCAGTGTGACCGCTCAGGATGTAATAACCGACTATCGAGACTTGCGCACCAAGTCATCCACCTGTGCAGAGATACTCACGATCGGGAACGCACTTCTGCTCCCGGCGTTAGTGCTCTCCACAATCGGATCCGCAAAGAACTCCTCGAGGCTGAACAAGGCGTCGGGCCCGATCTGGACAGCAGCAGGGACCTGGCCGCCCTGGGCCTCGGGGACGTTGTTGGAGACCAGGCCCAGCGTCTCTGCGCTCTCCCACTTCCCGTCCTGCGACCTGATGACCCACACGCCCGCGGCGTCCTCGGCGACCAGCAGGATCGTGTTGTTGTACTTGGCCGGCAGGAGCACGGCGTCGCTGAAGCCAATGGGCGCCGACGGCTGCGTGCCGTTGGGCCCCGTGCGCGGGATGAGCACCGGCGTGCCCGTCTCGCTCCCGCTGACCCCGTCGAAGCGGTAGATCTGGCCGTCGGCGTTGTTGTTGGTCAGCAGCACGTCGCGCTCGCGGATCGAGGCCAGGCCGCCGAACCCGGCGTTGGTGGTGTTGGCCAGCTCGTCCGCGGGCGGGAGGAACCACGGCTTGAGCCCGTTGCCGTCCTTGTCCACGCGCAGAACCGTCCCCGGGTACGTGCCGACGATGTAGATGTTCCCGTCCTTGTCGTGCTCCACGTCCTGGAACCCGCCCCACGCCCCCTGGGTGATCAGCTCCGTGATGTTGCGCTGCCAGATGACCTCCCGCTGGTCGAAGTCGTACTTAAGGACGATGTTGGCGCCGGAGACGTCCTGCCCTGCGGTGTTGAAGGCGGCGCCGGCGTCGACGAGGACGGTCAAGTGCCCCTGCGCGTCGGACAGTGCCGGGCCAAGATGAAGGGCTGGGTCGCCAGAGATCCCGGGCAGGAGGATGGTCTCCAGGTCTTTTGTGTATGGGTTAAAGACTCCGACCGAGGCGTTAAAGAGGACGCTGTGTTTTGCAATTAGACTTGTGGAAGCACTTAATGGCGCGAAGATCTGTTCAGGAGACTGTGGTAAGAGGGTCTAAACCGTTCATAACATACCCGAAGTAGACCAAGCAACGGTTGAAATCAAACTTGGCATTCTCTGGGTACAGTTGAAACTCGTCGATAACAAATGTGCTGCTGTTCATAGACGGACAGCTCTGTGCACTCTTCGGACGATGTTGACCAGAGGGAATAGCCTGTGTCAGACCAGCAAGGCTGGCGAGCCCCGCTAGGGCGACAGATCCTGCTCTTGAGATCATATTCGAGGTTTGACGGTATGTTCCTGAATTGTTTGTGCCTGTTGTGATTAGAAAACGAAAGTGGCAATGAGTAGACTGAATAATGAATGTATAGATCGGCGCTGCACTAACTTATAACGTCCCCGGCCCCAGCATAAGCCGGCCCCCAATCTAAGCCAACCCACACCCACATACACGCATGCACACATCTAAATCTACCCCATAAATACTCCTTAATATCTTTATAAGGGATTTTTTTAATTACCAAACTTCTTTATAATATTAATTAAATTATCATAAAGCTATATTATAAGGATAATATATATATATTTTTTAAAAATACTTAAGTTTTATGTAATATTATTTAAAAAGTAATATTAATATTAATATTAATATTTTAATAAATATAAAATAAAATAATAACTTAAGTAATATTAAAATTAAATTATTAATAATATTTTATTAAGAATCTTTAGATTTTAAGGTTTACAAATATATATGTATTATATATATAATCATTTAATTTAAGTAAGTTATAAAGGAAATAGCGTATTTTTTAGGTTTTTGTTGTTCTGCAGCGGAGGGGGAGCGCGAGTCAAAAAGACAGGGGGGGGGGAAGGTTCGTTTGCCACACACAGCTTCTCGTGGGAGATCGTCCAAACAAGCTTCTTGAAACCTTGAAAGCTTAACTGGCCCTCGCCCGCCGCCTAGATATGTGTTTCTCGGCGACTTTGTTACCGACGCCGCTCACCGCATTTACATTGGTATCGGTCTGGCCCCTGCGGCCGGATCTGCTCCTGATCATGATCTATGCGAGTCAAATTTACTGTCGAGGTCCCGCAGTGATTAATCCATGCCTCCGGACCGTCTAGCCCCGTTCCCTATCGCCCGGTCTTGCTGTGTTCGTAGCATAATAAGTTGTTCGTTCTCGGATTGCAGACTGGGGCTCTCCCGCCGGAGGTGATAAGGTCGTGTCGATCCTACCCGTTCCATGCCATCCAAGCTAATATTTCGCACATGTGCAATGGGACGTTGCCGGGAGGGACGAGCGGGGGGTGCAATCGGTTCAAATGCCGATACGCGCACGCAGCTAATATGAATGCTTCGCCGTTGTTCTCTCCTTTCCATTAAGCTCTTAAGCATAATGGCTCTGCCAGTCCTGTCGGTCTACCCACTTCTCACAATTTTCTTTGAAATCATGAGGCTCAAGGTTGGGGATCTAACGTCCTCGGCCCCGGTGTGGGCCACCCCCCCTTTTGGGCCACCATCGCCCAGATTAAACGCCTTCTCATTAATATTAATTGCTTACCATAATGATTACTAATCCCTTTGCTAATAATGTTTTTCATGCTTTTAAACCCTTGTTTTCTTTTAATGTTATATTAATATTAATTTAAAAATATTAGATAACCTTAATATTAATAAAAGTTATATTTAAATTAATTTAAAAAAATTTTTTTTTAATTTTAATTTAAGCCTTATATAATTAATTTTTATAAGCTTATTATTAATTATATATTTTTTAATTATATAGAAAAATATTAAATTTTAATATATTAAATATTTATTTATAATATTAATATTATTATTATAAACTTAGTTTAAAGCTAGGCAGGAAAGGTTTTTGTTATTGCCAGAGTTATGAAAATACAAAAAATACAGAATACAAAATACAGATATAAATATAGATACAGAAAATTTTAAAAATACAGATACAGATATAAATACATAAAATTTTAAAAATACAAAATACAGATATAAATATAAAAATATAAATATAAATACAGATATATATATTTTAAATACATAAATATAAAATACAAATATAAAATACATTATATATAAATATTAATTAATTAAATTTATTAAAAATCTTTTTAAAGTAAGCTTAAAACTAGCTATTTAAGTATATGTTTTTTATTTTTATATCTTTTTTTTCTAAAAAGATATTAAATATAACATATAAGTACTTTTTTAAAAAAAACTTTATTTTCTTATTTAAATCTTATCTTCTTATTTAATAAGTTTCTACCCTAAGTTTTTTATTTTTAAAGTATCTATATATTTTTAATAAAATTAAATAAAAATATATTTAAAATGCTTAAATTAAATAAAATTTAAATATAATTTCTTTTTATTTTAAAATCGTAAGATTTAAATTAAATATTATATAACTTGTATTTATATCTATATTTTGTATTTTAAATACAAAATATAGATTTAAAATTTTAAAAATATAAATACAGATACAGATATAAATATAAAATATAAGGCTTATATAAATATAAATATAGATACAGATATAAATATAAAATATAAGGCCTATATAAATACAAATATAGATACAGATACAGTATTTAAATACAGATACAAATACATGTATTTATGTATTTTGTATTTTGGAATACAAAATACACAGATACTGTCACAACTCTGGTTATTGCTAAGATTATTGCTGCTAATAATAGTAATGAGATTATTTCTTGCCTCCTTACCTTTTATAAGAAGCAAGAGTAGGGCATCCTTCCCTTTATACTTTACTAAGTAGCTAGCTGCTTTAAACCATAATAACTTTTCCCTTTTTAATTAGCAGCTATCTTAACTGCCAGCTAATATAAACTATGTAAATGTTTTATATATATAATTATATAAACCCTTATTTTAATATATATTTCCTTTAAAATATTAATTAATTTATTTCCTTTCTTTTTTTCTTTCTTTTTCTTTTATTTAATATATAATTACTTATTTAACATACCTTATATTATTAAAAAATATTTCCTTTGCATTTATTAAAATATTAAGATATATATATATATATATTATAAGAAGCTTAGTTACTTAATAATTTATAGGTAAAGGGTAATGTTTAATTTATAATTAAATTATAATGTTTTTTATTTTTTATTATATAGTTGCCTTTTAAGGCTTATTATAAGAACTTAGAAAAGGAGAATATGTTATGGTTTAGGCTTTGCTTATTATAATTAGTTAATAGGCTTTAGCCTTATAAAAATAGGCTTTAATATAAATATAAATAGGGAGCGGATTTCTTCCTTTGCACTTTAAATATAAACCTTATTTAAGCACCTTACGGCAAATAATCCTGGGTTAGCCCATAATAAATATCTTTATAAAATTAATATAAAATTATAATTAATTATAAAAAGTTTTTAGCTAATTAAATATATAAAAGAATTAAGCCCTTTTAATATTAATTACTTTTTTATTTATTATAAACTTAACTCTTATTTTTATTAAGTAAGTTACTAAGTATTTTTAAAATAAAAGTTTTTAAAATACAGAAAGGCTTAGCAAGTTATTATTATTTTTTTAAATCTTATTATATTAAGTTTTATATAATTATATTATAAGTTTATAATATAAGAAAACCTTAAATATATATTATAAGCTAGCTTAAGGTTATTTATAAAAGGTATTTAAATAAGGTTTATATTTAAGGTGCAAAGGAAGAGGTTTGCTTTCCATTTATATCTGCATTAAAGCTTATTCTTATAAAGGTAAAGCCTGTTAATTAATTATAATAAGTAAAGCTTAAACCATAATAATTAATTACTTTTAAAATTTAATTTTATATTATAAAAAGTAAGAATTATAAATATATAAGTTATATAAATATAGTTAATTTTGTTATAAAGTTATAATGGATTATAGTTAGATTTAAAAATTGGGATTTTGGGGGGCGGAGGGGGAGCGCGAGTCAAAAAGAAAGGGGGGGGGGGAGGTTCGTTTTCCACACACAGAGGGTGGTTCTCCACTGTGGGTGCGACCCTCGCAAGGCCGCGAGCAGCCTCCATCCTTGAGCGGAACCTTGCGAGGCGCGCGCTCCATGACTATGTGCCCTGTCCACCTGGACACAATATTTGAAGTCCGCTGCCTTCCAGTGGATGTTATTGCCGGCGGACCCGGGCCGAAATTGAAGCCTCCATCGCCAACACCGAAGATCAGGGGCCCGCTCCCGTGTAGAAACACGGCGCATTATGCCCGTTGAGATTTGTCGAGTGCCAAAACACATGCGGATCATCAATTCAGTGGAAGTCGGAGGCTGGCTGAACCAATCCTCAAGCGCAAGGTGTTCCAAGTGAAAATCTAAACCCAATTCTGCTCTTTACCTCTTTCCAGATACAGTAAGTGGCGACAGGACTAATAACGAGGTCCGCTTCTGAAGTCGACGAGGCCGTCATGTCGGGCAGCAGATCTGAAGGCCGACAGAGCATATGCATCGTCGGAAGCATTGGATGACAGGACTGGTGGCAAGAGATTTGGGAATAACGTAAACTCTATTATCTTCCAACCCCCGTGTTTCCGCCATTATTGATTTTCACTTAATGCCCCGCAAGGGCACGGGTTTCACCGTCTACCCATATAAGCCTGGTAACTATAAGACCAGTCAACCGCTTCGTCCAATACTACCGTGCCAAGCTTGTCCGTGATCACCTAGACCAAATACTCGATCTTCCAATCGCGTCCTCTCCGTTCATGAGAAGCGTCCTCTTCGTTAAGATTTCCAGCACGTCGGAAGCCTGTAGATCATGGATGCGCAATGGACGTCGCGATGTTTCGGGAAGCCGTCTCAGCGCAGTGAGCGGGCTTCGGACGAAGGCTGAGAGTTGCACTGGCCGACCGACAAACTTGCCACAATATAGGTAGGTGTGTTGATCCGGCAGTGAACCGGCTCCGAACCGCGTTCACAAGCGTCTTCTCTTTCTGAAAGTGAGTTGCCTGAAGAGTTCTCGAATTCACTTAATTCACGTATTTAGAGAAGTGAACACATGACGCAGCACTTGTCTACACATCTTGCTATTATGCATTATTGCATGCCTTGTACGCAAACAAATCTGTTCGTCTGTTCTCGCGGTATAAACGCATGTCTCAATAACGGTGGGCGTTATATAGAAACCAACAACAATCCTTGCTACAAGTTGTGACTTGCAACACCCTTATTCCGCGCTCCTCTTCAAATGGCATTTGTCCCACCTCGATCAGTCGTACCGCCGGATGCGAGTGATCATGGGAGCTTTCCGCTCCGCTCGCAACAAAAAGCTCCGAGAGGCCTCATCCATCAAGGAGGCCGATCCTGAAACGCGGCAGCCAACGGTCGCAGGCGCAGGGAGATAAAGGTTCGGGAATAGGCCCTCGCACAAATGTTCAGCCGGTTGAGTGATCACCCACATCTCGCATAGAGTTGTCACATGTAAGCTCGAAGCGTGCCCAGACGAATGCGATACCGACATCTCTTGAAGGCCGGCTTGGTCTACGTGGACCGAGTCCCAAAGCCCGCGGATTTTCGAACGAGAGGCGTTTCTAAGGAAACAGAATTGTGCTGGAATTTATCTAGCATATACCTCCACATCTGTTTCTCTTCCTCCTTAGACAATCCTGTTGATTTCCGAATAACACATTTTCGCTGACCTTGCACGAAGGAGGCGTCTGGGATCAGACATTATTTACTGATGCCACAGATGGGCCTTTTCAAAAAATGACACACATAATGATAGCTTTTAACTGAATTCAGAATAAATGGTAGACATGGCGTCTGCATAAAGATGAAAGAAAAAAGACCTGTTCACAATCATCAACGCTTACCTCCTAAAAAAAGACAGGCAATCTTATTGGCCCCCCCCCCCGAACTCTTGATCGGAAAATAAGAGTCACATGAGAAGGACCCTTCTGTCTTCGCATGAATATACTCCCCTCCCGTTTCCCGGGATCCAAGCTCCGGGATTTAATCACCTGCTATGCTTGCTTTTCACTCTCGAACTCCACCTAACGTCCCCGGCCCAGATTCCGGCCCCCCCCCCCTGATTCCGGCCAGTCGTTTTCTGGTGCACTGGCACTATAAGATACCCACTTTTCAATCTTCTATATTAAATCCAAATTAAATCCTACAACCTTAACCCTAAGTTTAAAATAAAGGGTTTTAAATACATTCTTATATTAAAATACTTTAAAAAATGTAGCTTTAACATAATAATTTAAAAATAATTCTTAAACTTAAGTTATAAACAATGTTAAAATTTATATATATAATATAAGAAATTCTTAACAGCTTATATTTTTTAATTCTATATTTATTCTTTTAATAAAATAATTATAATTAAATTTTATTATAAAATATAAAAATTATTTTATATATTTAAAATTTTTATAAAAAAATATTAATAAGTTTATATTTTCCTTATATAAAAGTTTTATAAAAAAAATTAAAAAAGATTATATTTTAAAATATCTTTATAAATATAAGGTTTTTAATATAATGTTTTTAATATTATATTATATATTAATTTATAAATAAATATTTAAAGAAATAAAAATTTTATTTAATTCTATTAAAGAAATATTTACTTAAAAGTAAATGTTAAGGTTTTCATATAAAATATTAAAGATCCTTAATATTTTAAGCATATTATTTTAAAGAATTATTTTAAAAATAATATAATTATAATACATTTTTTTTAATATATATATTATAAATTTACTTTAAAATATTATATTTTAAGCCTAGGATTAGGGTTATGGGATTTAATTTGGATTTATTATAGAAGGTTGAAAAGTGTGAGTTTGTGTGGGAAAGGCGGCCGGAATCGGGGGGCGGCCGGAATCTGGGCCGGGGACGTTAGCCCTGAGCGTAGAATGCTCCCCTGACACCAGATCTCGAGAATCATCAATCCTGCAACTATCATTGGATGGCCCGACTACTCCCTCGAATAGTTGGTCGTTCTCAAGACTGTGATTCATTTCTCAATCGTATTCTGCTCCTACTCCACAGCGAAGTTGCAGCCATCTCAACTCCCGTAAGTATCGAACACATTCTATATTACAGCAGTCTACCTGCTGATACGGGAATTCGCCATCGTAGAACCCAGCTTGAAAGTGTTCCATTGGGCTTGCGAAGGCCACTTGAAGGGACCACTTCGCTTAGTTCACGGGAGAGAAGAGAAATATTTCTGGAGTAACACGTTGGTTTCCGTTTGTCTATATATCGTTCAATTCCATTTGCCTGTTCCTGACCCTATACTTAGGCTCGACGTACTTGAAGCTAGCAGATAGCTAGTCGACAACGTTGGTGAGGATTTTGCAATAGTAGACAGCTCACCCCTCCACAACGAAATTCAATGCGTCAAGTCGCACGCGTGAAGACGAAAGCAAGTTGACACGAGAACTCCAAATTCCCAGGTCGTGTCGCACCGCCTCTCATCCGCCATCATTCCATACCCTTAAAATACAAACGACCGCCTTCTTTCCTTTAGACTCCACCGCAATGCCACAAAGCAAAATTGGATGCCAGACCGTGCGTGACGACCAAAAGACAGGTTCAATACTCCTCATAATCGGTATCACCCGACAAATAAATGCCGCGAAGCTTCCATCTTTTGAACAAATGTAGAGAATAATGTACAATTTCCACCAAACAAGAGATTCATCAATCGAACTCCGCCTTAGTTGCCGACCTTCAGTCGCTTGGGCTCATTGCTGGGCTCGATGGGGTCCGAAGGCGGGCCGTTGCTGCTTATCTCTGGGCTCTTCCTCTTGCCAGTAGTGGAAAGTTCCTCCCTTAGGAAGCTGGGACCTGATCCAACAACGGGCGTTGCGAAGTTGAGTGGACTAGGAAGCGTGTTGCTGTCGTGACCTCGTGCATACATGTCCGGGAAGAACGAACTTGGACTGGGCAGGAACTCATTGTTCATATATCGAGAAGGCAGTGCAGATGCCGGGGTATCAATGTTCATATGATTCTGGTTGTTGGGGTTGGGAGGCCGTGCGAACGGATTTGGTGGCCCAGTCGCGCCGGCCGAGAGCAATGTGGTGGTTGCAGATGGCGAGGGTGGTGGGAGCACGATCCCAGATGAATGCGAGTCCCCAGGCCGCGTTGTTTGGGACGTAGCGTCGGTTGAGTGACCAGGGCCAGCGGAGCTGGACTCTGCAGTATTGCTACCGGCATCTGACGGCTCGTCGGGAATCTGCACCTTGAGACGAGGCCGCGACGCGCCCCCAGTACGCAGACTATTGGTGCGCGAAGGTGGAGTGAAGTCTGCCTCTGGAAGGGAGGATACAGAAACTTGTCGCTTTGGTGGAACTGGACCCGTCTCCGCCCTCTTGGGTGCCTGTGGTGGGGAGGTAGTGTTTCGCAAAGCAGAGGGCATGTCCATTGACTGCGATCGATTGCCATTGGGGTCCGCCTTGCCACTGTGCTCCGCAAAAGCAGCCAGATGCTGGGACAGGACAGAGCGATTCTCATCTATTGGCGTGAAGATGCTGTGTTGTTTTCTTTGAGGCATCTTTTTGATGGCTAAGGCAGTGTCTAGTAGAGGCGCCTGTGGCATAAGTCTGTCACTGGCTTCAGCCTTGGGTTGCACCGGCACTGGCGGGGCTTCTTGGCTCTGGGGTTGCGTCTGAGGGGGAGGTGGCGGCGGCGCTGCGGATCTCTGAGTGCGGAGGTTGCGGTGATGGTTGCGGTGCAGCCTGCGCTGGGAGGCCGTGGGTCTGCTGTGGCGGCGAGAGCGAGTGCCTGACGGGCTGCGGGGGTTGCTGAGGTTGCTGAGGCTGCGGAGGGAAGTTCGGAGGGACAGAGGATTGTCTATGGTGGTTCTCCATATACTGCTGCATGTGAGGCGGAGGAGGAGGGTAAGGATACTGATGACCGGGCTGAGGCATGTTTGGGTTCTGCGGGTTGTAGATGGCCGGCTGAGGAATGTATGCATAACCATTCACCTGTGGGCCTTGGGGAGGCCCGTGAGGGCCTACCTGTTGAGGGACCATGTGAGGAGGTATGCGTCGCATGTCGTTTCGCGAGCCAGGCCGTGAGCCGATTTGTGGCTGAGGGGTGTGTACCCTCTGGATACCCTGTGCAGCATGCTGGGCAAAGGCGACGCCGTTTGGTATGGGCGGAGATGCTGAGGGAGTGTGGTGCCTGATGTGCGGGAAGGGTGGCTGTCCTTGGAAGTGCTGGGGCATCATGGGAGTTCCCATGCGCTCTCCGTGGGGCGGCGTGGCGTCGCCCTCGTCGTCCTCGTCGTCATCCGCGCCACCGTTAAAGTCGGCAGGTCCTTTGTGCTCGTTTGGCCCGCCATGGTAGGTGTATCTTGTGATCAGCTCTCGCATGTCGCCGGACGAGTACTCGTACAGCTTCTTGTTCTGGCCAAAGATGAAGACGGCGACATCTACGGAGCAAAGCACCGAGAGCTCATGTGCCTTCTTGAACAGACCGCCCTTGCGCTTCAGGAAGGTGCTGGAGTAAGGCATATCGTCAGCAGGCGGTCCCATGAGTGAATCGAGTGAACCTGGCTGGCGAGGAGTGGAGTCTTACACAGAGCGGTTTCTATCATCCTTGATGGCCTTGATTTCGATCTTTCTGCGACCCATATTGAAGGGCTTGCGACACTAGGTGTCTAGAGCAGCGATGTAACAGAAGTTGGTGATGACAATAGACAGGACTCTATTTCCAGTGGGTGCGGCCTTGCGGCGCTGGCCGTGCAAGCCAGCTTAGGGTCGAGTCGAAACTAGGCCTGGAGTATATGTGGACAGTGCGCTGGCAAAGACTAATGGGGGAAGGAGCAGGAAGATATGCGAAAAGGTGGAGGAGGATAAAGATAGCTATAGACGGCCGGGTCGAGGGCAGACGGCGAGCTATATTTACTGCTTCGCAGAGGCAGCGGGGACGGGCCGCTGGGTGGCAGGCCTGGCTCCGAGGGAGATCGAGGAGGAAAGGACGAGTCTAGTTGCAGGTGAAGACCATCAGTGGGATGCCGCGACGGATGGATCGCAAGAGCAGTAGGCGGGAGGCAGGGTGAACTCGAAACACAGGGACGATGACGGGCGGCGCAGGCGGGCCTTTTTGAGCGTCCTGGCCGGATGCAGCCACGGCGACGACAAGGCGAAGGAAGCAACAAGGTAAGAGAGTGGCAGGTACGCGGGCAGGAGGATACTTGCAGGTCAGTTGTATGGCAGCCGAGTATTAGCATTAGCATGGACTCGATCGCATGTGTGTGTGCGGTGATGCGATGCGATGGCGTGCAGGTTAATGGGGCTGAACGGTTGATGGTGATGCTAATAATAGAAAGGAGAGAGAGAGAGGTATGGGTGCAGCGCACGAGAGTTGCAGGCGGGCCAGGTTTTAGTTCTCTTGCGGGTTTTGGGGGGTGGTTGGAGACCTGGGTAAGGCTCTGGTTCTGAAGCGGGCAGGTGCGCAGCAGGTGGGCAGGCGAGCAGGGGTGAGGGGGGGGGGACCAGGGACGCGGAACCGTTTTCGGGAGGAGGTGGGAGGGGGAGAAGGAGCATCACTCAGTCCCTGGCAGGATGCCCTTGCACCTGCACCTGCACCTGCCTCGTGGTACTCGGGCTTGTACATGCAATCTCTTGCCTGATAGGCACACAGTGACGGTACTGGCCATGTACCGTACGGGAGACAGACATGACCGAATCTCACCTCACCTCGCCTACTAGCCTCGTCCCCACTGGACTCGGCAGGACGGAGAGGGCAAGGACTCGACTGACCTGACCCGACCTCGATCGACTCGAAGGAGAAGCCCAAGCAGGCAAGCCAGCAGGTCAATCAATCCATCCTTGGTACCTGACCCTGACGTTCGGCTGACGCTAAAATGTTCTTTCAACGTTCCTGCCTCGTGCTGTCTGGACTCAAAGACAGAACCAGTCATGGACCCTTGCCTTTTCCGGAATGAGCATCGCCATTTGACGATTCTCACCCAGACACCAGAAGTGGCCGAAGCTCGACCCGGTTAGGACCGGCAGTTGTTGCTGGAACCCATCCCAGCATGGCGTACTCTGCTAACATGCCCATACACATTTATTGATACGAGAGCACAACTCTCATAACTCTCATGCCAGCATTGCACCTTGCACCTTGCATCTCGCAACGACCAGACAGGCATCGGACAACCAGACGGCTCCGACACTGTGGGCTAAAGTCCGTCCGGCCAACCACAGCGGTCCACATCAAGGCAGTTGAAACACCCCAGAAGCGGTGATCAAGAGAGGGCAAAGTAAAGAAGAAGAAAAAAAAAAAAAACCGGCCTGTGCCAAGGATCATCCGGTGGGCCACTCGAGCTCCAGGGTATTCCCTGATCCCAGCGACGACGCCATCGTCAATCCATGCAGAAGGTGAAGCCCCGTCGCCTGTTAGCCTCCCAGTAGCCTCCCGAGTACCGAGCATCGTATCACCAACCCGTTTTGTCACCACTGATGACCGCTGCAACACTATTAGTTGTCATCTCACTGCATCTTTACAACGACTTTAGTTTCAAGATGATTAACACACCCGTCGCGTTAGATACACTTATCCATTCCTTCGCAACTGAAATGGCCTCACGGCAACGCCGCTATCTGCCAATTGGGACGGCTGCCCCATCCGGATCCGTGACACTCCCGGTTGCAAGGCTCTTGGCATATCGAAACTCTGATCGTCAGAGGCCCGCCCTCGACAATGCAACTGCACGTGGCCAACCAGCAGTCGCTATATACCTAGACCTATACTGTGTAGACTACGCTTTTGCAGCGCCCTGGCCCGCGCCCGCGCTCGCGTCTGTCGGCGTCTGCGCCTGTGCCCCTGCCAGACAGCCCTACGAGCCCGAGCTCGACAGCAATCTGCCGCGACACGACCCCATATGCGGTGGCCAAGAAGTCCGTGAGATTGCTGAGTAGTACAGTACCTGCCCTTGTCACAGCCTTGCAGAGGACGCCCCCACAGATTCACAACGGGCGTCAATGCATCGTACGTGCTCCAGGCGCGCAACGACTCGTTTCCCATCCACGGGTCTCGCCCTGAGCTGACTTAGGCTGATCTGCGGTCAGGTAGACTACATAGTGCTGGCCACGTTGCAGAATCCAATAAGCAGATGCCATGAGCAATCCAGGGAACGCAACGCAAGATTTATTATAGACTACGCTATCCTTTCTGCACGTGGTCGTGACTGCATCCTCGCCTCTGCAAGCCAAAAGCCCCTGTCGGTCCGCTTGAGCAGTCTGCTCGCTCTTCGCCGATATTAAATGCAACGCAAGGGCATCAATATGCAGGAACCACGTCTCATTAGCGACTCTGGACGACATCCGACCTTCTTTGGGCGACCGTGTGACCGGGGCAGGGGCAGGTCATGGAGCTGCTTGTTGTGGTCCGGCGGATGGGGTGAACACGCAGGTCAGGGCAGCCTCGCCTTACGGTACGTGGTACAGAGGCCAATTCCGCGAGGTGTGTAAGCTTGGCACCCACTGGTCAATGGCGTCTGACTCCGTGCAGCTCCCCACCCGCACGCACGCCTGATCATCTGCACAATGATCCAAAATTGGGGCTGTGAGTGCTGCCCTGAATCTCGTCAGATTTGCGAAATCTAAGCGGGCTATGGAGATTCATCCCCGGGTAGGGCAAGCCTTGGCCGATAGCTTCGTGCCGTGCCTATGCCTTTTCTGCCTCCGCCTCCGGCATCGTGCTACATATGTCTTACCCACGGCCCGAAATAACTTTGACTGTACTGCGCGATCTCTTGAGGCTCTGAGGCTCTTTCTCGAGTCGCACATATGTCTCTCGCGCCGCAATGCCGGCTACGGACTTTCTCGAGAGCCGTCGAGGAGCAAGGGGAAGCTTTAGAAGGTTTCACCCTCGCACGTCGACACTGTCGGAGCTGTCATCGAGTCAGACCTCAAACCACCATCCCGGCCCCGTCGAACCCAACAAGCTAGTTGGGACAGGGTTCCCGAGTCGTCGTGATGCAGCGATGCGAGCGTTCCACGGCACGACCGACCAGATTTGTCGCGACGAATAACGATGCGCTACCTGCCAAAAGCACCAACTAATGCATTAGGATATCAACGACGACACGAAAGCCATCACCGATGGCCCACTGCGCATCCACGGCACGACGGGTGATCCTACGGAACCACCCAAGCTCGGACCTATCAACCCCCACCCACCCCTTGCGCACCCCTGCCTCTTGGCTCCTCAAAATCTTGCGTGCATTCTGCACGGGAGTGGGGTCGCTAGCTAAGCGCCCGGCGGCTATCAGTGAAAAATAGATATTTTTAGAAGTCCATCTTCAGCCTCCTTCCCCAATGACGGGCCCGTTTCGCCAGCCACACGACACACCATGCAAGGGCATCAGGAGATCAAAAACTTCCGAGTTTGACGCTGCTGGCGTGCTGGCACGGAGACAAACTCGGGGCACTCGCCTATGATCTCGTGGAGGGCTCGCGACCGACGGGTGCTCGAGGCCCTCGAGACTCTCCGGTCCGTCCTACCCCACCGGCTTACTGCTCCAATCCCACCCGTTCCTCCGAGTTTGCGTCCACTTACAGAGCTACGCCGGCACCATGGTGCGTCGCACTTGTCGAATTGAGGGTTGCGATCCTTCGCTGAGGAAGGATCAAATTGGACTCGAACATGGTGGACTCGAACATGGTGGACGACACCACCAATACCGAGAACCTAGGGGGTTCTCACCTAGGGACGGTCCTCGCACGGGATAGCGGCGGCAATCGAACACACTAGCTGGCTAAGTGTACGGGTGATTATTTTGGCCCGCACCACTTTCCTCAAGGTGATGCTCGCCAGTACCCCAATATCAGACGCATTAATTACATGCTCACTGACAGGAGAAGGGGGGCTGGAGCCCACCTCGAGCCCGTGTCGCTCAAATCTGGCTTTCGAAACTTGATCGTAGCCTGAATTGATAGCCTGCCATTTTCTATGCTGGCCTGCCCCCTCGGTTACCTGCAACCCTGCAGCCCTATATGCCATCGGTCTGTGCGACGACCGTTCAGCTGATATTCCGGGCCTGGGAGGTGGCGCTCTCTGTGCATTGCTGTCTGGTCTCTCTCTACCAGCGACATCTGAACCGAGTCAGTGATAGATCAGATCACCGCGCGATGAACGCAACAGCCATGCCAAACCAGCCAAGCCATTCTATTTGGAGGCACGCAACTTCGGATGGTTATCTCTGGGCGCGCACACCGTACGACTGAAGAGCAAGCATCTTGTCTTCTCCACCCCGCTTGCAGCCTCTTGGGCATCTCGCCCGCAACGAATACACGTATCCAGCAAGAGCATGAAGCCTCTGTCTCATTTTGATATGAAACAGCGGCACAGGCAGGAAGTGGGCTGAGGTACAGCCTCGTCGGACTCTGTATCTCGCCTCCGCACCACGTGCACCCGACCTCCCCTCTGGCCAGGCGTGCTGTGCCTGTTGTGCCTGTGTTCCCTTCCCCCCCACCCAACCACCCTCCATAGATCAACACATGCTCCGTCATACACACTACGCCGCCGATGTTTCGAAACAAACCAGTAGGGCTGAGCCGCACCCCATTCATTCATCCATCCATCCACCCATCCGCCTACCCATCCTTCCTTCCTCCCTCCCCTCCCAGCTGGCCCGGCCCATCGTCTGGCCCGCGGAACGCGCAGACCCAGTTGTCGGTGGTTCGCGGACGCGGGCAGAGGATGCGCAAAATTTGAACTAAAACTATCCTGCCAGGGCCCGTCTTACAGCCCATCACTCCTGACCTGCGCAGGCGAGGCGACCAGCCGATCACTCACGTAATACGCCTGGCGGCACCGTGGGCCGCGCACAAGCGCACACACGCGCAGCAACGTCCATGCCTGTGCCGCTTCTCTCCTCACTGCACCAGCAGGTGTTCTCTCCATCTCTGGGCCGCCGCTGCGAGCAGGACATTAAAGTTACGCGGCCGTCGTCCCCTCGCAGGGACCTTACAGACAGACCTACTTGGCGCTGAAGCGCGCAGATAATCATGAAGAAAACTAGTGCAGGCACGGAAGCTTGCACTGTATGCTTCACGGTGTTTTCGCCGATCTTCCTGCAGTGTACGGACTTCACCCCACAGGATGGAAGTCGGTTTATCCCAAAGAAGGTTCACACTCACTAAGACACATACACACACGTCAACCTACAGGATTCCGGAGAACCGCAGGTAGGGTGGTGGTCCAGGTGGCCTGCCTCATCTCCCCCTAAGCACACCACCACCACACCACTGAAACCATGGCCACACCCACGCCCACTCGCCCACTACCCGCCGCGCCAGCTGGACGAATCATCGTCACGATCACCACCACGAAGGCGTCTCTCACACATTGCACCACAGTTGCACTCACTTCACAGATAAAAGCGAGAGAGGTGGGTGTAAGTATAGCATTAATCTCAACTTGGATGTAACACCACCCCCTTTGTCCCCGCCATCCCATCCCCCGCATGTCAACTCCCAGAAACTGCATGTTTCTAAACATAAACACACACGCGAGGCGGGAAACCGCAGGATTCTGCTTTGCAGTGTTTTCCTCATCCCCCTCACCCCACCTCTCCCCTTGAACTTTTTCAAGCCTCACCATACGTACCCGTCGTGTCGTCACCGCCGACCTTGTTGGCCATGGTGCCGTTGAGCATCGGACAAAGCTTCTTGTTCGTCTTGATGTGCCCGACCTGGCCGCAGTTGGCACACTTGCGCGTGGTTCCGCTCTTCTCGATCGAGGGCTCCGGCGACAGGCCCGAGCCGCCCCCGCCCCCGCCGGCGCCCCCGCCCCCGGCGCTCGCGGCTCCGCTGGCGCCGGAGAGGCTAGCTCGGGCGCCACCCTTCTGCTTCTCCCGCTGCTGCCGGCGCTCCCTGTTCTTCTTGAGGCGTAGCTCCTCCTGCTCAAGCTTGCTCCTGATCACTCGGTCTCTCTCCTCGTCGCCGGTCCACTGGATGTTGTAGACATCGATGTCAGCCTCTTCCAGTTCCCTCCTGGCCTTGGTGTACTGCGCGATGACACCAGCATCCTCGATGATCTCTTCCACCTGCTTTTCCGTGCCGTCAGGGGCCTTGACCGTCCTGACGATCCGCAGCTTCCGCTTCGCGTTGCGAGCACTAATGGCGCTGCGGCTGACCTGGCTTACGCCCTCGTCGAAGCGGGGAGTAGCAGCGACTTGCGGCTGGGCGTACAAGCGGTCATCCTCGTCATCCTGGGGCTGGACATCCGCATCGTCGTGGACGGCTGCCTCGCTCAGCGTCTCCTTCTGCTTGCCCCAGATGTCCGCGATAACTTCGGCGTAGGCATCATTCTGCTTCTTCACATTGTATGAATGTCCGCCGTTGGCTTTGCGCTCTCGCTCGAGGGCATCTGCCGACGTAGACTGCGGGCCTTGCTCATGATAGACATTGAGGAAACCACCTTTCATCGAAGTTCTGATAAAACTGAAACCGAGACCTCTGCCTGTCGGGTCGCCCTCGCCGCGAAGTTTCAGCATTGCTTTTCCAGTCGTAGCGTCGATGAAGGCTTTCGATGTGTTCCATGGTGTCAAGTGCACGGCTAAGCTTTCGCCCTCGCCAGCTTCCTTGTCAGGATTCAGCGCATCAACGGCAAACCCAGACTTCTCAACTTCGTATGTTCCGACTTGCATGGCATCCATAAGGCACACATCCTCGGGTTGCACCATCGAGTTGATCGTCTCCGGGTCCATGAGTCTCTCTCCGTCTTTCAGAGTCCAGTGCCTGGCCTCTTTGTTGAATGACAGGAACTCTTTCAATTTTTGTCGATTTTGTGCATCGTTCGAGTCCTTGACGTGGGTTGTGATATCATTGAGAGCCACATGACCCTTCTTCATTATCAAACGGTATGACAGCATCTTGAGACGATTCTTGCTTGTGTTGGTGACTTTCCGACTATGAGGGCCGGGTACCTCGACGGATGGGAAGTTCTGGCCGACAATGTACAGATGATCGATCCTGCGCATGTAGTATTGACTGCCTTCCTTCGCATTTGTGATACGCCCGATGAGAAAGTCGGTCTTTCTGGGCTCATGCTTGAAGATCGGCGCTCGGTACATCTGGTTTTGTAAGGTGGGCACTGTCTCCCCCTTGTTGACATCTCCAAAATTGGCGAACGGAGACCGATCTTCGGGCAGCAGGACCTTGGTCTCGCCAATGGATGGCTTTTCAGCCGGTTTCTCCTCTGCATCATGGTTGACGCGGAAATAGTTGACGACTTTGTTGCCCATGCCGAAATTTGACAAGACGGTCGGGATTTCTTCGCAGTATTCGAAGAGCACAGCAGTCGAGTTATCGTTGAGACTCACGTCTCTCGACTCCTTGTAAATGTCGCCCACCCTTTGGTTCTTAAACTCTCTCCGCTTGAACCACCGCGGCTTGATCCAGCCCAGCGACCTGCCGATCTGTTTGAGTACCCGGAATGGGGGTCGGTGATAGCTAAATGCACTCGGATCGCCGAGTTTGACCTGATAGTATGGCCATAGGAGCTTGCGAGCTGGAGTGCTGTGCTCGACTTGAATCCCACCCAGTGTCGCCCTGACCTTGTCCCGCACGTTCTCCTTGAGAGCCTCGTACGCATCGTCATTCGACACGTTGAACCGCTGAGTGATGTCTTGGGCCATCTTGCCGTCAGCCATTCGCTTCATCTTCTGGTTCGTCTTGGGTCGCTTTGCAGGCCGCTCTGTCTCCATATCGTCGATCAGAAGATATGGATCATTCATGTCCAGGCGCACACGCTTCGCGCTTCTTGCCGTCGCCTCCTCGAAGTTGTCAAACGACGGGGCTACGAATCGAGAGATCTCAGGGAGACCAGGAAGATGAGTGACCTTGCGTCTCTTAGGAGCAGGGCGGTCGATACCCATCTCCAGGAACCAATCATCGTCTTCTTCAGCAACAGCAGGCCCAGGCGAATCGTGACCGAGCCGTAGGATAGGAGGATCAATAATGTCATCCCAGTCCTCGCAGACTGTCTCGATATCACGCAAAGTGAAACCGCCGACAAGCTCTATCTCAGAATCTGGGTCATCCGCTTTGAATATCTCAAGCTCGATGGGGTCAACAGGCTCCGGAACAAGCAAGGAAATCAATCCGTTCTTCTCGGCAGTCTGTATCTTTTGAAGGGTCGTCTGCGAGGCGGGCCCGGGGACCCTAAACTGCTTCTCTTGATCGACGTCGAGATCCAAACTGAGCTTTGTAGGTATGAGAGGTTTGGGGTTCCTGGGAGGTTTCTTGTCGACCCAGTTGGCCTTCCTCGGGGGGAAGAGCTCGTTGAAGTTGAGAATCTTGCCTCTCTCGAAGTCCGGGAAGGTCTGCTTCAAGAGGTCGAGCACGTTCTCGGGGGCGGCGGGAATGGAAGGATCCTGGTTGGCCATAGGGTAGCTAGGCTCGGGGTCGAAGTTGAGAGCCCGCAGATCGGCCAGGTCGTCCCCGCCGGTCATCTCAATGTCCTGCTGGTCAGCGTCCGCGATCGCAGCTCCTGGTGACAGGGCGGGCTCGCCGACTAAGGGCGAGGATTCCCGGCCATCGCCAAACAGGTCATCGTCGTTATCGTTGCTGGTACCGCCATCGCTGGTGAGGGCAGGGGGTTGCTCGGAGCCGCCGTTGACAGCTTCCTCCTCATCGGGAAGATCATCGTCACTGATATCTTCAAAGTCGAGCGCATCGTCGGCTTTGTTCGTCTGATCGATAGGTCCTTCGAGGGAAAAGTCTTGTTGGGCTTGGGCGGGATCAGCGGCGAACAAACTCCTTATTGCGTTCTCGTCGTCCTTCTCCTGTGTCGCCCAGTCGATCTCATCTGCCAGGGGCGAAGCAGACTCGCGCTTAACCTCGTCGTCGGTCGCCATGGTGGAGATCTGTGGGCAGGTCGGGACGAACAAGCCGGGGTGGCGTGAAAGTGAGGGGCTCAGGTATGTTGACGGTGCTGCGGCGGCCTCCAACAACACCTCGCAACGTCGCGTCGCGCGTCGCGGCAGAGGCTCAGGTCATGCCAGTGGGTCGAAGCAGTGAAGTCGCCGACGAAAAGAGTTGATGGATGTTGCGCGCAGCGAAAGAGTGAATGTCGCGGTCGGATCGCCTCGAGCCGAGTTTGGTTTTCGATTCGGGCGTATCGGGAAGAAGGGGGCTGCGACGTGGGGGATTCGACGAGGAAGCTGTTCCGTCGCTCGCCGCTCGTCGCTCGTCGCTCGCCGTTTGTCGCTGAGGCGAAGTTTGCGTCGTGTGAAGGGAAAGAATGTTGCAAAGTTGGCTGCACTTCCTTCGCTCGCGGCCAAAGTGGGAACCTTGGGGGAAGTTGTAGTCGGCCCAGCGTGACACCTGAGATGCAGGTGCCTCCGCCGGTGCGAGAGAGCCGCATTTGATTGAGGAGCAAGGAGCTAAAATGAGTGGGTACGTACCGAGAGTGGAGCGACGTGGAGGTGCACGGGCCATCCACGCCAAGAGGTCCGTTAGCACACTAGAGTCGGCGGCTCTGTTTCCCTCACCCTGCATCTTGAAAACATGGGGAATGAGCGAGGCAGATCTCGGCTGCTGCTGCTGCAAACAAACGTTTCTCTAGTCTGTCCGAGTGACTTGGATTTACGGCCCTGCGATCCTTGATTAGCAGTACCGGTATCCTCCACTCTGGAAACGCGCGTCACTCATCGCACAAAAGGATATGCGCCGGACGTGGTTATTAAAGATGAGCGTGCTCACAACTGAAAGCGAACATCGCACTCGGCCCTGTGGGATCAAGAGCGCGGCTATTCTGGGGGCTGTCTCAACAGACTGAGTGGCTTCTTGTTGCCCTTCACTCAGCCGCTGAATGCCGCAGTACGGAGGCCGGTGTCATCGTGCCTCAGAATTTGCTAACATGGCTGTCATCGGACAAACACAAGTCCGCCAAAGTCACCCAGACCGACCTCGCTGCAGATGGCTCGGCAGGGACATCAACTTCCTAAAGCACCATAAGCAGAAGACGCAATGTTTCCGTGCACTCATAAATAATTCCAGACATAGATGGCTTGTACCCAGGTAGGTGAGCGGCCGGCTGCGATAGTGTTGGACACCTGCAAAACGTAAAATCTAAGGCACCTGCCACCTTCATGAACTACCTATGTCCGTACCGGTGTTTTGTGGACTCAAACAAATGGAGGAATGGAACGCATTGGCCTGTCAGCAACACCAACATTCTGTGACGTGATGCGGAATTGTCATTGCCCGTCTGTTGCCGCCTCAGCATCGGTCTAATACGCGCTTATCATGTGGAGATGACTCCCGAGGCCGATATCGTCGTCCTGGGACTGACTTGCAAAAGACCTTCCGGCATCGAATGGCCCTTCATGCTCGTGAGCAACTCCTCGCACGTGCATCAACAACACTACAACAATATCGGCACCGCAAGTCCTAGACAATTATCCGTCCCGTGGAAGTAGAGGATTTCCTTGAAGCTTTGAGTCATTCAGCCTCAGCGAGCCCAGTTACCGGTAGATGACCATCTTCCACCCCGTTCAGCAGAACAAGATACTAACTGGAGTCAGTAGGCAGTTATTCACTCGCGTGAACATCTCGTCATGTCGGCACCCCCGTCCAAGACCGCTCTCCAAGAGCGCTTTGTGGGGAAGACCCTCCACGAGGTTCCGACCCCGAGCATTGTCCTTGACCTCGCCAAGCTCGAGGTCAACTGCCAGCGGATGATTGACGCCGCCGACAAGAACGGCATTGGATGGCGAGCTCATATCAAGACTCACAAGGTCAGTCGCTTATGCCATCCTTCTCGACATTGACTGTGGCTGGGTGAGCTCCTCTCGAACACCAGAACGGCTGACCGGTTCCTGCACAGACGGAGGAGCTCACAAGGCTTCAAGTCGGCGAGAACTCCAACACGCCTGCCAATATTATCGTCTCGACCGTTCTTGAGGCAGAGAATATCGCCTCCGTGTTGAAGGATTTTCAGAACAAGGGGCGTAAGGTAAACGTGAGTATCCACCACAGAAAGAACTCTCTGTATGTGAACTCGTCGGCCTAACTCCTCGGAGGTTCTCTACGCGTTCCCCCTGTACCCATCCGCGGTCTCCCGCCTCGCCGCCATCTCCAAGGACTTGGGACCCGACTCAGTCTCCGTCATGATCGACAACCCAGACCAGGTCCCGCTCCTGGCCACCCTCAAGTCCCAGTCCGGGGGTAACAAGCCGCTCGTTTTCCTCAAGATCGACGTCAAATACAACCGCGCGGGCACCATCCCTGGCACTCCGACCTACCAGTCCCTCCTCAAGGCGATCCTCTCATCCGAGGCGGAAGGCTCCTGCGTCGTCCACGGGCTGTACGCCCACGCGGGGCAGTCATATTACACCCGCAAGGACTGGGACGCACTGATGTACCTGACGGACGAGTTCGTGACCTTGAGCAACGTGGCAAAGGATATCCGCGCCCAGAGCCCCAGCCACCAACTCGTGCTGTCCGTCGGCGCCACGCCGACGGCGACGGCGCTGCAGCACCCAGACCTCACCACAGGAGGAGCAGGAGGAGCAGGGAGCGGCAGCAACAAGGAAGCCGGGGCTCGCGTGGCCAACTTGTCGTCCCTGATCACCGCGCTCAAGGGCGACGGCCTCGGCCTCGAGGTCCACGCGGGAGTCTACCCGGCCCTGGACCTGCAGCAGCTCGCGACCCACGCCCGCGACGGCTCGCTGCTGAGCAGCGGCGACATCGCCATCACGATCGTGGCGGAGGTGGCGTCCCTGTACGAGGGCCGCGGGCAGGGCGGGTCCACTGAGGCGCTCGTCAACGCCGGCTCGCTGGCCCTCGGGCGCGAGCCCTGCAAGGAGGACGGCGAGGGCCACTACGCCGGCTGGGGGGTCGTGGCCCCTTGGGGGGAGGCGGGGCTCGAGAAGTCGGACCCGGCTCCTAGGGACTTCCCTGCGGTGCATCGGGGCTGGCAGGTTGGCAAGATCAGCCAGGAGCACGGCATTCTCGCGTGGAAAGGGGCGAGGGAGGCCGAGGTGCCGCTGAAGTTTGGACAGAGGGTGAGGATCTGGCCGAATCACGCGTGTATCGCTGGTGCTGGGTACGATCACTATCTGGTGGTTGACAGCAGGAGAACAGGGAAGGAGGACGAGGTGGTAGACGTATGGCAAAGGTGGAACGGATGGTGAAAAGTAACCGCCGACAGTAGATTTAGATTAATGTTTGATTTTTTTGTACAAGCAGCTAGCTTTCCGAAAAGCTGCCCTACCCAGCTTTTGATCCTGCCACCGGCCAGCAGACCATCTGCCAACTCCAGACGCCCATCCATTCTGGACCGCCGCGCATTCCCAAATTTGACAGCAAAACCCTCGCACCAACCGCTTTTTTCGCCACGTATGGAAGATGCACTACTTGCAGCGCTTCTCAACGACACTAGGCCCGATCTCCTCCCACTCCTTACGTGAGATCCACATCTGGTGGAAACTTCCAAGGCTGCCCAGGATGCTTCCACCGACCCAGGCACCGAAACGGCGCTCGCTCGTCAGCCCTGCCGCGTGCAGCTTGATCTTCATGCCAGGGTACATTTGGTTGAGCTCGTTGTTCAACCTGTCGTTGAACCCATTCAATAGGCTTGTGGCCCCGGTCACAACTATGTTGCCTAGGAGGTGAGGCCTCAAGTCCACATCCACCAGATCCAGGCTCTGCTTGATCAGTCCAGGTAACGTCTGGCTCTTGGCAAGGCGGTATTGCTCGTCCGTAATGTGGTACGCCGCTGTCTCGTCCCACATGCCCTCCGCGACCTTGAACCGCTGCTCGCGCCACATCTGGTTGTAGCCGTCGGGCATCTCAAACACACGTCCTGGTTGCGACTTGATGAAGTCCTCGTTTCCGGGGGTAGTGTAGCGCCCGGGGCCCTTCCACACCTCGACCACAGACTCCTTGAACTCATTCAACAGTCGTTCCTCCTCGTAGCGGCGGAAAGAGTCGTGGATCGGGAAGGGGAAGTTCTTGAGCCTCGCGTTCGGCGGTTGCTGAGCATCCACCTGGGTCTTGTTCTCAATCATGAATGTGGGAACAGTGTCGATCTTCGGCTCGTTGGTCTCCCACATAGTACGGATCTGCTGGGACAGCCATAGGCCACCTGCGGAAGACTGAACAGCCGACTTCTTCAATGCCATACCATCATGCACTGCCGTGACAGAGGTGTTCGCTCCACCAACTTCGATCACCAGAGCCGTTGCCTTCCCTGCCGCGAAGGCTGAAAGAACGGGCGTCCTACTAAGCCACGCGGCTGGTGTCCCAAAGGTGTCGAACAGAACCTGCATAGACGTCTCCCGCTTCTTAGCTGGGTTGGTCGCCGGTTCCGTTAGCAGGATCGGATTCTCGTACAGCGCCTTCTCCTGCAGTTCCTGGTTTTCAATTTCTCCCATCGCGACATCGCCTTCGCCATCCTTGTTCCCATCGTTCAGACCGTTCTTCGAAGCCGGTGTTGGTTGCGTCGGGTTCAGTCGGTGGACGAGCATGTTCTCCCAGAGGTAAGGTGCGATATCCCAGTTCTCCACTTCCGACTTCGTATTCATGTAGTTCTGGAGCTCCAGGCCCTCGCGGGGGCGTATGCACTCGTCGCCGTACTGCAGCTTCCCGTTGATGCGGCTGTAGAAGGATGGCAGGACGCACTTGGGGACATCCTCGCCCGCAAAGCCGGCGCGTGTGTGGCAGTAGCCGGGGTCGAGCACGAGGGCAGAGATCTCATCTGTGATGCAGCAATGTCATTGTTAGGCGGTTGAATGGAACAGCGGGGATTGCGCCATGCGCAAAGGTCACCCACCACCGCCGTAGACGTCAGCCGGCTGCTGCGACGAGGAGAGTGGCTGTTGAGAAGCCATTGTGACTGTCGCGAATCGATCGCGTCGATATGAGAAACCTTGCTTGATTTGAACTGGTTCAATGAGATCGGGATCAGGCACGTCGCGTTGCGGTGTGTTCCTTCTGCCGTGTTTGCATTTGGTGGATTGATGGAATCGGTTGGAAGCTCCAACACCCATCGAAAAAGCTCCATTGGCAAGCTTATTGGAAGCCATGAGGCGCGAGGTCAAGACCCTAACCCAGCCAGAGTCACCACCAAACGGGAGGGGCTGGGGCCCCAATCCCGTTTCCTTACCCAGCACACCTAGAGATTCTCTGGCCAACTTCTGGCACCCAAACGAAAGGCAGCCTTTACTTGGCACATTGCCATTTCAAATCTTGGCAGCTCCAACGTGACCTTTCAAGAACATCCAATATCTACTCTTTTTAGATTCCACACTGCCCATTTGCATCTAAGCAAACCATTGCGCGGGCGCCATGTTTTGATGGTGGCATCATTTTCAGGTTAGGCCAAAGCCAACTGCATTTGAATCAAAAATCCCCAGGAAATCAGTCCTTTTACCTAAGGCCCAGAAGAAGTGAGAGGCTTCTGAGATGGAAACCATCCACGGTCTCACCTTATCTACGAGTCTTCGTACCACTGCCAAAGGCGCCTGGGGTTGTCCACAAAGAGCCTCTGAATCTGAGCATCACTCCCAGCCCGGTCCTTCGTGATCTCGACCAGGGCAGCATCGTTGATAACCTGGAAGTCCTGCTCTTTCAGGCGTCCCCCAATCGGGTCATTGCCCTCCTTGCTCTTGGTGTGCGGCCAGTCACTCCCATACACAACCATGTCCGGACCGGCATTTATGAGAGTCTCAGCCACAGCGCGCATGTCCTCGTAGAGCGGCGCCTGGTTAGAGTCCCTGTAAGGCCCTGAGATCTTGACGAACATGATTTTATTCTGGACGAGGTCGATCAACTCCCGGAAGCCTGGTGTTCGGTATGGATCATATGTGTTCATGCTCACGTTGGTCTTGGACCCGACCAGGGTGTGCCCGAAGTGGTCGAAGGCGAAGGTGACGCCGGAGTCAATAATGTAGTCGTGCAGGTACACCAGGGAGGAAAGCGGCGTGTAAAGCTGCACAACCCAGTCCATCTGTTTCGCCACGACTGTATTCTTGTGAACAATCTCGGAAACCTCTGTGCTGTTTTGACTATCAAGGTTCACTCGCACTAAAATGTCTTGTTAGTTGCTGGAAGAACGTATCTTTTGACTACTTCAATCGTGCCAAGAAAATTTCTGTGCGGCTGGATGTAGGCCTGAATAAGCATATAGGAATTCTGTGACAATGGGTGTAGTAAAAGCGACTCAAGACACGCGGTCTACTTACAGCCCCGAACGCCAGCCTCTTGAAACATGGCAAGAGTCGCGTTGGCAATACTATCCGGGTCAATGACGGCCACACCGCGGTATGAACCATTGAACTTGCATAGGGCATCGATAAGAATTGAGTTGTTGGTGCCATACACGCTGGGCAATACAATGCAAGCGTGGTCGATACCGAGGCCGGTCTCAAAATCCGTCGCATTGGTAATGGTAACATACCGGTTTCATATTCACATCGAAGAGGGCGAAGCTCGAATCGGGAGAATCTCTGTAGCGTCTCACGTCGATGCGGATTGGAGCGGTCACGCCGAGGAGCTCGGCGGCTCGCTCCGACTCTCTCAGCACCCTGTCACGTTGATTCGTCAGTAAAACAAGGTTCAAAAGGGCTGGTCGGCCTGGAGAGGCAAAGGGTGACGGACTGGGCACATATCGGGTCCTTGTCACAATCAGGCACGACCCTGGAGTTGGCCGTGACAGCGACGGTGCCATTATACGGCGCAATGCCGTAATGATGATTGAAGCGCGAGACCAGAGGCAGCGCCCAGTATCCCTTCTCCGCGTTGGGTGGCATGACCGTGACCGTGGCCTCCTCGCCCTGGAGGAACTCCTCCAGCATCACGGCCGCGTCGTCGTCAGCGAGACTCTTAGCATGCGCCGCCAGCTCCTCCGGACTCCGGCACACCTTGCCGCCGTGGCTCCCTCGGCCGCGGATCGGCTTCGCCACGACGGGGAAAGGCAGTTCTCTGAAGGCGTCGGCGTTTGGGATGGACCCGGCGGGTATGTCCCAGGAGCGTGGCATTGTGAAACCGCCCGATTTCCGCAGGAGGGTGTTCACCCAGTCCTTGTTGTCGTATGGATCAACGCACAATGGGCTCTGGCCAATAACACGGAGTCTTTCAGCGTGCTTTCCTATCGATGCCGAGATCTGCAAGGGATGTGAGGCAAACACGATGGTATTGGCCCATAAGTGAGTCGCCCCTTTATCGATGGCTTCCAGTATTCCGTCTTCTGTATCTGGAAAGCTCCAGTCGCCATCGTTGGTGGGATTGGGATTAATCGTTGGAGTGATGACATCGAGGTTCTTCTTCTGACCCAGATTGTATGCAATATCAGCCCCGGAATCCTTATAGCCTGCAGGGATAAAACAAAGCTAGTCACAGCAGGGAGACAATAAGGCATGGGTTGGCTACAGCTTACGAACCCGAGCCGTTGGGCTTCTTGGGTTTCTTAATGCCGTCGATAACGGGTGGGTCAAGGGCTTGATATAACACAGCAACCCTGGAACTTAACAATAAGGCTGGCTTTCTCCCAGGGAAAGAATTACTATAGCGAGTGAAAAGCTTTCGAGTAAACCGAAAGAGATGCGACGCGTCGGTCGTCAACGACGGTTCCGACCGGCGGACGGCCTGGCCCCACCAACGGGGTAAAGCCGATGAGATGCGTCATGAGCCTCATGCGCCCAGGGAGGCCTTCCGGAATATGAATTCCCTAGGAAAGACTTGGGAATATGGAACCATTAGCAAATTTGTGTGCCAAAGAACAACTCAAAAATGTTCACTGTGGGAAGAATCCTGGTAACACTTTCACATTTCGCTTTGAAATATTGTGGATGCGTTCTCATTGTGAGTACGTTCTGTGTGTCGGTCACAGGGTAAGCTCAACGAAACCATTTCAGAGACACACATACGCTCAAGCGGTGATGAAAGTATCCCGATTTCTCCATGTCTGAAGTAGGCGCGAGCCTACAATTCCATTCCACTCTATAAAGGGGGATATGCAGTACTGTTGTCGTCAAAATTAAATCCCTCGCCAATCCAGTCCAAGTCAAACCACGAGCTCATGTCCCCAAGCTCAGTGAGGAAGAACTCGGGCTCGACCAGGCTGAAGCCTCCAACATCGTCGAAGACGTCTGCCTGGTTCACTGCAGTGGTGCTATCGGCCACGGCACCGTCCTGAGCCAGCGACACGAGGGAAGCGCCGACCGCGATCTCAGTGCGCCGCTCCGCCTGCGCCTCCTTCCACGAGTTCCACGACGATGAGGTCAGCGCGACCAGCCTGTCGAACTTCTCCACCGCGTCGGCGGCCACGCTCCACGCCTTACCAAGGACCTTGAGGAGGGCCGAGCACGCGGAAGCGATGCGGTTGAACTCGTCCATCGAGGTCCCCTCCTTGACCGCGGCGTTGACCCAGAGGCAGTAGAGGAAGGTGATGCCGCTGACGAAGATGGTGTGGGCCGTCAGCCAGGTGTGCGGCAGCTTGGAGAAGCGGTGCATGTCCGAGTGGATGAGGATCGTCTGCGACGCGCTGTCGTAGCACGCCCGCCACGACTCGGCGCGCGGCCGCGGCGTGGCGGGCGAGGGCCGGTGCAGGAGCATCAGGCAATGGTGGTACTTGAGCTCGAGTCTCTGCGCGATGCCGTCGGCGCTGCGCCGGCGGGATCGCCATCTTAGGTCGTTGCTTAGGCTCTCGAACAGCTCGTCGCAGCGTTTGTGACATTTTTCTTGCCACTCGGTGACGTCTGTTGGCCACGGGAATACATCTGGCTTATTCACAACGCGGTAGAGCATCAGCTTGATCTCTGCCGTGATCTGGTCAAATCGGAAGGAGTAATGTGCTGCCTTGTAGGGTGACGTCTGAACTCGCATCCGTTTAGCTGAATTCAAAGAAGACTCCAGCCCCGTCAAACTTTCACCAGTTGTATCACTCTCGATCCCAGGAAATTGCACGTCGACTGCCTCATCACGCAATGTAAGTGGCCGGCCAAGAACGACCGCCAATCTCCTCTCGATGGAGTAGGCCGACCAGAATATTGCTCGTCGAAGATCTCTGCGGACCTGATATTGGCTGAGTGCCTCTGGGGACGCGTTTTGTGGTGGCGGCTCTTGCCATCGCCTTTGGAAGCCCAGATCAAGACAGGTCGTGATGATGTTCTGGCTCAGGAACCAGGCGTTAGGCCCATGTTCGAAACAAAACCCCGACAAGGTCAACAAGAGCATCGTCTGCAGACCCTCGAGGCTATCATGCAGCGCAAGTCGGTCTAGTCGGGACATGGCCGTCGCCAGATACCGAGCGGACTCAAATTCGGACAAGAGACGTGCCTCAAGGATGCGCGCACCTAACGCGACGACGAGGAACAGCTGGACCGCATGGAATGGAGACAGAGAAGCTTCAATATCACGCAGCTGAGGCATCTGGAGGGAGTTGGCAGCGGGAGCTTGTCGGGTGAACAAGACGTCAAGGCTTCCTACAATATCATCTTCGTTGAGGAATGGATACAGCGGCTGCCACGTCTCGAAGTAGGCATCGATGAAGTGTTGCAGGTCCACTTCTGGGGTCCAGTCCGGAGGCAACGGCAGGGCCGGCTTCAAGGCGGCTCTCGTCGAGCTTTCAGTCACATTTTGCTGTGGCGAGTTCCAGGAGGCCGTCGACAGCCCTTGAGACTGAGGAATAGCTGCAAAGATCAGGCGCGCAAACGACACGCCCGAAGATGGTCCAATATATTTGGGCTCGGTGGCGTTGGCAAGTGAGAGCAAGCCGACCTCATGGGCAAGCGGCTCACTTGGTCCAATCTGTGTCGACGGACTGGCCGCGGCAGTGGACCCGATATTCTCACTCTGCGTTCGCGAAAGGCTGTGGGAGTGCGAATGGCTTCGCACCGAGCCCTGCGTCAGGTCTGGGACTGCACTCGCGGGCTGAAACCGGGAGTCCTGATGCGAAGATCCCGGGATGCTCCCGTGCCGAGAGCTCTCTGTTACCTGAGGAGCTTTCTCCAGCTCCTCGGGTGCTATCCGACGAAGCGACTCCTCGAGCGCCCGCAGACGTGCCTCGGTCTGTGTGATATAGCTATGCCATTGGTCAGTTCTTGTATATCGGGTTCAATAGCAGGCCGCATCGCTCAACGAGACGGATTCAATGGCACATCCTTCTAGACCTCCTGATGGAGACGGCACAAGTACGTTGAAGGACACGTACCTGATGGCATCTGGGTTATTCCCGAGATTCGCTCGGATGCACGGCTGCCCAGCCTTAGCACAATTCAAGCACGATGGTGTTTCGTCATCGCATTTGATCTTCTGTGAGCGGCACCGGGCACAAGCCGTGCCCTTCCTTCGACCGCCACCAGGTTGCGGCTTCTGTCGCGGAGCAGGTGCTGCGTCGGCAGTGATGCCGGTATTGGCATCCATTGACGGGGTTCTGCGCGGCCGGCTGGAGCAGGAACCACAGCGATCGTCCGTCTGTGTCGGATTGGAGGCGTAAAGCCGTCTCACATGGCACAAAATCTTGGTGGACTTGCGAGGGGTCCGTTGTGTGCTCGGCACGACGTAGGAGGTTGCCCGAAGAAAACATCAGCCGACTCCTCGGCTTTCCCCCGGTTATGATCCCACCAAAAAGCTCTGTGTTCTTAGGTGGAGTCGCGTAGCCGCGCTACTGTACGTAGAGCACGCCCGGCATATGCCGATTTGACTCTCGTCCCCACGTCAGAACCCTCAAATACATCACTCCTCAATCGTATCTACGAGAATATGCCGATCGGCTTGATGGTCCCATTTAGACCGTCTAGATAGTATCAGGTCACATAACTCAAATTGATCATCTCGTAAATGTTGTTGAGTAGCCATTATTTACGAACAAAGCAGCGGACTGCCTGAGACCGGCTTCATCGATAACCCCAAAGCACGTCTAAGAATCCAAAAATGCTAGGAGGGTGCAGAGTAGAGAGCTTATAAGAATTCTTACAGCACGACTGTACAGAAATGGCATCTGCAGGTCGCTATTTTGCCAAGCAGAGCGATGCTGTGGCATTCGCTCTCTTTTGATAAAATCGGGCTTGCCAGATGACCACGCAGGTCTCATGGCTGGCTGTCTGGTGCAGGCCGATACTCGAGGAGTTGCAAGTCGCCTTTTCGTCTGCTCGGATAAGTAACTCCACCGTTGCTGATTGTCGTGACAGGACACCCACGGCATGGCGCGACTTCAACAGTACATCGAGCGCGTAAATAGTGGTCTTGTCAATGCAAAGGCAGAGCCCAAGTTCACAGAGAAGACACCAGTGGCAGCCCACTTGGACGGAGACAATGGATTCGGATTCATAGTCGCAACCAAGGCCATGGAGAGTGTCATTGAGCGCGCGGAGATTTTTGGCATCGGCATCGTGACTGCGAACCACTCGAACCACTTCGGCATGGCCGCGACTTATGTCCTCCAAGCCCTGGATGCCGGCATGATATCCCTCGTCTTCACAAAATCGGCCAAACAGATGCCTCCATTCGGTGGAAAGGACACGCTCCTCGGTATTTCCCCGTTTGCTGCTGGGGCGCCCAGCAAGGACGAGATCCCATACATCTTGGACATGGCCCCGTCGGTTGTTGCCAAGGGAAAGATCAGGAAGGCGGCGAGGCGAGGCGAGAAGATCCCGCTCGGCTGGGCATACGACGAGAATGGAAAGCCAACTGAGGACGCCGAGGCTGCACTCAATGGCTCCATGGCCCCCATCGGCGGACCTAAAGGCTCTGGTATTGCGATTCTCATGGACATCATGTCAGGCGTGCTTTCTGGAGCTGAGTTCGGCGGTCAGGTCGGAGACCAGTACAAGGAGGCAAGGCCACAGAATGTGGGCCACTGCTTCATTGCCATCAAGCCTGATGTCTTTATCGGCGCGGAGGAGTTCAAGTCGCGCATGGACACATTAGTTCAGCGGGTACACGCCGTCACACCATCCGAGGGTTTCAAGGAAGTGCTGTTTCCGGGCGAGCCTGAGCATCGCCTTTCCCTTGAGCGGGAAAAACAAGGCATTCCGTATGCCGATGCTGAGAAGAAAATGTTTGACGAGTTGGCAGAGACGTACGGAGTGCCGGCGATGGCTCTATCTGCTACACCGCTTAATTAAGCTATTTGATGTTGCGGCAGGACATAACTTTTTGACAAAATGAACTCATTGATTCGTGGCCACTATTGGGGCTACATTCATGTACTGTAGTGTGTTCATACTTACACGTGGGATTCGTCCGCTTTTGCAGAAGCGTAGTACACACCCTTGGACGTTGTCATGAAATTGGCGAACAAGCTCATGTGCATGATGTTCACAGTCAGCGTCAATGATACGTTAGTACTAGATTTGTGATTGGTTTGGGTCACATGCTCAAGCTTTTCCCGCTGAATCAAACACGTCTTGCATGACGCGTTTGATGGACTCCGTGTAAATCTCGACCGCGCGAACCTTGAGAACCGTCAACTCCAGCTTTCCGGCGTTTTCAGCAACGAACTTGGTGTAGTCGCTCCGGACCGTGCGGTTCACGTTGACCTTCAGGACTCCATACTGTCTCGTCTTGCGGAACAGCTCATCGGAGACTCCATGCGTTCCATGAAGAACAAGAGGGACATCCGGTATGAGCCCGTGTATCTCATCCAACCTATTGATTGTCAGTGCCTAGTCAGAGACCCACGCATCTTGGACGCGAGTCCTCGCACCGCATTCCCACCGCCGGGTAATACTCACAAATCACATCGCCAAATACCTTCTGGGCCTTTTGGGCCGTAGCCGCCGTGGATGTTTCCAAAGGATGGCGCCAGAAACTGCACGCCCGTCTCATCGATAAATCTCTTGGCGTCCCCCGGCTGGGTAAGAACCGCATCCAGATCCACGCTCGGCAGCCCGTCCTCGCCTCCCTCGATGCGTCCCATTTCGGCCTCGATGGCAATGCCTTTCGCATTCGCAATCTTTGTGATCTCCTTCACCTGGCGTATGTTCTCCCCGGCGTCGTGGACGGACGCGTCGACCATGATGGAGTCGAAGGGCAGCTCCAGGGCTTGCCGGATATCCGCCTCCTCGATACAGTGGTCCAGGTGGACCGCGATGGGCACGCTAGCCGCGTGGGCGGCGTCGACCACGTATCTGACAAAGTGAGGCCCCTGGAACTTGACCGTCCAAGGGAAGAGCTGGATGATCGCCGGGCACTTGACGGCCTCGGCTGCACGGATTACCGATATGACACCATCGTCGTTGTAACTGGAAAAACTATCAGCCAGGCTTTTTTATTATTATCGCTTTGCGAACGTAGTTTTCGAGTCATCCGTACCAGTTGTATGCGCCAACAGCATAATTGCCCTTCGCCGCAGCGTCGAGGATCTGCCATGTTCGGTTATTTTGAGGGAACGACGCCATCACTAATTATTTGAGCCTGCTAAAGCGGGAAGTATGGAAATTGCTTACCAAATGAAGATGTCTTGTGTCTGATTCACCGCTCTTGTTTCTCGGTTCAGGCGTTATATACGGCGCTGTGAAAAGCCACATCGAGGATTCGGGTTTGCCCGGGCGGGAGGAGCCCAGGATCCCGGGAAGAAGCCGGACAGGCGCGGAAGCACAAACACAATTGATGACATTCTGAGTGCCAAAAAATTAAGCAAATAAAGGGAGGATCCACATCCAGCAGCACGAGAGGACATCTCGTAAAGAAGGATCAAGCAGACAGTAGAATATTGAGATCTGTTACTGCTGCTGGTCAATATGCCTGACTTTTGACCAAGAGTCTGGCGCTGAATGGCAAGGGGTTTCGAGTGGAATTCAAGTGACTGCTATCTGGTTCCTGCCATGAAAGCCAGGCAGGTATACGAAGCCTTGGGAAACCAAATGGGTATGTAGGCTTCCCACTGATGCTGAGACAGCTATTCTCCGCAAATCAGGCTGGTCTAGGATCTGCAATCATCAAACGCACAGTTTCCAAAGTGAAAGTTCCTGATCATCGTATGGTTACCTTTGCGTAGCGCATGAGTAAATGGACACTGTCATCGACCTAGATTGAAGTATCTCCCACGCCTACGTGTTGTCGTTAGGCCCGGGAGGGATAGTTCTCTTTGTGTTGTGATGAACAAGAGTAAGGCTAGCACACCCAAACTTGCAAAATGCTCTTGTTAACATCACTGATGCTAAACAAGCGACTCGTGAGTAGTTCTCTTGAAACTAGTGCTGATACTTCGAAAGTGTTTATCAGAGTGCTGAAATGTGCTTCTTCTTTTCAACCTTCCGCTTTCAATAGAGGAATTTTTCGAATATTGGGTGTGAGACAGACGGTGACACCTTTTGCACTACTGGATTGCGCCTGATAAGTAAGGAAAGAGCGCCTAAATTTACAGGAATATTTGACAAGTGAAACGAATCAACACACACCAAGGAATGGCATGAATCTTGAGTTTCCCCGGATCTTGAAACCAACCTCTGTTTCTCCCTTACATGAAGTCGGGAAAATGGACATAATCTACACCCCGAGATCTGGCGGAATTTCGCCCTCATATAGTCAACAAGCTTTGAAATGCGTGTCTGCCGTGCGGCTGCCCGGCAAGCCAGTCCGCCCCGTCCCGCCCGCGAAATAGATCAATAATGCGGGGAAATCTGGGGAAAGAGACGGGTCTGGTTTCAATTCCCTGGAATACTCCATTGGCGTGCCAGTGTAACTCATGCTTGGAACGACGCGAGGAAGGCAACCACAAGGTGCTCACAAGACAGTAGCTGCTTCAAAGCCGCGTGTGCGTGTATAGATACATAATGGCAGCAGAACCGCCTGTTTGTGTACGTTCAGCCATGGAGGCTACTGAACGATACAATCTGCTCTCATAGTACTCAAGATGGCCTCGATAGCAAACAAACCAAAGACTACCAACGGCACCGATGGGACTAAAGCCCATGATCCTGATTATGGCCTCAGCTCCGCTTGGTCACATTATTACTCCCCTCCGAACACATCGGCGCAAGGCAGGTGGGAGGGCGAGCTGGAGAACTTGGTCGTCTACGGCGAGGTGCCCAAGGAGATCGAGGGCACCTTCTGCCGGCTAATCGTGGACCCTCACTACCTGCCACATGTTGCACGCACATCCTTAACCCTGGTTTACAACTACTTTCTGAAATGCTTAAATAGCCAAATTTCTTTTATTTCCTCCTTCTAAACTACTCTTAAGAAATAAACGCTTTTATAATCATGCTTTTAAACTACTTATAATACTTATAACCTTTCCATAATTATAAGCCCGATTTACATAAAATAATCTTTCCTTTTTATAAGCTATAAATAAGTTATGCAAAGTATATCTTAATTATATTTATTTTATATTATTCATTTCCTTTTATTTTTAAGTATATATTTATATAATAATTATAAACGCTTCTTTAAACCTTATTAATTAAGTAATTTATTTAAATATTTATTTCTTTTTTACTTAATTTATTATATTATAATTTCATTACTAAATTAAAAGGTATTAGGAATTTATAAACCTTAATGCATTAAACATAACCCTTATTAAGTAATTAAATATAATCTTAAAACTAAATTCCTAGTTTATATAATATAAAAAAAAAGAAAAAAAAATATTTAAAAGGCTTTATATAATAAATATTAAAAGCATTTAAGCAATAATAAATTCTTAAAAGATAAAATAATACTTACTTTATTTTCTCCCTTATCCTTTAATAAATTAAAAAAGGAATATAATTAATATCTTTAATAATAAATTACCTTAACTTTTAATAAAGTAATTAAATTTAGCAAAAAATAAAAAATTTAAGAATAAATATAAAAAATAATATTTAGCTTAATTCTTTCCTTATATTTAATTAAAATAATAAATATAAAATAATTCTTTATTTAATAAATAATTTAAAACATTAAGAATAACCTTATATCCTTTAAATTAAGCATAATAAACACCCTTTAAACCTAATATTAATAATACTTAAAAAAAGCAAAGAAACTAAGTATTAAACCGCGATAATAATATTAAAACTTTATAAACCTATATTTATAAGCTTATATTTATAAATTATTTAAGATTAAGGGATTTGTTAATTTAAATAACTTCCTGCAAGCAATTATAATATACATTATCCTTAATTAAGCAATTTTTAAATGCTAAAAACTTATTAAATAAAATATACTAAAAAAACTTATTTATCCCTTAAAAACCCTATTTAAAGAATTAATAACATTTTTATATTATAATAAGCTTATATTAGCCTTTAAGAATATTGCAATATTTATTATATTAAAATTAAAAATATCTTTTAAAATAAAAAGTAATTAATTAAGTAATTAAGAAATAAAAATACATTATCTTAATTATATTAATAAAATAAAATATATAAGTATCTTTATTAAAAAACTAATTAATAAAAGAAATATATTTAGCTTTTTACTAATTATTATTACCTTTATTTTATGCTTTTAAGGAAATAAATCTTAAAGCTAAAAATACCTTTAAAGAAACTTAAATGCAATAAAATTAAAATATAATTATAAGAAAATCGCTATAAAAACTTAATTTAAAAGCTTATTTAAAAAAACTTTTTACTTAAAGATTAAATGCAAAGCTTATTAAAAATATTAAAAACCCCCTTAAGTGCATTTTTAAAAGCTATTAAGGAATAATATCTTAATTTCCTCCTTTTACTTTATTTTTCCTTATAAAGCAAATTTATGCTTTCTTAAACCTTAATTTTAAAAAACTAATTAATTAATAATATCTTTATTATATCTTTATTAACTCTTTATTAATTTATTTACGCTTTAATTAATTTATTATAACTATTAATTATAATTAATTCCCTAAAAATATATATAACCTTAAATTCCACGCTATATTTTTTATTTTTAAGCATAATTTTAAATAATTATAACGCTATTTACTTTATTAATTTCATTAATTATTTAATTCCAAGCACCTTTAAAAAAGCCATTAAAATAAATATTATTAAAGCAAAAACCTTATCCCTAAAGGTTTTAAGCTATAAAATAAGGCGCTTTAAAAATATATTATATAAAGCAAATAAAAAAAAAACTAAGAATTTAATCTTAAAAAACATAATAATTATAAATAAATTTTATATTAACATAATATTAAAAGCGCTCTTATAAAAGTTAAGCGTTTAATATTATAAAATTAATTTAATGCTATGCTTTAAATTACTTAAATAAAGCATTATTCTTTTTAAACTTATTTAATAATATAATTTAATTTTTCTTAAATATATATTATTATAATTTCCTTATTTCTATCTTTTATTATAAATATTTATAAGCATTATAGGTATATATAAGCCTGCGATTTTGTTAATAAACTTAATAAAACCTTTTAAGCCCTTTTAACACTTAAATAAGGATTAAAAAGATTTAATAACCCTTTAATATCTCTAGTTTAAATACTTAGGGGCTAATGTTTTTAAATTGCTAATTTAATATATTTAAGGTATTGTTATGGGTTGGCCTTAAGCATTTGCTAAAAGGTATTTAAAAGGAGTTATAAATTGCAATATTTAAGAAGTAAATTAGGCTTTAAAAGGGCTTAACTTTAAATTTATTTTTTAAATATATACCTTATTATATAAAAGGGTTGGGTATAATATAGGCTTGGCATAGGTATATATTACGGCTTAAGCAATAGCCTAAGCCCATTATATAGCCCCCTTCCCACTCTTATATTGCGTATAGTAAGAATTAAACCTAAGGCTCTTACAATCTTATATTAATTATATATCTACCCTATTACATACTTATTTTAAGGCTATATTTATTTACCTTAAAAGTAATAATTATTTATTTCATTCCTGCATTAGCTATATTTATATATTATGCTTAATATAATATAATGCAAAGTATATATTATATATATTATAAGCTATTATAATATAATAATATTATTATTATATATATAATCCTTTATTAATATATTATAATTATGCATAAGTTATATATATTGCTAGCCTTAAGCTATAGCATGCTTTTATTAATATATTAACATTACTTATCGCGGCTATTACCCCTATATTATATTTATTATTACTACTTAAGATAACTTTTCTATAATTATACTCCTTTTTATAATTCTTTTTTTTTAATATTATATTATTATTATAATGTATTTATTATATATATTATTTTATTACCTTTATGCAACCTTTTTATTATTTTTATAATTATTTCTTTATTTATATTAATTGCCTCTTAGCTTTATTTTACCCTTAGCTAAGAAGCCTTTTTTAATATAGTTAATACTTATATAATTTCTTAGCCTTTTTATAATTTAATTCTTTAGCTATTCTTTTTTATATTTATTATGTTTTCTTTATAACTGCTCTTTTTTATTAAGAAGCTATTGCCTTAATATATTAATACCCTTTTAATCCCTTAATGATTCCTTAATATACCCTTTTTTATTTATATCCTATTTACTAAGCACCTTTTCCTTAATCTATTAATACCCTCTTAATTCCTTAATATCCTTCTTAATACCCATTCCTCTCTTATTATATAAAAAGAAGAATAAAAAATGGCTTTTATTATGGGTTTTAGTGGTTAGCATAACGGCTTTAATATAGCCATTATTAATAATAATAATAATAGTAAGCTGCCTTATTACCTTAGTAATATAATCCTTAAGGTTATTTTATCTTTTCCTTAATATAAATTTATTATAATTATTAATTAAATGTAAAGATATTATGCTATAGGATTATATTAAGTACTTAGCAATTTTAATAATAAGGATTAGCAGCCTATTAAGCAGCTATCCTTCCCTTATAAATTATACATTATAACTTTTTATAAGATTAGCAAGCTATCTATTTATATCCTTAAAGGTTGCAATGCATTTTATATTAATTATTGCCATTATAAGTATAAATATATTTAATATATATATGTATTTATTAGTTTGCCGTTATTATAAAATGCATAGCATTATTTAAAGGGAGTAATTATTATTAATAATAGCTATATTTTTATCCTTAAGTAAGTTAAGTTTATTATTTTTATTTATAGTAATATAATTATATTTACCCTAGCCTTTAACTGCATTATTATTAATTTCCGCAAAGCTATAAGCATTATATTAGCAAAGCTACCCCTTATTGCCCTTGCTATTTACTTAAGTAGCTATGCTTATTTTTATAATATAGCCTTAATTAATGCCCTTGCTAACCCTATTAAGGATATACTCTTAACCTTATTATAACTTGCTAATATATTCTTATTTTTTATTAATATTAATATAATTATACATTATATTAATAATATTAATGCTAATAATTATTAGCTAACTTACTTTGCTTAAAAAATAATAAATATCTTTATAACCCTTGATAATAATTAAAGAGCTAAGGTTAGTTATTGCGTTAATAATATATATGCTCTTAATATAAGTATTTTTCTTATCCTTTTTTTATATTTATATTAACTTAGCCTTAAGCATGCTTTAATATATTTAAGGATTGTTATTATAAAAAGTTTAATATAATAATTAATGCTTTAAATGCCCTTATTAATTAAATCTTTAGCGCTAAGTAATATAATTATAATTTAAGTTGCTATTATATTTGCAATAAGTTTAAGGAGGAGGAGTAAAAAGATAAGAAGAAAAACTTTAAAAACTTACCCTTTTTTAGCTGCAATACCCCTTATTATAAGCATTAATTAATTTAGCTTATTATTATAATTATAATAAGTTTAAATAATTAAGAGCTTTATTTTTAAATGGAAAGTTTATAGGTTTAACTTTCATTATTATTAAGTTATTATAGCCTTATTATTAACCCTTGTAGTTTTTTAGTTTTATAGTTAAATATTTTTAATATACCTGCTTAAATAAATAATGGTAAAGGAATTTTAAAAGGGTAATATGCTTAGTATAATTCCGCCTTATAAGAAATTAATTATATAGTTTGGTTTTCTTTTAGCTTAATATATTATTTAGTTTTTATAAAAAGAAGATTTAATTTATTTATTAAGCAAGTATATAATAAGTTTTAGTTAATTAAGAGCATTTATATATAAATAAAGTTATAAGTTTAAATCCTATTATTATTATATTTTGCTTAAGCGTAATAAATACTTAAGGCTTGCCTTGCAGCCTTATTTAAATAGCTTATAATAATATAATAAAATTTTATTTATTTTTATTTTATCCTTACTTAT